GATGCTTATTCAGTTTCAAGCCCTCCTTCTATTGACCGTTGGTATACGTATTTATCCTAACGCTGACACCTCCACACCACTGACCATCGACACACCCCCACACACACACACACACACACAGACAAAAGCTGACTATGAAAATGGAATAGTTACTCCTCTCCCTCGTAACTTCCGCAGCGCTCCTCGTTCTCCAACCGCCGTGTGATTCCACGTCGTCCCGCTTCGTTGCCCCTCTTGCGCTCGCGGCCGTGGTGTTTGCGGCGCGTGTGCATATGGCGCGGTTTTGGAATACGAAGGAGCAGGTTCGCGTCCCGTTCATGACTGATTACAACGATGCGGCGCGGGGCAGTGAGAAGGTCGTTGGTGTGTTGAGTGTGCTGGCGTTTTCGTGGGGGTGGGAGGTTGTCGAGTTTGGGATGGCGGGGAAGGGGGTTTGGGTGGAGATGCTGGTTAGTGGTGTTGGGTGGGTGGGGAGGGGGTTGTTGGGGATGCTGTGTGTTATCCAGGCGTGATGGTGGCGCGGCTGAAGGGTGTTGAGATGTGGTGAGAAATGATTCTATTGCGCATAAAGGGGATATATAGCGAGGCATAAAATATTAGGAAAAGCCTTCCATCTCCCGCACCAACCTTAGGCTATCTGCCTCGCTGACCCAGTCTTCTATCTTCGCTCCCACTTCCCCGACTAAGCGCTCGTATGTTTCGTTCAGGAAGAATAGCGACGTGTGTGCTGTGACTTCGTCCATGCCGGACATGAACACCCGGATCCACGTCGGGTCCTTGTTCCCAGCGGAGTCTTTGGGAGGCAACATGCAGAACTTTTTCAATTTCTTCTGCTTCTCAGGCTTGCCATCTGCGTCCGGCAGGTTTTGGTGACTTGCCGAAGAAGCATGTGAGTCGTTCGTGTACGCCGAGTCGGCGATGGAAGAGCGGTCGTCAGGGGGAGCTTGATCCATGATGGTACTGCGGGAGAAGTCGTATGTGTTGTACGGTGTGTGCGAGATGGGCTCCTGAGGGGTTTGGCCAGCGATTTGCAAAGCACCGAGGTCTTCTTCAAGAGCGTCCGCTTTCGGCGTCTGATCTAGTTTTGGTTCTTGTTTGAGCGACTTTTTCCTTTCTTTTTCTTTTTCTTTCGCCTGTTGTTCTTGCTGCTTCTCCCACTTCTCTTCCATTTTTGTTCGTTCGTTGATGACTCTGTTGCGGGCTTTGACTGCTTTCTGATACACTTTCAGCGCCTGGTCATGCTCCTTTTCGGCAGCTCTACGCTGGGATTTGTCGGTGTATTGCATCAAGTCTACAAATGGCGGCTCCTGGGGTATTGGTGGAACTTCTGGAAGGTCTGGGGGACCATCCTGGCCAGATGCTAGATTTTGGTTTCCAGCCGGATTTGCTGCAGATGGAGGTCTTTGAGGGCCTATGAAAACGACCTCGCCCTTCTTATGTTCGTCAACTTGAACTGATGAACGTGGACTTTCTGGCATGGGCTCGGGTGCTATGTGCGTCATTTCCGGTTGCGACTCCACTGTGTCAACGCTCGCGTTACTGTCGCGACGATCTGTTGTGTGGGCGCTCGCATTACTGTCGCGATGCTCCGTTGTCTGAGCACTCATGTCACTGTCGATGTGTCCCAATGATTGGGCAGGTGGGCTCTCGGACGATGGAGACTTGAGCGTTTTCGGCTTTTTGGGTCTCCCTGTGCTTGCAGTGTAGTAATTAACGAAGCGTATCCGTGGCGGCGAACGAACTCCTGGATTGGCTGAGCTCCTCGTACTCTCATCGTCTTCTTCCAAGGCTCGCACCCTTGCATATCGATCTTTCAGCGTTCGATAGTCCGCCATGGCGCCACCAAACTCAAAATGAGACCTGACTAACCCCTTGGAAGCTCCTCTCAAATCATCAGAGTGCTTGTTAAACCAATGCAACGCATTCTCCCAGCCTTTGCGTGCTGGTAAGTTGACATCGTTGGGAAACGCTGGGTTATAGTTGGGATCTGCTGGCTTTGGGTTGAAGATTGTGGCCATCCTGCTAGGTCTTGGCCCTGATTCTGATTCTGGGCTCACAACATCTTCCGGAGCTGGCGGTTTGCTGAAGATGCTTCCGAGCCCGGCTTTGACAATGCCAGGATGCATGCCGAGGAACGGGACATCGAAGTTCACTACACCTATGATTCGATGGCGGAAAGCGAGTGTAATGTCGGCGGCAAGCAGCCCACCCATAGAATGACCCAGTAGAACCACATCAGTCCATTGATCTTCATGAGGAGCTAACCTGATTACATCAACCTTGTGTCTCACAATTGACAATTGACTAAGGTAATTGTCATCTTACCACTGAGAGAACCGATCTCTTGCGATTTCAAGAGAATTTCGCGACCGGTACCTGGGATAGAGCTTCGTATGTACAACATGTGTTTCTGCCAGAGTGATTGTCACAAGATTGTGTACATGGGCTGGAAAACTTCTGAAACTGGTCTCGTTGCCCATGAAGCCATGGATATACACGAGGAGTAAACGACGACGCCCTGCATTGTTCGAGCTGGGGTCTGGAACGAGCGATTGGGTAGAAGAAGACCGCGGATCCCCCGACGACATGGCCATGATGGAGGAGTCCGTGCCGGTGAAGTAGTCGTGGGTTGAAGATGGAGCTCGAGGCGGTAGAGGTGGTGGCCCACCGCGTCGGGGCTCAGGGTAGCTGGACATCGTGTTTAGATGGACTAGGTATGGCTGTGGCGATGGCTGTGTTGGTGGCAATCATTGAGCAGAATCTGGTCAGACAGTTGAATGACTTGAACTGGAACCTCAGTGGCAGCTTGGCGTGGCCTGTTCTGGTGGGGTGGAGGGGCAAGTGAGGCCAACATGTGGGGTGAGTGGGGCTGGACGTTGGAATAAGCCGCCGACCTACCGAGAACGCGAACGACTGCAGGTACAGAAGTTTGGTACATGATGTTTGGTCCAGCTTTCATCCAGCTGTTTGTCCATTACACGCTGTGCATTTGCAACAGCTTTGCGCTAAGTGTAGATATAATTAGAACACAGCAACGGGAGGCTAGCGCTGGACGAGTCTGTGGTAACGTGTTTCGCAACTCTAGGCTAAGCAAGCTGGAAACGCTGGGAGAGTGCGGTCTGATGGGTATCAACAGTCTAACTTTGACAACAAGGTTTGGCAAAGTCTGATATGCCAGGAGGTAGCTTTGGATGAAAGCGATCGACACAATGACAAGTGGCGTCAGCGAAACAACGTTCCAAACCGTGCTTGGCAATATTGTGCCATGAACGCCATGGACGCCCGCTCACGCTTTGGTGGAACGCGTGCGACGACGTGCAAGGGCGAGGCGGTTGTGAAATGAGATGTCGCGATAAACTGCCTAGTGCGGACGGTCGGTGACCTCGACGGGGGATCTAGAAACGCGTTCCTGACTGGGATGTCGATGTTGGAATGCATGCAGGGACGGCAAGACGTGCGTGTCGGCTGAGTGCCGGGCTGCCGTTCACTCGATTTTCTTTTCAGTCCGTCTCGTCGCAGAGGCGGTTTCAAGTGGCAAAACAAACCACGGCGCGGTGCAAGCACTCGCTCCGACACGTCTCGGTGTGTGCTCGACGGCGGCGCGCGTGTCCCTGAGCTGCCTTGCGTGTCACCTTTCGTAGACGGTGGGTATTTTCTATATTTGGCCCGCACATGGTTAGCCCCAGAGCAGCGAATCTCGGTAGATTGCCAATCAGCAGCGCTGAGCCGTGCAGCACGCAACGGGCGAAGCTTCGACTCCTGCCTGTCGCGATCGCTCCTTCCCTTTGCCAGCGTGCCTCTCCCCCACCACCAGGACCTCTGCCGCCGCCGCGAGGTCGCCCACCGACAGTCGACAGCCTGCATCGCCCACCGCCGTCTGGCCTGCCTGGAGAGCGTCCCGGCGAGAGCCAAGCGCCGCCCGTCCCCGCCCAACACTGGAGCCATCGTCGCACATCGAGTCCCGCCCCCGGTGCCACGACACGACACGCAGCACCGACCACGTCTTGTCACAGCGAGCGACTACTGTGCGCCCTGCCGCCTACATAGCTGCCCGCCCGTCCGCTCAGGCAAACTCGGTCGCATCGCGAATGCTGGCCTAACCACTGCGTCCTGGTGCGTACGCTGCCGTCGCGCTCCCTGCACCCACATGCAACTATAGCCGTGGTCATGCGCCTGGATTGCTGATCGTTCCCCTGCCAGACCCCCTCGCCCACACAGCTAGTCGACACTGGCGTCCATTCGTTTCTCGACATTCACTCCCTAGCATTCGCACCACTGCATCCATTGACTGGACTTTCGACCCGGCTGCCGCCACTCGTCCGTTCCTTTTGCATCCAACTGCCCACACTCACTTGACACATGCTACGCGCACACATTGACGTCGCCATCCACACTCTGGTAGCTTTATTCGCGCCCAACTAGCCTTGCGCCCTTCACTCCCTATGGAACCATCGACACCACGAGCCAACCTACCGCGAGCCGGACTACGATACCACTACCGCACCCAAAACGCCCTGCCCAAGAACAGACGAGACCCGGAATTGAAACAGAAAGAGGAGGACGCACCTCTGCTGGTTCGGGAAGAGAGGAGACGCTCTGTCATGGGAAAAGATCATCGCCAATTCCACCGTCGCGTGGCCCAAGCTTCTCCTTCGGGAGTCTTGACCGTCGGCGTAGAGGTTGTTATGACCGTTGATGGTGCTGGAAGTACCCTTACCCACGAGACTGTCACGCAATCGGCTCCAACCGTGGTTGCTGCGTTGGCAGCAGTATCATCAGAGGTAGAAGCCGTCTCCTCAGTACTGGAAGCCTCGTTATCAGCAGCTCTGCCTTCAGCATCAGCAGACATTTCCTCGGTATTAGCAGCAACCCCCTCAGCATCGGTTGCTGTCCCCTCACCATCAATAGCTGTTCCCTCAACAGCTGACCCCACAATGTCAGCAGCTATCTCTTCACTACTAGCAGCTGTCCCTTCCGTATCAGTATCCATCTCCTCGATATCGGCAACCGTCCCCTCGGTATCAGCAACCGTTCCCTCAGCATCAGTAGCTATCCCCTCGGTATCAGTAGCTGTCCCCTCGGTATCGTTGGCTACCCCCGCGGTACTAGCAGCCGTCCCCACGGTTCCAGCGTATCCATCATATGTTCTTCCATCTGTCCCTTCAGTCCCAGCGTATCCCAGCGATCTCACAGTTCCCGCATACCCACAATCATCATCTGCTGCCGTCCAAGAAGCCGATGTCAGCACAAAACCCGTCACATCATCATCTTCGTCAACTGGAAAAAACACGACGCCTTCCCCTGTCGCAACGTCCATACTTGAGTCGAGCTCGGTAACATCTAGTAAGTAGACCAGCCTAGAACCCGCGTTGAACCTAACAAAGAACAGACTCCACATCCTCTTCATCCACACTACTTAACAGCATTTCCATTTCATCGTCATTATCACAATCAGTATATACAAACTCACTAGGCTCCTTGATCCAGTTGTCATCCTATCTGTCAGAATCAACGCCAACACCGTCCATATCGGACGCGACTGCAATTACTTCCCAAACGACTGCGATTACCTCCCAAGCGACAGCAACATCATATTTCGGGGGAGGAGGGGGAGGAGAGGGAGGAGATGCCCCGTCCAATACGGCTGGTCTTCCCGCAGGCGCTACAACTGCTTCACCGACGGGTACAACAGCACCAGCTTCTGCCGACGATGACGACACCAGTGCTCCTCTTGAAACGCCGCAAGTAGTAGGCAGCGTCGTGGGTAGTCTGGCAGGTGCCGCGCTTATTTTTGCTGTACTCTTGCTCCTATTCAAGCGTCACAAGCGCAATCAGCGCGGTCGTGGGCTCGTACTTACGGGTGACAACCATACCGACAACGGCCAATCCATGAGACAGGCGCCACCAACAAGCAGCAGTGTAGTACCCGCCGCTTTCTTGAACCGCTTCTCGGGAATGTCCAGGTCCACCGTTGATACCCATACTACTGGTGAGCGCAGCTTCCAAAGAGTGTCAGGGCGCAAGCTGCCATCTGCGTTTAGCGAGGGTATGACATCAGGACAATTTATGCGCGAGGGAGGCTCACTGTCAGGCACATCCTTCTATCAGGACGACCATGGTACCTACGGTGGCTCAGAATTTTTGAAAGAGTTTGGCCCAGGGCCCTCGAAAGAATTTGCGCCAGATTTCTCGAATAGCTTCGGCAAGGAAACCGGTGGCACAGGCATGGCCGGTGGCATCAGTACGATGAACATTCGACCTGGTCCAGCCCGGACACCAATCATCCGCCATCCACATGACGAAGATCCATTCGACACCAACCACGGGTCCACTCTCAGTCCACCTCTCTCACCTAATACCGATTTCCCGACACGAAACACCCTCGGAAGAAGTTTGGCCTCCGCCGACGGATCTCGAAGTTCTCGGTTCACGGAAAATGTCTGATGAACTGCTATTTCCCTTTTTTTTCGCCTTCTTACTGTCGCTTCCGACTTCCTACATCTACTTGACGATGCACACACACACATGTGCACAAAGTCTTGTCTCTCTCTCTCTTGCACTTCAAGCCAAGTCAAATGCTTCTTCTTGTATACCCCCAGAGCTGCGCTTGTCTATCGCTCATTACCTATTATCCCGTTGTCTCACCCTCTCACAGCGACTTTGCACTCATGTCTTGTTGAAGTTCGTTGCTGTTGTCCGCCTACTTTTTAATTCTGACAAGCTATGCCGCTTTGGAAGCGAGTTTGCTTTCGTCGCCCCCCTGTCTTGTCGTCTTGCTTCCTGGCCTTTGCGTATATGTGCACTTTTGTACCGCGCTGTGGACGAGAGGGAGACGTTATGGGGTTGTGCATACGTTTGCCATGTTTCTCTCCTCATATAGTGATGGTTGATTTGCGTCTGGTTTGGTCTGGTTTGGAGATATCCCGGCGTGTGAGGAATGGAAGGGGTGGTGGTGTTTGTCGCGCCATTTTCCAATGTCAAAAGATTGTTCATGTTACGTGTATCTATTACTTTTCCTGTGCGATGTCTGCTTGTGAGAGGTCCTGGAGTGCGTAATGGGTGCTTGATGGCTGAGTACTGTTTTCACTTTGATGATTGCTGATGGGGTAAAGCTGTGAAAACACTTACTCAAACGGTTAGGCGTGTAGGTTGCCACCGATCCTCTAAGGGGCAACCAGACTTTTATAGTAATTTTATGTGGGGGAGTGGGGCTGTGCCTACATACCCGTTGAGGCTTGAATGTTCACTGCCTTTCCGTTGACCTGGCTCTTCTTGCAGGGATGTGTATTAGTACGCGATTTATGTACAGCGGTCATTATTCCGCAGAGTCTTTCTTATATCTAGAGGCGCGATGCTAGATGCTGGATACTGGACACTTAGGCTGGAGGTCTGTCTTACGTGCTGACTCAACGATATGAGTAGTGATAGCTTGATCTTCATGGGGAGTCTGACTAGGTACTCTTATAACGAATTCGTCTGAGTATTATATACCTATTATTTTTATTTTCGGTTTGTAGTGTATTCATGCTTGTTACACAAGCAGATAGATGCAACACAGTAAGACTCTAGTATAGTAACTCAGTGTAGAAGCCGATACCCAGCCCCTCTATGCACAGTAACTATCTAAGTTCTTTACACATGTGACGTACTGAAGGTTTGCAGTGATTAACTTGCGCCAACCAAAGATTTAAAGGTTGCAAAGTAAACCATGTCTCGTAAAACTATTCAGCGTTAATTTTTCAAATAGTTTCAATTATGGAGTAAGGCCCCCCTAAGCCATCCCACCATCATGCATTGCTCCACTGATTGACAAAAAACGACTCCACACAATGCTGCCCGCCTTACTGACAAGTAACTCTCTCACATCACACCACCCACACACCCGGACAGAACATATATATCCCCCTTCCAAACCACCACAGCCCCAACCTCACCATCACATCACATCACATCACCCCCCCCACAAACCATCCGCCTCCCCCAGCCCCCCACAACCACACCCACACAAAACAAAAGAAAAAAATGGCCCTCGCCCCCCTCCCCACCACAATCGGCATCCACCCCCCCTTCATCACCACCCGCCCCGAAACGCTCATCCTGCGCGAAAAAATCTTCTCCCTAACCGGCGACGATTTCGAAATCAAGCTCCTCAACGGGCAGCCCATCCTGCGCGTCTCCGGCGCCGCGCTCTCCCTCACAGCGCGCAAGAAAGTGTACGACATGGCCGGGAACTGGCTGTTCGACATCGCAAAGGAGCTGCTGCACGTGCACAGCACGTATAAAGTGGTTGGCAGCGATGGACAGGGCGGCAAGGCGGAGATTATGAGCGTGCGGTCGAGTTTGAGGGTTGTGGGGAGTAAGGCGACGGCGCGGTTTGTGTCGGCGAATGGGAGGGAGGAGAGGCTGTGTATGAGGGGGGAGTGGATGGGGGGGGATGCTACGGTGGTGGATGAGGTGCATGGGGGTAAGTGGGGGTTTTTTTTTCGCGTTCTTCTGCTTTCGCCGTTGTTGGTGTTGGTGTTGGTGTTGGTGTTGTTGTTTTCCCACCCACTTCCTTCTACGTTTCTGATGGCTGGCTGGCTTTGCTGATTCATGCCAGATCGACCCGTGGCGCGGATTGAGCGCGATCTTAGTATCAGGGAGTGGGCGTTCAATCGTAGTACGTATGGCGTGCATGTTGCGCCGGGGGTGGACATGGCGCTTATCGCCGCGCTGTGCATCTGTCTGGACGAGGAGAACAGCGAGTCGTCTGTCCTCGGTTCAATTGGGGGCTGAAGGCATGCTCAATGTTCAAGGGGGGTATCGGGGGCCGGTATTCGGGGTAGTGGAAAGTCTACTCCATGTAGCAATGTGTGTTACTAAGGCTCGATACCAAACTGCTCTCGTCTTTCTACTCTAGCTCCTATCCCCGCCTTGACTCGAGCCTTATCGACCAGGCAGGTTCCCGAAAATTTGTCAGGCCCCGAAGTAAGGGTTGCTTTGCACCGACGGTCCTTTATGTAGGAACTGGCCAGAAACCAACACTTTATCAGGTTTGTACACGAAAAACAGGTTAGGGCCTGGGATCTTCACTCTCCAGCGATAAGCATCACTACACCGAATAAGTGCACGCCTTGTATATCCAGATCTCAATCTCATCGTCCTTGGTATTTCCTGACTGATGGAATGAATTCCCTCCACATCCCGCACGCGAAGAAAAGCTTTCCAGACAATCACTATTCGATGATACATCTCGTGCGTAAAAGCTCTAACACCTACTCTCCACCCCCTTCCGACTAACACACAAATACTTCACCCCCTTATACGGCGTAACCCCACTCCCCAACCCCTTACTCCTCTGCTGATTAAGATTCAGACTCTCGACCTTAATCCCACTGGGCAACCATCCCTTAACCGAGAAGCTAACCGTCGCACAACTAGGCATAAGAACTTTATTAAGCTTAATCCGCTTCGCATCCGCATCAGCCGGCGAGGTGTGATCTTTCGCGAAACCCGACGGCGCCTGGTACGAAGCGTCATCGTAGTCATATGTGCTTGTGGAGAAGGCCACGGGTCCGTCGAGCGCGTCCGAGGACTCGTCGTCTTGGCCGATGACGGTGCCGCGCAGTGTGGCTGTGGCGCCGACGCCGCCGCCGCGATCTTGCGACATGAGGAGGCTGATCTCGCGGCTGCTGACTGCCCAGCGTATCTCTCGGTCGCCGGGGGCGTAGGTTGCGTCTCCGGTGCCGCGTACGACGCGGAGGTCGGATACGTTCTTTACGCTGGCGGGGAGGGGTATGTGGACGATCATCTGTTCGATTGCGGGCGCGGCGGTCGTGCCTGTCCCTGAGAATCCTGCGTTGCGCCCTATGCCGCCTTTTACGTTTGCGGAGCTGGGGTGCGGACTTGGGGTTTTGCCGGTGAAGCGGGGGTTGAGTTGTAATCTGACTTCGAAGTCTGAGCCTGCGGGGCCGAGAGAAGGGTGTACGGAGACGGTGGCGGGGATGTTTAGTTTTGGTATTGACTTTGCGGTTGAGGAGAATGCGTCTAGGGCAGTTGGGCCGAGGAGGTCCGCCTCGTACCCTGCAAGCACGAACTGGCCGTCTGGTGGGACAAAGGATAGCTCGCCAGGCTGTTCTTTCCATCTGTTCAGCCGTACACATGGGTGGAAGACAGGTAGTGAGACGGTGTTGAGTATGCCGCCTGGACATCCGAGTTGGAGCATTAGATCAGGTATGCCTGAGACCTTGGCCGTGAAGGCTATTGTCCCATTTGCAATGGCTGCGAGTGGACGACCGGAGGGTGACATGGTGACTGCCAATGTCTCTACAATATCCACATACATTTCGTTAGATGTATGCCGTACATTTGCCCTCCGCCAAGGTACAGGTGAAGTCGTCGGTGTCGCGCTCGTCGGCCCCAACCTGGGACTCGGTCTCGAAGCCAGGGAAAACGGCGTCGCAGAAGGGGCCAGTGAGCTTGGCGTCGAACTCGGCAGTCCCACTCCTCCCAGCAAGCTCTTCATGAAATTGGGCGCGTCGACCATATCTCTCAGCGCATTCGGTTCCGTGCAGGATATGACTCCGCCGTCCACCATCTCGTTCAACAGCTGTGCCACGACATCGTAATTGGCCTCGATCTTGTTCGCCAGCAGAGGCGGGCCCAGAAAGTCTTCTAGCACATCACCGAGGCGGTGTAGGAATTCGAGGACCTGGAGCGGTTCCGTGTCGGAGGCGCAGGGACACAGGAAGAGCAGTTGGTCTTGTATAACGGAATAGAGGAGCGTGGGCGGATTGGTGTTTGGCAAAAAGACTAATGATGGTCGTGGGGCGGGATGTGCTAGGTACAGCGGGAGGATTGTGCTGCTGGAGGGAGGGCGGCCGTTGAAGACGTGTTCGAGGAGAGGTGTGCTTGTGTTTGTTAGTTGTCATACATTTTCTCCCTCAGCTGGAGGCCTACTTGTTCTCATCAAACATGTACAGCGCTTCTATTGTGCTCATGTTTCCGATGCAGGCGCTGTGTACCTGCAGCTCACGCGCAAGCCGAGAGGTGAGGTCAGAAGAAAGTAGTGGGGTAACTTTTGGCGGGGACCTCGTGAATGATGGCTGCAGCCTGCACAGGGGATCCCTGCGTCGGTCTTTGATCCTCCGACTTTGTCTGGAATTTGGTCCTCAATCACACGCTGTCAAATCAGGAAATCATCAGATCCGAGTTCGAAGGTCGCAATGTCGCGAGAAGTTGCCACGCCGACTTTCCAAGAGGCTCTCAAGCAGGATAGGGCCCAGTTCGATGACTGCACGCCATGTCGAGTAGTGGGTAAGACTCATCGAATTCACTTTTTTTGCTCTTCGTCTGCAGTAACAGGTGAAGTCTAACACTACGGTAGGAAGCGTAACATTCCTCGGACTCGGTTTATTCACATATGTCTCCGGCCACTCGCAGCTCAAAGCGCAAGAAGCCGTGATTCGGAATAGCAAGAGCATGTTTGGCATGGCCAGCAGGAGGGCAGCCATCACTAGCACCTCAGCCGTGTTCGTGGGCCTGGGCGTGTACAGATGGTTTGCTTGAAGCGATGAAGCAGTTGGATAGTACAGGGAGACAACTTTCCCACAAGAAAGGAACTTCACGAATACCAGAGGAAAAAACGTCATCGCAAACCTCGAGATCAGACCACCACTGTGGGAAAAGTCTATGCAAGTCTGTAACATCATGACAAAAGAAGAGAGATGCCAAAAAGTCCCCATAATATTAGATGCAGCTCAACCCACTGCAGGTACCAATTTCCGCACGTCAACATGCAAAATACAGCCTACAACATGCCATTACCACATACACCCCTCCAAGCCCATGTCCTTGTTGCCTGAGATTAAAACACCCATGTCCAAGTAAGAATATATATTGTAAATGCCACACAATGCTTCTATAGTTCTACTCCATCCCATGCATGAAAAGAATCCACCTGTCCAATGCGCCTCCGGGGGTATGATGCAAAGAATTCGTAACGTCATCGAAAAAACCCGTCTTCTAGTCACAAACTGGGCAATCCGGCATGGCTCACGCTCTGGATAGAGATGAGCGCGTCGTGTTTGAGCCCAGCAAGCCTTCATCATGCCATGCGTCCACGCTTCGGCCCTCCCACTGAGCCGTCTCGTCGGTCGTTGGGGCCGTCGACGTTGACGAAATCTTGCACCGCTTTTCGTTTCTGGCCAGCACCACTCCCCAGCTGGAATATGTTTTGCATAGCAGATCGCTGCAGGCTTCGAGACGAGGGTCGGTTTGAGGGCCGGCGGGGGGCAGGGAAGGCGCGGCGGGCAGCGGCGGAGAAATCGGAGACGGCTGAGTCGGTCGTGTTGTTGTTGGGCGGGTAAGCCTGCGAGGCTGAGAACTGGAAGACATGGTGGAGCGGCGACGTGTCAGGCTCCAACGTAGATGCTTCCACGTGAAGAGGGGGAGCTGAGTCGCATCGGTGTACGGGTTCGATGACTTCTGGGATGCACGTGTGCTCGGGGCTCATGTTGCGTTCCATGGCCGGAGACGAGCTGCGCGCGCGCTTGTCGTCCAGCTCGTCCTCGTCGCTGTCGCTGACCGACTGCCGGAGCTGAGCGCCATCCAGTCGCTCCGTCGCCCACTGCCGTATCCGCCAGCCCTCGCCGTCCCCGACGCCCATGTTCTGCCTGTCCAGGAAGCCGAGCAGGTCGTCGAGAGCGTCTTGGTAGCCGTCGGTGCGGGCTTTGTCGAGGTCGGCCAGGGCGGACTTGTACAGGTTCGTCACCGTCAAGGCGGCGGTGCGGAACGACTGGTGGACATCTGGCTGGGCCCGCGTTCGGGGCAGGGATTTGTTGAGGCTGCGCATCGAGTCCATGGCTGCAGGTTGAGGCAGAGCGGGCGTGCTCTAGTCACTTGTCAGAGGTATTGCTTTTCGCTTCCGAAGCCGGGATCTGTTACCGGCTTTTTGCCGCCGATGCACCGCACAACAAAGCTGGGCTGCGCGCCTGGAGTGTGGTCTTGATTGCACAACGGCTGCTGTCCGAGGAAGCAGCGCAGCGCACGTGGTGAAAAGTGTCGTAGGTGGACGATGGCGTCTTTGGCGGGGTGTGTGACAGCTGCATCCTTCTCCTTCTGACATGTCCGTGCGTCTGCTAACTGGCTCCGCCACATCACCCCCGCGCCTTCTTCCCCATTCGACCACTCCACTCCACAACATCCGCTAACACCTGACCTCGTCATGGAATGAGAGGTGAATGATACGTCCGTCGCCCGTTTTGGAATCTTACTCGAGTGCTCGCCCGCGTCTGTGCTTGCATGGCGAACCCGATGCCCTCGCCGATAGAAGGTCTCCCTGTGGAGATCCTGGACATGATCACCACAAACCTCGACTTGCCAGCCTACCAAGCACTGCGACTCACCTCTCGACATGTAAATCTGCTCAGCCTGTCGAATTTTGCCAAGACGTATTTTTCCGAGCTGACGACTACGCTTTCCTCGCCATCCCTCGACCGTCTTTTGAGCATCTGTCGTAGTAACTACTGGTCCAGTGCTGTCACGCTTCTGGATATCAAGCTCTTCAACCATGAAGACTATCAAGCTCTCACCGACATCAGCCGCATTGGAATGTGGCCACCACCAAAGCGTTTCACCCATGTGCCAGTCACCAAACCGGAGAATATCAGCGGGGAGTCTACACTGTACAACGATGTTCTTGGTTCCAACTACCCAGATTGCATTGTTGATCGCCTAGTCCGTTCTCTCCAGGGCTTCAGTAATCTCAAGGCTGTTCGTTTCCGCACAAATTCCTGTGAGCCATTTGACTGGAGCATCACTACCATGCCTCGAAGCGACGAGGTCTTCCGAAGTAGATGCTTCCACGCCGTTCTCGACGCCATCACCAAAAGCAATATCAACTTGCAAGAATTCACCATGGCCAGAATGAGAAAATCTACAATGTCCAGGTATGCTGATATCCCACATTCAGCCCTACTATTCTCTACCTCTCGTCTTGCGGAACTTCAGTCACGATCTTCCAACCTGAAGTCTCTCACCTGCTCCATCATTGCAGGCTGTGACAGAGATACCCGCAGCCCTGGGTGGGAGAACGGATTGAGCAAATTCATCGCCATAGCTCCAAATCTTCAACGCCTCGCTCTCAGTTTGGACCGCAGCTTTCACATTTCTCGATACTCGGCGTCCGTATTACGTTCTCTCGCCCTCTCCTGCCGACTTTCACAACTCGAGGACCTCCATCTTTGCAACTGCTTGATCCACGAGGAAGACCTGACAGTATTCGTCAGAGCGCACGCACCATCTCTACGTCAGCTCACCCTTGCAAATATTCACCTACTGACGGGGAGCTGGATATCATTCTGGATCATGTTGAAAGAGGTCGAAGGATTGCAGCGCTTTCGGATTGCTGATTTGCATGGGACAAGGGGCACTATTTCTTTCCGACGACATGGCAGGGTGCATGAGAAAACTCGTCTGGATGTAAAGAAAACTGGACGCCGCATGGTAGATATGTTGGATCATTTGATCGCTGGCTTTACGGCGATAATGGAAGCCGAGCCTGTCGAGTCTTATGCGGACTGAGATGGAGTAAATAGGTTGGAAACACTCGTCTTTCTTATCTTCTATTTTCCGGCAATCTGGTAGCAAAGGCATTTGAGAATGGTCTGGCTAGAAGGTGTGAGATAGTCAGAGGCTTATTGCCTGATTTAGGAATGAATATGTGTTGGTTATAATTATATCGGACGCCTGAGGCGTAATTAAGCATTGTGCCAAGATCATCCCCCGCACCCAGCGTAACTGCTTTTGTCCTTCTCTCGACTACACCTTCCCTATAAAACGCTACTCGACGACTACCAGCACTGGGAACAATCACCTTAGGTCCCCTATCTCTCGGTCAAGGCTTAATGTGATAGCTACGGATTAACATTATCCACAACGCCTCATTCAGCAAACAGAACAACCAACTCATCCCAACGCCAAGCTACGGCGAGCCAATCGAAACATGGATTCGTCCAAAAACAAGATAATGGTAAGTCAATGCTTCACAAAGAGGTATCAAACAACTCACGCACACTACCAGCCCACCGCAGCAATCCAAGCAGCCGCAATGCCCTCACTATACACTTCCATGCCCCCCACTCCCCAAATCAACATCCTATACCTCGCCCCCGGCCAAGAAATCATCACTCCCGACCAACTCAGCGCATCAAATCCAGAAATGTTGCCCAATGTAGGCCCACAACTCGCGAAACTATCCCCATCAGTAGTAGTGAAATACGGTACCCACGCGTCCCTCATCGAAGCCAAGAACATGCTATACATAGCTGAGCGAACATCCATACCCGTCCCCAAACTATTTGCAGCTTATGCATACGGGCCTCTGGACAGAGATGTGGGGGATTACGGGAGCGTGTATGATACGTATATTTTCATGGAGTTTATCGAGGGTGAGGATCTGGGGAAGGCGTGGGGGGGATGCACGGATGCGGAGAAACAAGTGATCGCGACAGATTTGAAAAAGTATATGACGGAGCTTCGCGCTCTGCCCGCGCCTGGGTACATTGGGTCTGTGCATGGGGGGCCGGTTACGGATGTTATATTGGAGTGGTCGACGAGTTGTAAAGGTTTGTTCGCATACATATTGGGGTGTTGATAGCATTGTTTCTGACTAGGTTACTAGGCCCGTTCAAATCCGAAGAAGACTTCAACGCTACGATCGCCGAAACCTATATCGCCAACTCAAAACGCCAGACTGGTATTGGTCCCTTCATCCGCGGCATGATTAACGCACACAAGCATGACATTGTCTTCACGCACGGGGACCTTAGACCTGCTAATATCATCGTCAGGGATGGTCGCGTGGCGGCGATTGTTGACTGGGAACTGTCGGGGTGGTACCCCGAGTATTGGGAGTTCGCGAGGGCGTTTTATATCGAGACTTTTGTTACTGATTGGGCGTCGCATTTACTGGGTGTTCTGAAGCCGTATTATTGTGAGCAGGTGATGTATGATAAGTTGATGGGTTTGTTGTGGTAGATGATGATGGAGCTGGTGTCAGCGGTGGAGAACACTGGGGTATGAGATCGTGTAAATTGCCTCGCAGCTTTAGGGTGTAGACTACATAGAGGAAAGACTGTGTTCTACCTTGCGTTGAAGTGTAGAATGGAAGGTAAAACTACATATGATAGTATACATCTTACACCGATTTGCAGATTTATAAATAATATACAGAGAGGTTTTACTCATTCCATGTAATTTTATATAACTGCTTACTTACAAACTTGAATGTAAGTTTAATTCCAAGCCGTATTATCGGTAGGATAGTAGGTAGGCTCATTATGAGCTCCATCGTGGGTGGGCTCGTAGGTGGGCTCATTGTAAGCGTGTACATGAGATAGTGTTGATAGCTGAGTTTCCACCTTATGTAGGGTAGGCCAAAGAACCTTTGTTGCGATTAACAGTAGGACTAGTAATAGGAATTCGTTGGCGCGAAAACGGGACCAATTGGGGGGTGCGCGAAGCAGCTCCCAAATCATCCTTTAGATACAAGCTGGAATTGAATTATATCTAGGAAGAGACCTTGATGGACCATTCAGCGCGTCCTCTCCTACGACCATCTGAACCGCCGCATGGGGTGGGATGATAGTTAGCTGTTTCGCGCTATAAGACATCTAAGAAAATTACTGAGTACATACATACGCAGTGTAAATTTACCTAAAGCGCAGTGTAAAATATAATTTTGCTTAATGCTCCAGTGTAAATTACCCGATATTTGGGTAAATTACACCCTCGCGGTATTTCAGTGAATAATGTCGAGCATCCATAGATTGGAATAAAATTGTCTCCAAAACCACCACTCGATATTGACACACCCAGGATTAAGCCGCGGAAAGGAGTGCAATACGACTGCTCTGTACGAGCGCGGAATGTACGACTTCGGCGAGGTGTTTTGTGGACCCCAAAGTACCAGGAGTATCACACCACCTGCAGAACTTCACTTCTAGATAGTTATGACCGACCACTTCATAACAGAAACATTTCCAATATCACAAACGCGTCACCATCAACGTAAAGTCCTGGACGCCTGAGGCGAGATTAAGCATTATGCCAAGATCGCCGAAAAACTAGCTCCATCCGGGAGTGTCCGTTCGTTTCACTTTCCGTATCTGGCTATCAGTGTCGGTGCGTGAAAAAGGGCAGTAACAATCAGATCCGTGCGCCGCAACCACGCCGCACTAAACACTCTCTCCAATGACAATATTGGAGCAACCGCCGCGAATCACCCTTTAGCCGCTGCATGGGGGATGCCCTGTTGCCTCAGCTGTGGCCCCGTTGTGAAGCTGTGCCACACCGAATCGCAGAGCCAATGGAGGACACAACAGAGGGAGAACACGCTCAGTTGGGTATGAAGGGGAATGCTCCATCAATCGTCCTGGCCTGCTGCTGACCTCCTGGCGCGTATAGTCGGGCGAATATCTGTCCGGTTACTGGTATAAATGTTCGTCACAAAGCAGTTTGTAACGAGTCTTTAAGACAAGCCTATCCATCGAAACAAAGTACCAGGTCAGTTAGTCTCGTGTTGCTCATCGAAGTTTCCTCACCGTGTTGTCCTAGATCAAATACCAGTCACGAATCCGACGTCACTTCAAACACGTTCATACATTTCCAAGATGTCGAAATACCTCAAGGAGTTCCACGACAATATCATCAAGACGCAGAGCTACAAGAAATTCTTCAATCAGCAAACCCCTGGAGGGCGTATCTTCCCGTCAAAGACGGCAAGGAACGACGCAGCATCCCAGTTGCGCTATGATGCTGGAGAGGTGGTGAATGGAAAGAAGAAGATCAACCTACAAGTCAACTCTCAAGCGAAGGGTGCTGCCCTCAAGGAGTTCATCGGCAACAAGAAAGGAACCCATGGCACCATTGCTTCTGGCGAGATCGATGTCAACACCCCAGAGCATAAGCAGGAGGAGACGATTCGAAACTTGTTCAAGACTGTGGCCACCCAGTACAAGTCGAAGGTCGGCTAAGGGGGAAAGAGATCCTTCTTATAAGTCTGAAAGGTGCTGACAGTTCCTTTGGGTTTTTCTGACGAAGCTACAACGATACTTTCCCGCTGCTTATTGATGGATGAATTGGGGTCCTGATATATGTAGCGTAAGATGTAGCGCTCCTGTCCCTAGAGTCCATTGTAGTCGAAGGAATGTAAATATCTCGTTTCTATCCTATGTGATATCACTTCCAATCATAGCTCGAGACGTCTTGATAGTACTGTCACATTTTTGCCCTGTATGAGCTCTCCAACTTGCGTGATGAACATAGGGAATCGCCCAGGTCCTCCTTAGTACGGCCAGATCTTCCGTATCTCTTCAGCCGATTTACCATACTCCGCACAGTGAGCTATGCAAATTTCAAGCAGTTCCTTGTTCCGCTGCTGCTTCTCCTCAAAGTCATCATCAGGGGCAATCCAGCCGTCGGCATCGGTACCCAGATATTCTCGGGCCAGTTCATAGATCTTGTGGTGATCCCGGTATACTTCAAATTCCTGCTGATACTTTTGGATCTCATCCTCGCTGAAATTGCATGGACAATCGCCGGAAAACCCCGCTTCATTCCATACGTCAGCTATTGCAATTAGGCAAGCACGAAGAGGTACAATACCCTCTTCCCACGCTTCTCCGCAACGGAGAAAGAGTTGTCGGAAAAGAGGAGGAAGACGTATGGAATTAAGGACATTCTTGTTCTTAAAACCGCTGGCAGCCTCGTAAGCCTTGCCCATCATTGCTTGTTTGTGTCTGAACCTAGCAATCGCTTGATCGTCGTCGTCCATTTCATTAAAGTTCTCCGGGAGCGTTGGTACCTCGTTCCCAAGCTTGTAGTCGTCGCCAATGCTTATAAATTCAGGGAAGCGAACTTGGTAAAACAGAGGCGAGACTACAATAGATTGCAAATCAATAAGTGAGACGATTTGGGTAGGCTCTTCGTCAGACACGTAGATGTTTCCCATGTGTAGGTCGGTATGCCATAAGGTCGGCCACGAGAAGCGTCCAGGAAGAGTCTTCGCGTCCATCTTAGAAAAAACCTGTTTAGCTATTTCCAAAACAGCAAGTTCTTCCTCAGTCGAGGCTCGTGGCGGCCCGTAGGGTACAACTTTGGGATTCTGTTTGATACGTGAAATCTCGCGTTCGGCAAGCGCAACGCCAAAAGCAGGTAGTGTAGGCCCTAATGAGGTATGATTATTAGTTAGGTAATCAAGTTGCCCCAGTATTACTCACATGGCCCTCGATCAAGGTTTGCCTGTACAGATTCCGCTTCGTCCTTGCCAAACCATGACGGCTCGCAAGACGGCCCAATACAAAAATGACCGGAAGGATCCATGTCGGGTGCGAGTGGTTCGTACTTGTCGTCAGCCCCCATTGACTCACGGAAGTATAGACTTCCATTTGCGGGGAAAGCAATCGCCGCGAGATCAGCTTCAACCTTGCACAGGTTTTCGATAAATTCAAAATGATTGTACTCTTCCATCTCTCCCCATTTCTTGACCAGTTGACAGCCGGCAGCCTTCTCCATTATGATGTATTCGGCACCGACTGGGTTCGAAGAGTCGGCATTCCATGCTAGGACTTTGGGGACTGGAACTGTGGTGTGGTCATGCACTATTATCGTATTGATTAGTCAGTAGCTTCCTCTTTCAAGACATAAGGACGCACAGTATTGCAGAACAGCTGCTTCAGATGCTGTGAGGTACTTAGGGGGCCCAGCAATAGAGAAAGGAAGTTTAGCAACGACCTCCGTTCCATCTTCTTTGCTCATAAGCAGTGCCTTGCTGAAGCCGCCTTCCATTTTCTCAATCGCGCGGATAGGCGATTTGCTACTGCCGGCAGAGGCGGCTACAGCGCAGAGCTGGTCTAAATCGAATTTCAGATATCTTCGGTCGCATGACTCCTTCTCTCTGGCTAAGAAACGTCCGTTGGTATATTTGAAAAGCTCCTCGCGACTAATTTTCTTGCCTAGAACAACTTGATTAATAATTCAAATGGGTGACAGGTAGTTCTTACCCCGGCAGAGTATCGAAAGAGTTCTGGATGAACTGGAGGAACTCGCGTGCTTGCTCTTCCAAAACTTCATGCTGATAGATGTAATAGAAAACAAGAATGGCATACTCTCCGTATTGATTCTGTTTGAGACTGATTTGCTTAGTAACTGTAAGCACTTATCATGAGAGGAGGGTAATCGAAATACCTGATGCTATAGATCCTTGGGCCTTAGTCTGTGGTTGAAGATGTACACGCGCGCCAGACTCTGATTGGAATGGCAAGCTGAGCCAGAGAAGAGAGAACGTGGTAGCGAAACAAGTTTGAGTACAGACGACCTCTAGCTTCGGTGCATATGCAACGCGCTCAGGTTGCTAGAGTCGGTGACGTGGGCTGTATTATCGATACTTTCAGGACCTGCGGCACAGCATCGACGCATGTAAAGGCGATCGGGAGCGAGGTCTCGGAGAGATTGTAGGAAGATATCGATGTAGACAGCGTGAACCAACAGCATGGAACTCTTCGGTTGTCGATCAGCTAAAGTCAAGGGATGGGAGAGTAGTTGGTGTACATTGAGGCAAGATTGCGGCGAGGGAAGAAGAGTCGAGGTGGGATTTGTTTCATGGAAGCGCCGGGTGACGTAAACAACACGCTTAGACCCTAATGGAAGGCTGCGCATGTGGGCGTGGACTTTGTAAACGCTTTCCCCGCTTAATAGTGGTCCCTTCAAGATTTTGCCCAGCCGCCAGATTTCACTTGCGTACATTTATTCTGCGGTGTTAATACCTGTACTAGCGTTTCCTCAAGATCTTTCGGGGTAGCATCGGCTAATTTGTCAGCGGCATGGTTGTTCTAAATTTACCACTAGTAAGGGTTGAAGCCAGTCAATCCCACAGCAGATGCTAAGCCACTATGGCTCAGTCCCCGCGCCATAGCTCAATCCTGGTTAGTGGTAAACCTATCAGGTTTAATTCTACGGTAAGGTGCCTAGCGGAGCCACACGAGACGTCGCGCTGCTCTTGCGCCAGCTGCAGTGCACCTTGCCTGTCACTTAGAACGGCCTCATCGCCATGCCCCCGGTTCCAAAAATCGCCATACCAAAGCTTAGTATTGGCAGCTTATCGCATATGCTGACAGGTTGACGTAGGGTTATGTAATCCCTGGCTACAGTGCGGCGCAAACCTCGTTGCGACTGCGTTCGAGGGGAAGCCGGTTTCTAGAGAGCGCCTGTTCTGAAGAGTGCTTATCTCAAAGACAGTATCGTTATGAGTCACTCTCAGTCAATTGGGTGATCGAAGTGAAGAAAGCTCACACCCTTGGCTTACTGATTTATCTCACTTATCAATTCTTCTGAATCTCGCTGCAGGGACAGGGAATATGATGCTGAGTAGAGCGGATTTAATAACGCGAGTTCGACTTCGAAAAGCTCCACACGAGTAGGAATTTGACGACGTTGACTGATGACTTTTTGTTGCCATCATGTATGTATTTTTTGGTTTCTCGGAAGTTAACTTTTGATGACATGAATACTTTCACACCGTAGTAACGAGCCGTTTGGAAAGTATTCTGTCGGATATGCTGATTGTTCGAGGTCAACGTCGCGCTCAATTCCGGCAGAGACTAATACTTGGAGAAGTAAATTGTTTAGGCCCCAGTTCACCTGAAATAAACTGGAACTCCAGGACTCCAACTTTACAATGTTGAGCGGGTGATCCATGGGACACGTAATTCTAGCAGACAAATCGTTTCAATAATCAACTTCTATTCCACAAATATATGTCAAGAACAGTACCTCTGGCCATTTTGTTGAACAAACGATGAACTCCCGTTGGGTTCCGATCAGCAGTATCATGATTTTGATGAAGATGTATTCATCACTCCACTATTCAAGCCGAAGAAGCCACAGTTTGACTGGCATGCACTGTTGGTTGCCATATAAATCACGGTTTTTCGGAGTAGAGGGTAATATTCAAATGAAAGACTGTTCTAAACATGATCTACATCGAAACAAATCATAAAATTGAATGCCCCTGTGGCTTTGAAACTGACTCCTTATCATTCGGGATCAACTCTACCCTCCTCTTCATCCAAGCGTACATGATGTTGCTCCAGTCATTAGTTGGCCCTGACAGACTGTCCGCTGAAACCGAAGCCCTGGCAGCTGTTCTGCTTGGTGGTGGTGAAAGAGGTGCTCTGGCAGTTGGTGGCTCGGTAAACAGTGAGTTTCAATCCCTTGTTGCTGTCGTATGCAACACTGTTGCCAGTGTTGAAGTTTTGGCAATTGTTGTTTCCGGCCTCGCGATAGTTATGATAAGCTCCCGTGACGCAATTGGTCACGGAAAAGGCGTGGACATCGGGAGTCAGGACAACGGCAACTGCGACACTGGAGGCAAACGTAAACTACATTTTGAATTGGTGGGCTATGAGAATCAAGTCAGTTAGTGTAAAAAGTGGAAGGCACGGGTTGTGTCCTTCAATGAAGTGGAAAAACGTACTGGAGAAGTGATGGCATCGAAGATCGATGAGAGTGGTTGTTGAAGCTGTGTGGAGGAGTTGAAGTTGCTAAGTGTTGTGATGATATTGAGTAGAGGGGAGACATCGTCCAGGTACTTATACGTCCCAGAAGACCCCGGTTTTCATTCACATTGGAGTCATCCTGGGTATGTGTTCTGTGGACTAGATAGCATCTGGAGTTCTATGCGAGAGGATCTTGAGCGGTGAGAAAGCCCTGGTATCATGCCTTGAGATTGCTGATCACTATCATGACGAAGAGCCATCTAATGCTGGGTGTATAACCTGTAACGGTTAGTGAACTACTTAACCTTACTAGAGGCCTATAGTTTTTGAACGTATTGTTCTCCGCCACGGTCTTGCCGTGGCAACAGAGTGAGCTGCTAGCAGAAACATGGCTGAAAGTAGACCCTATGTATTCTACCTTGCCACGCTGCTCCGTCTCTTCTTGCTATGAACACCGGCATCGACTCAATATGATTCTTATGGTCCCGACTCTAGAGTTCGCAGCTTCTCAGCCAATACTATACTACGTGTGCTGCTCCATATCAGATATGTGATACTTCTGTAGGTGAAACGTTCCTGGTTAATCTTTCGACTTCATGGTGAGAAAATATCACCCGGGTAAATCACATGCTAGCCCTTAGAAGACTAGACGTCGTCTGTAGAAGCTTCGTCAGTGAATTCTGGCTCCGCCCGTCACTGTCAGGCACCGATAACAACTTGAAATGGAGTGAGCACTAATCGACTCCGCCTTCATGGCATGGAAACAGACTAGCTGTTAGCGCACGTGGCCAGCCGCTTCCGACGCCCGTTCCGCATCTTTCATCGGCTCTTTTTATCACTAGCTATGGCCCGCACGGGCGACCCACATCCATATCCCTGCAGACTGGGGGCCTGATGTACGAGCCTATTATAATGATTCTTCAGCCATGATTTAATCAGGAACTCATCTCCAAGACGCTACAGCTTTCCTCTGGATAGTAAGATGTTGTATTTTCAAGACAAGTAATGGTGATTGTAGTCTCTCTATTCGATATCTCCCTTACTTAACAAGAAAGGTTTGTCGGACTGACCATGGTAACATAAGTCTACAATTGTCTCGGCTTTTTGATTGATCGTAAGGATAGGCAGGAATTTTGACCCGCCGACTAGTGTTGATGAGGCTGAACAGAGGGGCTGCAAGATCGATGACGCTCGACATCCCCACAACACAACTCATCCAATAACATGATTCAAGTATACTGTTCACTGATTGATGGGAAATAGTTATCTAGCACAAGGTATATGGCGAGTGAATTCACCGACTTTATAAGGATGCTTTCAGTAAATCTGGTTTTACCGAGAAAGAAAACGTTCTATCAGCATGTTTAGTTAGTACATTTATTGCAAACTGTTCAATTTTGTCCCCTCCAACTTCGTACTCCTATGTGTCAACTGCTGAATTTAGGACCAAGATAGAGATAGATCAAAACGCTTTGCTTGTAGTGCACAGTCTCACTCGCGCTTTCTTCTACGTTCAACCCCTCACGTTCCTCTCAATTCGCTCGAGATTACGGTCACTCCAATGCTGAACTATGTTGTCATAAAGCAGTCCATGATTGTGCTAAAGTTCTCAATTGTTATCACACCTGTTATGTGTGTTTAGCCATGATTTAGCCATCTACAACTTTCGCATGCATACCAGGCCATTGCACAATGAGCACAAATGCCAGAACAGTAGAGCGCGCAGCACTGCCTCACGAATCCCTTAACTCGAGAGTAGGTAGCAAATTACCGTGAGCCGCACCTTCGTTACTCCTATCCCATGCCCAACGCTTGGCCAGTGTAGGCTCCAACTCGTTGTCCAGCATATCCACCACATAGCGTCCAATAGTTGGCATGAATTTCCACCCATGGAAAGAGCCAGCAGTGGCTACGTAAAGATTCTCACAATGTGGATGAGCAGTGATGACGAAGTCTTGGTTCGGGGTTACCGCGTCCCTGAATATCAAGATTAACATACCCTATCTTCACTACATTCAAGTAATTTGAGGTGTCACGTACCAGCAGACTCGGTACTCGTCAATCGTCACACTCCTCCCGGGCTCGCCTAAAATGCCGTTCTTTACGGTTTCGAGTCGCGCTTTCAAGCCTTCGGTTGGATTCTTTTGGTCTTGATCTGGGCTATCTGGCGGCATGGAAAAGGACTGTCCAGATGCTTCGTGCTTGACGGTTTTTTTGAAGCTCTCATCGCGACAGAACTTCACTGTATATGGCTCGTCCTCAATCAATGGTGCTGTCAAAGGCATGATTTCTCCTGTGCTTGAAGTCAGCTTTTCTGAGCCTGTATAGGTTGAATGACGGGACACACCTCGAGTGGTTTTGATGGCGTGAACACTGACAGGTATCTCTGTATATTTCTTGCCTTTCTGAGGATCAAGATTGACGATACCAGTGACTATTGCTGCAGGCACCATACGGCCGTCTACCTGAAGATCCACACGGTCAGGTGCGCTACCCGCAAGTAATTTTGCTGTACCAGCTCCGGTGTAAAGAAGGATACGACCGGCGACAAGTTCATCTCCATTGGTGGTACGAATACCGGATCAACCTTCGCCCTGTTTGAAGGTCAAAGTCTTGATATCAGCTTTGACATACTTCACTCCAGCAGCCACGGCCGCATCGGTGAAAGCAGCAAGGACTTTGGTAGCTTCCGCCCACCCGCTGTTTTCGTTGACGAAGACCTCAGTGACATCCGTAAAGTCCATATGATCATAGAGGCTTCCATATATCTTCCTGGGTATTTGAGCCCGTTGCCCTAATCACTGTTGCGCAACCACAAACTCCAGTGACTATAACAAATGTCGAGCTCAACACAGCACATCTGGACCTAAGTACATAAGTGAAGAACAAATTAGCCGCAACCTGTTTTACTCTTATTAGTACTTCTTCTAGACTGCAAAATATTGCAAGTGTTGATAGTCTGGGTCAGGAGGTTGTTACAATACTGCTACATAATAAGCTACATGGGTCAGATTATAGGAGGAGCAGCAAAACGAAGCCGCTCTTTTTGGTAATCTTGACGGGTTCTGGGTCGCCTTTTGGTTGCGATCAAGGTAGTGAAGTTGATCTTGACGGGATTCTTTGTCTTCCTCTAGTACCTTGATCGTGTCTTCATGGCCCACGTACGGGGAGATGGTCGAAAGTAAACTTCGTACTCAGATGGACACTGAACAGATGAGAAGATTGGATATATGGTAGGCCAAGAAAGTATTTATGAAGCGACTGACGAAGTACGTAGATGTATGATACAAAGTTGAGTTCAATGTCGAGTATCAAACGAGTGTCAGCTAACACCCTGCAACTCCCGAATGGAACAGATTTCAGTTCCCATCACTTCAATGAGATTCTGAAAGATGACAACACATGCCCCAAGACGTGAGGAGGCTATGTGCTAGATGTCTACTCATGTTCATTTATGAGGCAAAGTGCTTACACAACGTCACTTGTGAGTAAAGAGGGTTGTTGTGGAGGACCATGTAGTCTCAAATACTGCTAATTAAAACGTGCTACCTATCCGCTCATGCTGGAATGGAAACTCGAACGCAATCATAGCCTCTGCCGGTATACTCGATAGTTCAGCCTAACCTCAATCCTCGAAAAGACATTCAAGCTTTCCCCTGCTCGGAATGTCTGTATGTAACTAAATCGTCGATAGTCTCATCCGTGAATTTAAGGTCTTCTTCAACCGGCACGGTATCCTTGACCTTCAAAAGAATGACCGGCAGCGCAACGACCAGGCTGCCAGCTAGCAAGATCCAGCTCGAAGCAAACATGTTCATGTATGGGGTCCCCTTGCCATTCAACCGCCAAATTATGGCTGCACCAGCTGACTGTATGCCTTTATAGAAGCCTGCGAAGTTAGCCAATTTACGACTATTGTTGGTAATTGCTCCCATCAGCCTGTCGCGAGTTAGCAAAATCTATTCGCGGAGCAGACTCAAGCTGTTTACCAATACACACACGTTTGCCAGGCTGCATCGTAGAAGCCATAAGCAACATATAAAAACATTGGCCCCACAAAACCATCTGTCGACCAGTCGTATTGAGTGACAGTGTTTTCCTGGATATCTTTTCGTGTGTATCTCCTCTGAAAGACATATCCTCCACCCCAGACGGCGAATGTAAGGATGAACATGATAACCCAAGCAAACTTTGCTCGAGTAGTCCTTCTGATATTCGGAAAGTCGAGGCCGAATCCAAATACGAGAGCCCCGATCATTTGAGCTAGCCAGTAGAGCGTGTTGTTGAGTGCGCGAGTACGCACGTTGAATCGCGCTAAGTTGACATCTTGAAACTGATAGGTGTAGAACCAATTGGAGGCAAAAAATAGAGGAAATAGGAAGATTATGTAGGGATCACTCCTAAGTGTCTCCCACAGGCCAATAATCTCCGATTTCCATGTCGGGTGCTTCATCAGAATAATCTTAGACCCGTCACGACGCACGACATGCTTTGCATCGACTAAAGTCCAGGACAGACAGGCTCCGAGACCTGTGAGAATCAAGAAACCGATGTAAGTGGCGTTACTGACACCTTTGCCTTTGACTGTGTCGTTGTCGATGTTCAGGCCAAGTGTAACCTGATATCGATATAAGCTTTTTGCATCCGACATCAGATGGGACAATATCGACTTACCACACTGCCAATCACAGCACCTAGGTTGAAAATTATCCAGAACCAAGAAATATATCGGCCTTTGAGCTTCTCTGGCGGATACGACATCATTATGGCTCCTTGCGCAGACCAGAGAATGCCGGCACAGCTTCCAAGCAACACGCCGGCGAAGACGACGTAGCCAAAATTCTTTGTGTGATTGAAGCACAGATACGAGCTAACGTAGACGCAGTATCCAAAGCCGCCGAAAGAGAGGGAGAACCTGATGCCCAGAGTATTCACGATCGTGCCGGCGAAGAAACCAACAACAGCGAAGGTAGCGTAGAGTGCGCAGTTTGAAGCGTCACTGGCGTAGGCATCGTCGTCAAGTTGACCTCCACCTCCAAGGCCGTTGAGAGCATTGAACATGCCTGCATATAGTCAGTACGCTAAACAATATCGTCGCATAGTGTACACTTACCTGGACAAAGGAAACATACGAATGACACCAAGATCAACTGCGACTCAGGTGAAGCATAATAGGGTAGGGTCAGAGGTCCGAGTTTCAAGGCCTTGTATTTCCATCCGGTCTGCCTTTCGATCTCGCGACCATATATGGGTTCAATGGAGTGACCTAGCGATTGTGTATCCATGATCGTAGGACCTTTTCTGAGCTCCACCATGGTGTGTTGGTAGAGTGCGACTGGCCTCAAACGACTAAGGTAGGGCCGTTGTCGTGGTAAATTTCTGTCAATAACACGTAGAAGATACTGCTTGATTAACAGTGGCACTGGTTCAGTGACACCGTGGAAGACAAACAACCAACACTAGATACGAAAATAACTGGAAGGTGGACAATAGCTGAGTAAGTAGAAGACCGGATGGACAGGTCCTTCTCCTGTAGCCCCCGACAGTGCACTGCCTTGACTATGTGGAAGGGTGGGGGCCAATACTTGCCCGGCCACGATATCAGTCAAAAGAGTCTTGCGACATGCACCTTACAGTACACCATGGAAACTATTAAAGTTTGGTATCATAAGATACCTTGAGCTCTCGCGAAGCTTACTATCACAATAATTTTGGTTTTCGACGGTGGGTGTATGAGGCTTCATCGATTTTACGTTCAAGGCTGAATTCAATACTTCAGTTGTGATGATGGATCGACTGCTGTACCACATGAGAGGCGTTCACATGTGCGCCCTTGATATTACGGCGGCTTACGCAGACCCCGCTCCGAGCTGAAGATGCATATGCGTATGTCCGTTCAACCAGTCGAAAGGTAATTGAGTCGGATGTTAGATTTGTTGAGACTTTGTGATTGGGGCCTTTAAGGGTGTGCGCGTGCTTCCTATTCTGGTCTCCTGTGTTCGAGACCTGAAAGACTGAGACCAAAGCTGCGTTCTTCATGGGAAGCAACGCGATAAAACTGAAGGGAGAAGCACAGCAAAAATTTGAGGCTAGGTATATACAAGCGACGTATAAGGAGCACAAGCTATACACAAAATTTGTATGTAGTTGTCTAACTGTTCGAACATCTCGCTGCAACTTGTTCCTTGGTATTTCAACTAACCGAGAGCTGAGGTGTGGTCAGCTCAGTTACACAAGGCTGTGGCGCACGCCGCTTACGACGCATAATCTCTCTCGCAGGCTGACCTGGACTCGACGCTTTTTGTAACCTGGAGTTCGGTTTTCTCGTACCTTTCAGCATGTATCATACTAGTACGTCCACGTATGATCATAACGCGCGCGTCATGGCAACGATGACTCCGTTCACGGCTGTGAGCACCGCCTCTGCCATTCTGTCACTGAGCAAGAGGGCTTGGAAGCTTGGGATTGCGCTTTCAAAGCTCGATCAGGGTGCTGAACTTGTCGATACTATGATCAAAGTTTTGACAGAGGAGGTCAAATCGCTTGGGATTGAGTGCGATCTTGTATACACCGAACTAGAGATGGATGTCAACAAGAACGGTGCAGGCTCATCTCCGCTACTTGATGTTGACAACAGAGTATGGGATTGCCTCGAAACGCAGATAAAAGAGACCAGTCAAACAATACAAGAGCTGGAGATGTTCGTCGAAAGAGTGGGAAGTCAGCAGATCGGTTTCTTCGGCCAGGCTCAGCGCCAGTGGAAGCTGGACGAAAGCCGGCAGCAGATTATCAGCTTCGGGATGGTAGTATGTAGACACACCGACAATCTGCATATTATATCGCTGTTGATCGATACGTAAGCCTTACTACGATTGTCATTCGACAGAGCTGACCTCGTCTGCAGGATAATTACGCATCTTGCACCTGGCCGAGTTGATCAGCGGCTTTCTAAGAAGTTGGAAAGATTACAAGTCGTGATTGAGAAACTGCACAAATCATCAAGAGCCGACCCGCAGTCGCGCCTTTCACATACTGAAGCCACTTTGATACAATGTGCGCGCGAAGTCATCGCGACAGGTACGACCTTGTACGAAGCAAGTCTCTCTCCGAGGTCTTTCGCTGGAGGCCAAGAGACAGCGAGTAGCAATATCCGCGTCGTGGTTTGGGTGGATACTCTGGCATCTATCCGTCGGGACCAGCGATGTTTGGAGGCTTCAGACACAATCCCAAAGAGACCAACCGAAACTTCTGCGCAAAATGCTTTGCAGGAACGCGGAGCCGGCGATGTGGCAACGGACAATTCTGATGATGATTTGGAGACGGATCTTGCCAAAGCAGCGTTGGATACGGGCACAAAGGCTTTCGAGAGGCAAGAATGGACCGAGGCCGACTCTCTTCTCCAAGAGGCGTTACAAGTGCTGCAACAGCTTCCGGTGCAGCAACGCGCATTCTGTGATATCTTCGCTATACACTACATACTCGCTGTCTGTGCGTATCATACGCAAGGGCCTGCGGATGCCGAAATGGCCCTTGTGAGTCTGGTCCAACAGTCAGTGAGCTCGGACGCGAAACGAGAGTGTATCTACAATGCGTCACACCTATTGTCACAACTATATGTTAGAACAGGCCAGATTGACCGTGCGCGATCTGAGTGCGAGAAAGCGTTGCAGGCGCGCAGGCGACTACTAGGCAAACAGAGCGAAGCTTCCTTGGAGTCTATGGCACTCATGGCGCATATATACGTCTTGCTCGACAATCGCGCTCGTGCAAAATCATGTCTTGCCATGATACCAGAAGCACGCAGAAGCGCTGTAATACAACATGTCGAAGACTCCCTGGGCACGGAAGTTCATCTCGACTTTTCATCACTAATGACTCGACCGGCCTGTGATGACCCAGACCTGGTAACACAGAGCATCCAAAGTAGGCTCTCTGGGTCGACTGTTGGACTAGCCATGGAAGATCGTTCGTACCGCCCATTGTCTCTGTTAGTCAAAACGCCAGCTCCCAGTATTCGGCAATCGTTTGAACCAAGCCAGTCACCGCGATCCATTCCTATTGCACTTTCTCCCCTGCAGACAGTGTCAACTAATCCGAGGGTCATGAACGACAATAGATTCAAAGAGGAATACCCCGCAGACGCAATAGCAGTTGATGCCGCATCTCTGTGTCTCAGTGAACCTCCAGAGGCAAACGAAATTCCCAAAGGCAGACATCTGTCTCGGAAAGACGTGATCGCCAAGATAGGTTGCCAACCCAGAGATCGCATCGAGGAAGCTGTCTGTGACGGCGACCATTCGGCTTTGGCCAGTCTTCTTGACAAGAAAAAGGACTTTTGGCGGTCCAAGGTGCGGAAGCGAGTTCGTCCAGAACGTTTGACAGCGCTACACTTTGCTGCGCTCTTTGGCGAGATTGACATGGCACGGCGCCTGCTAGGCGCGAGTTTCAATGTCAATGATGTGCCGTACGGATATTCAACCAGATTGTCGCCCTTGAAAATTGCCGTTGGCGCACGACAAACGAACATGGTAGAATTCTTAATTGCCAACGGCGCTAAGCCATCTGAGCCGGACTCATGGTCGACTTTAGCTGGGCAGTTAATGAGTCGTTCATGGCTGCAAAAGACGCTCTCGGACGCCGAGAAAGAGTTTGCTCCAAACCGCATAGTTGCCGTATTGAACATCTTGATGAGACATGGGTGGGATGTAAATGCACCGTTCGAGTCGTCCGGCGCTACAGTGCTTCATCAGGCTGTCACTTTTTGGATGGGTGACTACAGGTTCGATTTAGACCTCCGTACTGCGGTCACTTCGTTTCTGTGTGCACGAGGTGCAAACCCTTACCAAGCGAACGGCGAAGGAAAGACGCCCTATGACTTGGCTTTGGCCTCTGGTCATCAAGATTTGTTAGCGATTCTTTACAAAGATTCGAAGAGGAAAGGATTATACGATATGTCGGATGATCCTGTTGAGCTTTCTGGTTAAGCTTCGTTGATTGGTATGTATGACGGTGGTGTAATGGTTACAGAATACCGAGTACTTTCGTCTGTGTTTTACGTTAATAGTCTATGCCAGACTTCGGACGGTGTTGGTGATGATAGCGCAACTCAAATCCATCTCTTCCCAAGCCCGAAGCCAATGTAAATATAGTCATAAGTAACAAGACACAACAAACCCGAAGATTGACAAAGCCATCGACAGCGGAGAGATACTGTGTAGGATGCAAACCTATCGCAGCAAGAAACCCCACACCAACACCTGACCTCGCGCGCCCGTGCTCCACCACCCCACTCTCCCGCCCAAACCCCTAGCGCAATCTTCCCACGCGTCGCATTTCGTCATCCCGCGAAACAACTTTCCCCCAACACACAACGCGTCACGTTCCTCCTATTTTACATCTTCACGTCTAAACTACATTGCATCGCAGTGTAATATTGTTGGGTCTTTTTATATCAAGGTGGTTTAGATAGCTTACTGAACACGCGGACTTGCGACAAGATGACGAAGCGCAGCTCGGACGTGTATCTGGCGATGGGGGATGAGGAGCTCGATGAGCAGATTGAAGATATGGCCGTCACGGATAGCTGTGATGTTGTTCGGTTTGTGGATTTTTTTATTCTCTTTTTTTGGCATTTTCGCAGTGAAGTGTGCATGTCAGGGGTGTTTTCGCGCCAATGTGCACTACATGCGCCATGATTCCCAGACAGTATTGTTCCCTCAGACGGAGATGCGCTCCATTACCGCATCTACCCACACGTCAATCGCGAATCTCAACTTATCCACCATTCCTGTCGATATTTGCACATAGTATGCTAAGACCCGTCGCAGCCGCAAAATCCGCACCTTCCTCGACAACGGCGAGATGAAAGTCGGCGAGTTCCAGAAAGAAATCGGCGTAAACTCCAAAGGCTACAGCATGTTCATGAACCAGAACGGGCGCGACAAAGGGTCCGGCTCGTCAGTGTACACAGCCGCATGGGCGTTCTTCAAGAAACGGGAGCTCCGCGGCATCAAGATGAAGCCGAATAAGAAGGTGAAGACTGCTGATGAGGGCGATGCTGTGCCGAGCGTGGATGGCGTTGAGATTGAGGGCGAGAAGGAGGACAAGGTGCCTGTTTTTGGTAGGTTGGTTAAGGTGGGATGGGAATGTGAGCTAATGGAAGGCAGATACGTGTGACGAGGTTCGCAGGAAAATCAATCTGCACCTCAAGAAGCCGGGTGTTACGCAGGCGGCCTTTCTTCGCGAGGTGGCGGCGCAGTATCACACCACGCCACCGAAGAAGATTCAGTCCAAGCAGCTGAACGATTTTCGGAGCAAGCACGGGGCTTGGGAAGGTATGTATCTCTTGACTCTGTTGACAGTGGTGTTCTCGGAAGCGACGGCGACTCAAAATCAAGAACGAAGGGTGCTGACAACTCGCCAGGCAACACATCGAGCGTCTTCTATGGCGCTTATGTCTACTTTGAAAAACTTCGCATTAAGGAAGGCAAGCCGAAGGGCAAGAAGAGAGAGGAGATGGAGGGGATCTGGGGTAAGGAGGGAGGTTTGGACACGAAGAGTAGGCGTGAGTATTTCACGTGTCTAGCGGGTGAGAGACCGGTTATGGATGCTCATGGCAGAGTGTCGTTTGGTTGATTGATAGAAAGAGAGGTTCGAGGACACATTTTTGAGAGGAGGCTTTGTTTTACTGTTCGTGTATAACAGCGCTGATTTTGTGGCTTAGGATGCGGCGTTTTGAGGAGTCGTCTGTTCTGACTGCTTCTTTCAGGGTAGCTGATATTGTTAGTAAGTTGGAAAGGTACCGTTCTCGCGCATGGTCCATGAAAGTAGTTGAAGTGTGTTTTTGGTGTGTTCCTCCGGGCTTTGAATGGTTCAATAGGCCCCTGGCTAGGCTGGTGAATATACATGCCAATGCCTCTCAAACTTCCATCCGTTGTCCGCTAAACTTGCTATAATATGCGCCACCAACGCCCATGTGAATATGTGTTGATTTGTTGGTTGTGTTATAATGTCGCCGCCGCCTCGATAGCTCCTGCCGCCTTGAATGCCCCTGGACTTGTGACAACAATCTCGACGGGGTATTTCCACATCATATACTTTGCCCACCCTATCTCGCTGTCAGAAATGTGACTTGGAACTTTCCTCTCGCGAGCGACGTACCCCAATATGCGCATTTCCTGCCAAAGTATTTTCCCAGATACGGCACCATGACCATGGTCAACAGCAACTCCATTTGCTGTAGCGACTCTCTCCATTCTCTTTCCGCATCTGAGAGATATTCTTCCTCGTCTGCTGAGGAGCTCGTCGCGGAGGAGGGGAGCGAGTCGATCTCGTCGGCATCCGAGGAGCTTGAAACACGCTCGATGAAGCTCTCGCTGTTGCTGAGCGACATGGCGGCGGGCGGAAGGAGACGATATTGTCCAAGAGAGCCAGGACAGGGCGGTTTGGAGGACAGGCTACGGCGAGCACATGGACAAGCCGGGGTGGGCGATGCAGCTTGACTGCGGGTGTCGTCGGCGCGCGTTGATTGATGTGAAGCCGAATGTGGCTGAGGTCTTGGCGTGGAGGCAATGTTCGACTCACAACGTTAGAAAAGATCAAGGTGACTGTCATTCCACGTCCACTCGCACTCCCATACACAATCCACGCCAAACTCTCAGACCGACCCACACACAAGCGTACACCTCTCTCTAGGAGCGGAAAACACATACACAACCGCAATCATGGCTGATTCCGTACGTCATTCCGAGCCCCACGTTCACGCTCGAAATGCACCCTCCTCTCCCCGCAGAGCCTCTGCACACCCCGTCCAGCGCCCACAGACGACCTTCATTGCTGTTCTTACGCAAAAACTCTCTCTAACAACACCGCAATACAGGAATCCGCCGAGCGCAAGCCCCGCAAGTCGGTCGCATTCTCCGAAGGCACCACAATTGTCGACAGCGATGGCCAGGTCACCGAGTCGAACGAGGTCAACGGTGGCAAGACGTCTGCCGAGAGCCATGCGCCTGCAGGTTAGGAACTCCTCACACGCGAGATGGAATTTGGGCTGACATGTGGGGTAACAGGCGAGACCGAGAAGGAGGTTGAGGAGGTCACGGAGATGTTTGCCGACCTAGCCAAGAAGGTGCGAATACCGTTTTGAAGACACAGCAACACGAACATCGGCTGACATGCTAGTAGAAGAAGAAGAAGTCGACCAAGAAGAAGGAGGGCGAGGAAGACGAGGCGGCCGAGGGCGACTTCGCCGCACTAAAGAAGAAGAAGAAGGCCAGCAAGAAGAAGGTCGAGGACGACTTCGAGGCCAAGCTCGCCGCTGCCGGAGGTGAAGCGCCCGAGGAAGAGGAGGTCGCCGCTGAGCCTGAAGTGCAGGAGGGTGACATGATGAAGGGCACAGGCATCTGGCAACACGACTCGACGACCCCCATCTCGTACAACCTACTCCTAAGCCGTTTCTTCACCCTCCTCCACTCTACCCACCCGGATCTTGCCAGCTCCAGCACAAAGAGCTACAAGATCCCGCCGCCACAGTGTCTCCGTGAAGGCAACAAGAAGACCATCTTCGCCAACATTGCCGAAATCTGCAAGCGCATGAAGCGTACTGACGAGCACGTCACACAGTTCTTGTTCGCGGAATTGGGAACCAGCGGCTCCGTTGCTGGTAACTCGTCCTTGGTTATCAAGGGTCGTTTCCAGCAGAAGCAGATCGAGAACGTGCTCAGGCGGTATATCATGGAATTTGTCACGTGCAAGACGTGCCGTTCCCCAGACACAGAGTACGCTTTCCCCTGATCGTGTCCATCCCTATCTATGCTGATATGTGTACAGTCTTTCCAAGGGTGAGAACCGTCTCAGTTTCGTGACGTGCAACAGCTGCGGGTCCAGGCGATCGGTACAGGCCATCAAGTCTGGTTTCTCGGCCCAGGTCGGCAAGAGAAGGAGGATGATCAAGAACTAATGGCTTTGGATTACGCACTTGATGAGGTTCAACGGGATGCATTGCTTGGATGGGCTGTCTGGGTGGCGCTATGGGTACATGGCGGTAGCCTAGAAAAGTTCTGGAGGTAACGAGGTCGCATGGATTTTATGATATGATTCGGGGCACGACAGGGCTGAAGGGCGAATGTACAGTCAACAGGAGAACAGAATGAACGGTTGATGACTCGAACTAATTGTGTGTGTAACTGTGTGTTCTTAACTTTGATGAGTTTGTGCTCAGGCTAATTTGCAGGCTTCGGCAAATCAAAGTTGATGTGTAGTCTGCTCCGGCCGCGTGGTGCGGGCGCTTACAAAGTACATTCCATGTGCATAAGTACATTCCGTGTGCATGTGCAAGCGCCTGGACCCTGGAATGCGTTCGTGAGCTGGGGGACAGTTCTTCTCCAGCCTTTGCTCCGTTCTCATTCCACCTGCGCATTGGCTAGTCTTGGACTGTCGTCGTCAGCAACAAGAATGCATTCGGTAGACAGGACAGGGCGTACCTTGCAGTACGAGCTTGGACATGTGGTACCCATGCGGGGCGGGCGGCGCTTCGACGCACCCCGCTAGCCAACGTCTGGCGGATTGAGGCTGAGCGCTTGACACGAAGGGGCGCCAGGCCATGCAGGTATATGTGCTGACCATGTCTTTGTTTCTCGCTTCCTCATTCTCCTGCGTCCTCGTTTTGCGCGTGCAGCTTCCGCCGTAGACACACGCGACGAATATCGACGTCCGAGTACGCAAATCAACATCTGCTGAAACATGTCTGGATATCAAAACCACACTCCCACTCCAAGTGGAGGAGGCTACTATCCCCGTGAGTACTTTTGTTGTGGAGAGAAATTCTGGAGCTTCGCCTGATTATATATAGCACCGCCATCTGGAGACGCTCAAGGACAGCAGCAGTACTTTGCGCCTCCGCCAGGCGGCCCACAGTCCTACCCACCACCGCCCGTATCTCCCCCCGCCCAGGCGCAAGCCCAACACTACCCTCCGCCTGGTGCGCCGCAGATGCAGTATGCGCCGCCTCCAGACCACTCGCAGCAGCAGCATTTCCCCCCGCCTGGGAGTGCACCGCAGCAACATCAGCCCACTCCTCAGCACCCGCCTGCCCTTCAGCAGCACCAGCCTATGAACCCGTATGGCGGCGCATCGAGTCCGAGCCCGCGTCCAGTTGTCGCACAGCAGCCCTCGAGCCAGCAACAACATACACTCCAGCAATCAGCACCACCGCAACAGCAGCAAGTACAAGCGCCACAACAACCGCAATTTACGGGCGCGGGGAGCACGTCGGCAGATGATGTGGGCACATTCAACGGAGGAAGCTACAGGGTCAGCCATCGGGATACAAACAGTATTCTCACAGTGCAGTTGGCGATCGGATGTCCGTTTACTGCCAAACCAGGTTCGTTGTCCCCCTAATTTCCCTAAGCCCGACATCAAACAGTGTGAGAAACAACAGACTGACGTTCCAACAGGCGCTATGATAGCCATGACCCCCACCATAACCCTCAAAGGCTCGCTGAAATTCTCCTTCAAAAAAGCCCTCGGCGGCGGCGACATGAACAAATCAACATACACCGGCCCCGGCGAGCTGCTACTCGCACCCCCCGCCATCGGCGACATCACCATCATCAAGCTCGGCGGGCAGGACCAATGGAGCGTAGGCAAGGACGCGTTCCTAGCGTGCACACAGGGAATCGTCACCGAGTACAAGAGCCAGGGCATCGGGAAAGGCATGCTAAGCGGAGAGGGCTTTTTCGTGTACAAAATCAGCGGCGTGGGCGTTCTGTGGATTACCAGTTTTGGCGCGATTATTAGGAAGGATGTAAGTCTTTCATGTCTCTCCTTCCCCCTGTTCATTCCTCGCTTCAGTGCTGGTCTAGGCCGTTTGGAGGTTTTAGCAATAGGGAATTTTTGCTAACGTGACAATAGCTCCAAAAAGACGAAAAATACATCATCGACAACGGCCATCTCGTTGCGTGGAACTGCAAGTATGTCCTCGAGCGCGTCGCGTCGGGTGGCCTCCTGTCGAATATGACGGCGGGTGAGGGGCTGGTGTGTAAGTTTACTGGGCCTGGGTCTGTGTTTATGCAGACGAGGAATGCGCAGGCGTTTTCGGCGTGGATAGCGGGGAATGCTGTGTAGTGGGTATTGGTTGGGTGTGAGATGTGTCGTTGCTGTTTGATGCAGGAATAAGCATTATTGTCTACAGGGTGGTGGAAGTGAAGTGTTAATGAAGCGTTCTTTGACTCATTTTGGATTTGTGTGAGACTGTATGATGGGGGAGCTGGTATTTACAAACTTCTTAATCGGAATCACAGTTCACTATCAAAGGGGTTCATTTAACCTCATTATTTCAATCCGAAGTCTAGAGCTTTGAAACACTGCTACGTAGAGTTTGTGCGTGATCCCTGTGATGCGGCTCATTCCTTGATTATCTTTACAAGGGGTGAGCTCAATGATTCCTATACAGAGCTCCTACTACAACGCTTACTAGTTCTATATGTGCATTGTGAAGGCATGTTTACTTGATATAAAATTTAAGAAGAGAGGCTGTAGTTATGGTCTACACTACTGCTTAGACCTATTGTTGAAGTGTATTTATATGCTCTCATACAGTGCAGATCTTGACGAGTCGATGAGTCATTTTTGCATGTTCAATACCTATATCGTTATTACTATAATTATGTACGTGTTTCCCTCTTTCTTTATGACGCCTTCAGTCCCAAAATATATACATGTTATCCTCTAAAAGCTAAGGCTTTCCTGAAGCAAGCTCATAATACGTTCCGTCAAATCCACTATATTCCTACCAACCTCCGCGACACCCTCGTCCGCGTCCGAGGACGAGCCGGGCACAAGCACCACATCCTTGACAAAAGTCTGTGACGCGCGCATACTGCGATAGACAGGCGAGACAGCAATCTCTCTGATATCGTTGAAGATAATTTGCAAAGGGATATACAACTTCCTCGCGATTTCATTATCGTAGCTGCACAGTGAAAGAACATTCAAATGCGACGACGCATACGATAGCTCTTGGCCGACTTCTTCCGCGAGGAACTCCACGAGCTTCTGCGAGGCGGAGAAGAGAAGAACCGTGCAGCCTGTAAAACAGGTATACCTAAAATCGCACACTTGCGTTAGAGCGCGTCGAACGGTTCCAGGTTGATTTCACGTACACTGAAACCCAACAACGAGAGCGGATCAGGTTGTCGGTTTGTAGTAAAGAGGCTACGCGAGCGGATTGTCGTGCCGCCATGACGCATTGCTTCTCGACACTTTTCAGCGTGTGTAACGTTTCCGGCTCGAGGGGGGAGATGCCTAGGCGTAGCCTCCCGAGATCGATTAGTCCGCTGCGGTAGGGCTCGATACATAGGCCTAGGAAGAGGATGTGTAGCTGCAATAGAGACCGCTTGGATTGCCAGTTCAATGACAAGGGATTTGCGAGGCTGAGTCGACTCAGTTGCATTGGCGGGGGGAGGGTACGGTGCCACCCGTTTAGAGACTCGAAGTGTAGTTGAGCCTGTGCGGCGCTTGGTTGGGTTGCTGTCTTCAGGTCAAGGGCTATGTATGCGGCTAGCTGACCGAGTTCGCCTACGCGCTCCTGGAAGACATCGAGGTCTTGTTCTGCGTGGGAAGTAGGAGGGTGGTATAACTGCACAGCGTAAGTGAACGGTTCAAGAAAAGGAATAGTGAGAGATTAGCTGCTCAGCGAAGCGCTGGGAGTAGAATGTCAACAGAGTGAGTCATACATTCAGATCTTGGTTGGTAACCCGTGATTCATGGCTGGTGTTGTAGGCAAACCAGCTGAATGTGCATTAGTGATGTAGAAACAGCCACGATCAGATGAAGAGCAACAACCTTTCCAGGAAGACGATGCTTCGGAATATATACCACCAATAGCGTATTTTCTCTTCGGGGGTTTCGGCTATAAACGAAGAAGACGTGAACGTCTGTCTTCCGATATCGAGCGCTGATACTTCTGGCTGTTAGCCGTTTGTGCCTAAAACTATAAAGTATCGACCGCTTACACATAAGACTTCTCGCACTTTCTACGCTATTGGTGAACCGACATATGGCCAGGCAAGCAAAAAGCCGCATGCGGCTGAGATTGCTGATTTCGGGAGGTGAGGAAAGCATGTACAGAAAGAAATGGAGAAACGTCTCCTGAGACAAGGATGTGTGTGGTTCTCCATCGCAGTAGCTCCCCACTGCTGACATTGCAAAGACCTCGGTTGCGTGTGCGGGTATCGAGCCGGGTTGTGAGCGGTAGACAGACTTGACAAGACTCAAGGCTTCGTCTCGTTTCCAAAGGTAGAGAAGCGATCCCGTGCCCTGCAGGAAGGATTCAACAGCTTTGGTTGTCGATTCCTCGGATGGATAGGCGTTGACTCGCATGTGGTGGAGGCTGATACCAAGCGCTTTTGCTACCTGGCGCACTTCCGCCATCCCGGAATTTACGGGTGGTATCGTGTCTTGAGATTCTCCCTCCCGACCCATGTATTTTGTATCAGAGCTGTCTTCGCGGGTAACTTCAGGTCTATCCTGAGCCTGCAAGGCATGTTTCGAACCAGAAGTGACGGCTTGGGAAGTGGACGCGGCCTTGGTGACCGACGATGTTGTTGGTTCTTGGTTGTTGAGTCGTTGTTTGAATTTCTCGAGATACGTTTGATACATCTGGTGATTTTCCGATTGTTTGTACTGCATGAATTCTTCTTTGTACTCTTGCAACTTCTTAGTAGCTGGTATTTCCCAAACACTCCCTCGTTCTTCATCGGAAAGTTCTCTCCATCGCTTCCCTGTTACCTTGGCAAGATCGGTGAAAGACGAAGGACCGAGAGCTGGATCCTGTCGAACATGCTCACCGAAGACCACATAAGCCGTCTTGGGTTTTTGAGGAGCATTCGGATCTGGTCGGGGGCGCCATCGATACGGCCTGGTCACACGCGCCACCTTGGACGAGGGCGATGTTTTGGAATAACCTTCAACTGAGGGCGGCCCTTCGGATGGCAGGGGAATATTCTTAGCCTCATGTTCCGCGGGAGGCGCGCTCGAATCGACGTATTTGCGTATTGCTCGCTGAAGCTTCCGACGATCACCCAGCTTGAAACCCAGCTCCACCATGTCAGTCTCTGTGATGTTTGTCACACTCTCCCAGTCCTCGAAGCCGTTTTCTCGTAAGCTCTCCCCATATTGACCGAGTCCGAGTCGAGCGAGTGTCGTACTAAGCTCTAGTACATCCACGGCAGGCTCCGCCGAAAATCCATAATCCATCTTCTCCTTGGCAACGATACTGATATTGAATCGGATTTTGTGGCCGAACGAATGTGACTGGAAATTTCGCTGGATTACGTTTGAATGATGATTGATGAATCAACACAGGGCTGACTCGCCGATGGAAACACGTGGTGGCGATTCTTCGCCACCACCAGTGCGTGAGTGCTAAAAGCATGTCTGGGTTGCGAACGACAAATGGCGAGAACTCGATCTTCGAAGAATCCAAGACAACAGCAGAACGTGCCAGAACGTCGTCGCAACAACTCCACGCGGTTGAGAAAAGGCCTCGCACGCCTGATATGGAGGGAAACTGAAAGAACAATAACAACGCGAAAGCAAAAATTGGTTGTACTTTACTACAAAATCAACATGTATATAAAGAAATCTTTTTGGACTTTCCAATTCTTCAAATTCCCATTTTCTTCTTGATTGCTTGATTACCATCAATCCTGACACAATCTTTTGGCGTTTAAGGGTTTTGCTAGCCCCTTGTTTACTTACATGGTGTCTAGCAAGTAGGTTTACACGCTACTGTATATGACCAATCGCTGCTTGTCGCTTCACTTTCCCACTAGCCAATGGCTTGCCGCAAAGTGGCGCGAGTATATTTGCGATGGGCACTGTGGCTAAGAGGTTCTGCGACTATTTCTTTCTTTTATTATTCTGGCCAACTGGTGACTCTCTTACAACCATGACTGTGGAGATTCTGGAGCTGATGTATACCACTAGGTTCAGTCGAAAACGGGATCTTCTTCAGCATCATGTTCCAATACTTCGTTTGATACAACTATATGTGTGACAAAACTTGATAATACATTTGTCTGCGTATCCATGCAGAGCGATGATGTGATCACACTACACTGCGGTGCATTTTGCGACAACGCGAGCACAAGGTAGGGCCAGACGCAATATGCGTATAATTCAATGCGGCTGTCTTAGAAGGGTCGACGTCGAACGACTGGCGTTTTCGGAAAACCATCTGACCTGTTCAATGTCGGATTTGTTTAAGAAGCGAAAGTAGAGGATCATAAAGATGATCAAGATCAGGAATACCCAAAATAACGCGATGTAAGGTACTGGGTTGGTGCATTCAAGAGGCTAGTCCTGAATCAGTATAGATCATAATTCTCAGATCTTGACATCATGTGCTCCACATCATCATTGCTTTGCATCGTATGAGACTGCAGAAATCGGGTGCGTGGACCTGCGTATTAGGATCATCAAATTCAATTAGTCTGTCAGTTAAAGTACATATTGCGCCAAACTTGATCAACATACCCTTCGCACAATCTCAACCTCCACCACACCGAACATCTTGACAAGTACAAACAACCATTTCCATTGAATCCCACAACGCCCTTCAAAACACAAAATGGCTTCCAAATTCCTACGCCTCGCCCGTCCTGCAACCCACATCTCTGCCCGCCCGTTCTCATCTTGCTCCCGCCTCTCCATCCTCGTAACCTCAGACCTCCTCTCGCAAATCACCGCTGCAGAGAAGAGAATTACCAAACAAGACGAGCCCGTCAAGAACGGCCCAACAGCCCGCGCCCAATCCCACGTCGGCAGTGAACTGACCCGTCAAGTCGTCCACGACATCACCGAGGGCGAGAAAAGCATCACGGGCCGTGATGGACCGATGCAAGGTGGCCCAACGAGCATCGTCCAGGCCATCCTGACAAGGGCTTCTCCCCAGGCTGGCTCGCGGGGCCAGAATACCACTTCGGCTTCGACTTCAAATTCGAGTTCGACGTCCGCGTCGGGTGCCAACGAGCAACACACCGGCAAGCTCGACTCCGAGACGATATCCAAGATCACCGATGCAGAGAAGAAGCTCACGGGCGAGGATGGCGCGGTGAGCGGCGGGCCGACGGCGAAGGCGCAGCAGCATGCTAATGAGCCAATTACGAGTGAGGCGTTGAGCGATATCACGGCGGGCGAGAAGTCGATCACGGGTGGGGAGAGGGTTAAAGGAGGACCAACGAGTGTGGCACAGAGTGAGTTGGGAAAGAGCCGGTCGTAGGAAGGATCGAGTGGATTCGTGTACGATAGGCTGGATTGTTGCGTGCTTGTGAAAAAAAAGTGTAGTTGTATTTGTATGCCGGGCTCAGAATGGCCACACATCGAACTCGGACAGTATTGATATGCTGGATTCAGTCAACCTTCCAGCAGGTGTTGGACTTGTCCCAATTCAACTATCTCCCAAATGTGATTGTGGAAACGGATAAGTGAGCAGTAGCAGCAGCGGACAGAGATGAATCAATTTCAATCGAATTTGATTCACCCCGCAACATCGATGCTCTATCTTCTAAACTCATAGTGAAGGAATTTTCATCACTCACTCCACGACGACTTTTCCCTCAGCCCTCACATCACGACTGCTCGCCCCAACCCAAACCGCAAATCGTCCCCTCTGGATCTCCCAACCCTGCGTCACGACGTTCCAGACGCTTATATCTCGCCTTGTCAATGCAAACTGCACCTCCTTGCTTTCGCCGGGCTGCAAAATGCCCACGCGTTCAAAGCCTCTCAGCTGCCGTTGTGGGGCATTCGGGACACCCAAGTACAATTGCGCCACTTCATGGCCTGCTACTTTCCCCGTATTTGTAATCGTAACATTCACCCGGTAGAGAGTATTCCACAACTGCGGATGTCCACCTTGCACAATCGGCACTGAGGCATCAGGGAATGGGTCGAGATTTGCGTCAGGTTCTTGCTCGATGGTTAAATTCGCATATGCGAATGTTGTGTACGACAGTCCGAAGCCAAACTCGTACCGTGGAGTAATATTTTGTGCATCAAAAGCGCGATAGTCGATGTATAGGCCCTCTGTGAAATCAGATTGCAGGAAGGCAGGGTGAGAAGGATCGACGGTTGAGTTAAGCAGGGTGCCGTAGTCGGACTCGTGACGAGCCACGGTATATGGTAGTCGACCAGAAGGGTTGACGTCGCCGTATAGCACATCGGCGATGGCGTGGCCGCTCTCTTGGCCCGGAACGCCGGCGAAAATTACGGCGGTTATGTTGGGGTGGTCGATCCATGCATCTACGGTACGAATACCGGCGTTGTGGATCACAACGATCGTGTTAGAGCAGTTCGTCGCCACGTTCTTGACTAGTTGGTCGCTGAATTCGTCCGTGAGAGAGACACGGTCGAAGCTCTCTGAAGCATACGCGTTGATGAATACGATGGATGCTTCTGCGTTAGCATAGACAATCGGGTTGACACCGAGAAAGTCCCAGCGCAGTGTACCTCGATCAGCAATGATGCGGTCTTGTAAGGCTTTGAAGGGGCTAATAACACATGAAGGGGTACTTGAACCAGACCCTCCTGCACTCCATATTAGCACTACTCAAAAGTGGGGATACGATGTTGTGTCATCTTGCTTACCCGCTGTGATTAAAGTACCGTTGAGTGTATTCCAGCCAAAGTTCTCTTCATAACCACCACCGAAGCGAGCAGGGTTGTTCCAGGGCTGTGCTTTCACTTCGGCATCGTATCCGTAGATATTGAGAAAACGAGGATGACGAAGCGGTAAAGTGTTATTGATATTCTTGACCAAGACAGTTCCCGCAGCGCCAATCTCCCTGATGAGAGAAGCGTGGTCTTCACGCACATCCACGATAGGGTGTTGTACGTTGTATGGAAAGACGCCGTTTGTGGGAAAGCCTTCATCCTGGTTGAGGAAGTAGAATGCCGCTAGTAGTCGTGTATTCATATCGTCAAGTCTCTCGGTAGCGACAGAGCCGTTGCTCACAGCCTCAGTCAAGTTATTTCCCCAGAACTTGGCGACTGGCATGACGACGTCGAGACCTGCATTTGCCGATGCAACGCCTGCATGTTGCGCGTCCCAGTCAGATACCTGGGTGTGTGAGTACAACCATCACAACATGAAGAATTGATGTATGCAACATACCACGAACCCCTCGAATCCGAGTTCAGTCTTCAAGATACCATTGAGAAGCTTGGAATTTTGGCAGCCGTACGAGTTGTTGGTTCGCTGATAAGAGCACATGAGCGACGCGGCACCCTCTCGGAGGGCGTCCATGAAAGGCCATGCATACAACTCATGGAGCGTACGATCATCCACGTTGGATGAGACAGATTCACCTTCCAAGCCTGGTGTCCGCCTATACTCCTGTTCTTGGAAGAGCCAATGCTAACCTCAATGTTAGCTTTCTCTTTTTGACAACATCTAAATTCTATACGAAGAGACCCACCTTCGGCGTAGCAATCACACCCTCCTCTTGTATCCCTTTCGTAAGTAGTCCTCCTCCTACACCGCCGAGATACGGATCCGATCCTAACCCCTCCCAATTCCTTCCACCTCTTGCAACTCTTCCAATTGGGCCCAAGAATGGGCCAAGCGCAACATTTATACCCTTTCCACGATATTCGCGTCCGAGGGCCTTTCCGTACCTTAACATAAGATCCTTGTCAAACGTTGCTCCCAGGTGGCTTCCAGCGGGAAATGCGGACACAAATTCCTGCCCACGCACACCTGCTGGTGCATCTGCAAAGCAAATTTCGGGGATGTGGAGACGCGGAACAGCTCCTGTTTGCCCAACACAACGCCCAGTAACACCATGGGTGAGATTGGACTTCTCTTCCGTGGTTAATTGAGATACAATTTCCCGTGCACGAGCGTATGCGGCCGCCCAGGAGGCAGATGTCGATCCATTGCCGCGCGCTAGATAACGTCAGCATATTGGACTTACGATGTTACAAGTACTCACGACTTGGGTATACAGGTGGACTCAGTCCGTATAAATGAACTTCCGATTCATTGGTGTATCCCTGCGAGAATGCGAGACTTGGGAAAAGAGCAACACACAAAGTGAGTAAACTGGAGGATTTCATCATGTACTTGTCTTCAACTTCACAATCTGCATTAAGAGTGTGAAACACGATAGAGCATGGTTCGGCCTTTTAGGTTGTCGCCTTTATAGGTTCCAAGTGCCAACCCCGGTTCAAATCAAATGGTTCGCTCTCTACACATGCGTGATATGACGCCCCAATAACGCCTTCCGATGTGGTTGTGCTTGTCAATTGCCGTTCTCCGCATCTTCTCTTGGCGACGAGGGGAAGTTGAGTAATGGCCTGCGTGTTGATCAACGTGATCAATGACGTTTATTGGTCTGTTGCCGAAACTTGGGTAAGGATGCCGTTACCGAACAAGGACTCACAATGCAAGGTTTAGCCGGAGTTCCTCCAAACCCCGGCAACTTTGCTGTGACCCTTGTTGCATGCATTCATTGCTCCACAAAGCTCGTTCTCCAAACACTTAGATTCTGGGATGGCGTGATTTCAGATCAGAATGATTGACTGACTAGACCTGTGTAAGCTCGTATAACGTGTTACCCTTCAACATTAGCTGACAGATGTACGTTGTTACAAAGCATAAGGTATCATGCAGCTGTTGTGCATCGATCGCTGCATATACTCACTGAAGTAATAAAGACGTATTCAGAAACCTCGTCTCGGAGATTCAGTGCACATAAGAGGGAGAATTGTTGGGCAGAAGGGACACAGTTTAGATACTTAGAGACTCGTCGAAAAGAGGTGGTTGTTTAACTTGGGAATAATACAAAAGTATTATCTCCACGTTTGACGTTCTTTGATCAAAACTCTGAAAACACTTCCTTTAGGCTGGGTGAGAAAATTTGCAATCAGAGCTCAGAACTAAGTTGTCAGTTCTACAGTGCTGCTATGTGATCAGTGGTTCTGCCACTAGACAACACATCCTCTGTGTGTCCATTGCGATGCGAATTGAAAATCAAACGCGAAATAGATATTCGATACAGAAACAGCAAGGCGGTATGACAAGTCGTTTGGTACTAACACCATGAGTTTGGACATATGTACTTAAGAGATGATACAAAATTACAAGAGATTGACTTTGGTGACACAACATCGAAGCTTCGATGTTCAGACGGCGCAGAGACAAGGAAATATGCGAGGTAGACATGCCTCACCAGTTACCAAACCCCTCTCAATCTCATCTGAACCCCGTTGTATCCAGTCCAAATTGGCCTGAGACGGGCCAAGTGTTGGAACTAAATTGCTCAACTGATCCCCAATCGAACTGATTTCCATAACCGCCATCCATGGTGAAATTCTGGAAAGCATGCCAATCCGTGGTACCCAGATCGTCGTCCGGTGCTCCAAAGTCGAACTCAAGGCCCATGCTCGCATCATATATCGTTCCTTCAAGGCCATCAGTAATTTCGGTATCTGTTGAGTCGTTCTCGCCCAACACACGTTCCGAGCTTGTGTCTTTTCTGTTACTGTGGCCTTCGAAGGGGGCATGTGATGGACTGAGGTCGATAGACTCGCCATGCTCTTCGCGATACACCTCAGCTATGATATGAGCTGCTTCCTTAACTGATGTTCTCGCTGCTTCGAGTCCAGCATGTTCATCATCGACACCGTTAATCACTGCATCGATGCGTGCGAGAGCGGAAGCCAGGAACACGACAGATTTTGCGTTTGCCTCACCATTGCGTAACCGAGCCACCGCCGTTTGATGTGCTGACTCGAGAACTTTGTGAAGCGTGTCGAATTGCGCAGCTATCAATGCACACCGGGAGTTCGGGCTCGAAACTAGAGGAGCGACTAAGGAGGCACTCTGTCGTTGGTCCTCAATCTGAGATTTGAACTCAATGTATATGGTCGACATGGCATACAAGAAGAACGACTCGAAGAACCCTACACACCGGTGGGTCATGCGTGTCCAATCGTCTTCCTGGCCGTCCATTATCTCTATCGCTGGGGCATAGAGCGCCAACGAGGTATCGAGGCACATCTTCCTTGAATAGAGATAACGCGGATACTTCAATGCTTTCGCAAAGTATGGACGATGAAGGCAGAGAACAAATCGCCTGACAAGCGAGTCAGCCATTTTGATCTGGAAAGGTGTGATATTATGATGGGAGGCTAGAGCCGATTTGAATTTTGCGGTACTCTCACGGCAGTTCTTTGCAAGGTCGGCGCCGTGACGCAACACGTCCTCGTAAGACATATCGAATCGTAGATTGTTGACTAGCCGCATGATCTCCAAACGAATAGGCAACGTCTGCGCCAATGCAATCTGAATGCTGCTCTCAGTGAAGTCGGCTTGAGCCTTTGGGTGAAGTGGCGTATCAGTGTCCGCAACAATGTCTTCGTCATTTACGTTAGACGGAGGGCGTGTATCGTAGTCTTTCGTGGAAATCATCGGGGGCATTCCTACGTCAAGACTACTTTGTGCAGTAAACTCCAAGACAGTCGTCCATAATCTTCTTCGCATCTCGCTCTGGAGGGCACACGTTATGCCAAGATGCGATGGATCCCGATACAGACCCAGAAACATCGCCATTCTTAGCACAGATCCTGCAGGAATCCAACTATCTTTGCCATCGATGCCACACACCTGACGCGCAAGGAGAAGAAGAATTTGGACTTGTAGGCCTGTGGTGTTCCGCCGTAGCTTTGGACTAGGTCCACTGAGCCAACCTGCAGCAGCTTGAACCCATTTCGCACAAGAGCGGCGCAAGCTTATTCGATCGCAACCCGTGTAGAAAGGCACTCCAATTGCACATACTAGCAAAATCTTGAAGATGATAGAGGGCTCATCCGGTACGATGCCAGCCCAATAGTTCTCGTATTCCGTACGAAAAGTTGGAATGTGGAGTATCCGGAAGACCCCTTCAAACGTACGAAAATAACAGTCGACCAGCATGTCGCAAATTTCTTTCGATGGGATCGATTGCCTAACCTCTGGAGAAATCGGAATGTTCGAGATGCGAGCCTTCGTCACGATATAGTCCATAGTTTTGATCTTCTTTATAACGTCGTAATCTTCGCTTTTCTTGTTTACTTGTTCATTGCTAGCATCAGGATTATGGGAAGGATCTGATTGGTCTGGCTCGTCGGTCTTTTGATTGTCAGTTTGTCGTGATCGAGATATCTCAACATGAAAGGGACTTCAAATACCATCTTCTAGTAAGGATTGACTACTTACTTGTACAGTACGAGATTTGGCATGCCCACCATTTTTAAGTGCTGCGACCTCATTCTCAAGACTACTTATCTTATCTAACATTGTTCTCATCATCGATGAGGTTCCCGAGTCAGGGTGTGATCTCAAATTCAGCACTGGTCTGTTCGCAGGCAGGGGCTGGAGTTTGGGTCCACCATTTACACCGAAGATTCCAGGTGCTATGTAACGATTGATTGTAAGCTCGAACTGATTGGTTGGATCCGATACGTTAGGGTTAGACGGAGCCGAGTCTGTGTTGCTTTGATCATCATCGTGGTTATGACTGTAGCTCTCAACAGGAGCAGAAGGAGATGCCGCGGACCTTTCCCTAAATGCTGATCGAGTTCCGACGCGTTGACGTGAAACATAAGTGCAATTTTCTGATTGAGTCTTGACGCATCCATCGCAAGGTCTCTTACAGTCACACCGGACTTTGCGTACCCGACATTCCAGGCACGCACGAGCTGGTCGGCGACGTTGTTTCATCGGGCCATATCCATCTGTAACTGCATCTTTTACTACTACTTTAGGTAAATGTTCAACCATCTCTCAATATCATAGAACTTGCAGAGAGCTCGAAACGCGTTGGGATGCGACGTTCGAACAACCAGTGAGTGGCGCCAGATCCAGACGATCGAAAGGAATCCACGATTCGACGTGTGCTTTGGTCGAAATCTCGTTGTACGGCTGAGGAGGACCAAGAGTGTTCAGCAACGATAGGAATACGGCTGTAAGAAACAGCTGCATGTGAGAACGAGGGAAGATGATGTGTAAGTGGGGTGAGCGATCGCAACTAAGCTCTATCGTCGCTCGTTCACGAGCCGTCACCTTGTTCCAGACATACAACCTGGAGCCACTTGACAGCTAATAAATGAGAACTGGGAAGAAAGATACATTATGGAGTTGAGAGATATGTGGGGCGTCAGCTCCCAAACAGCAGCTAGCGTCGGAACGTCATCGCTCTTCACCGGAGACTGCGCCCGTACCTGACGCGTACTTTGGGGGCCTAACCTCAAAAGTTCACTCGAGAACCCTTATTCTCGTTAAGACTAGAATGTCGAGAAGGTCACTCACAGGACGGAATATCCCGCCCGTCCTCCATCTGGGTATGCAAACTTCCAACAATACTAGGTTGCGCTGGGAAAGCCCTGCGTTCGTAGTTATCTATCTCATCAACAAGCTCTCGTCAGAATTTTTTTTCATAGCTTCCTTGCTCTGTACCTTGTTCATGATCCAGACTCAGATCTCGAAGATCTGCGAACGCGTAGCCTGATGTCAAGACGCTCAACCAGAAACACAAACATTACTGCCAGTTTTGTAGAGGATAGGACGCAAGTCCGATACAGTCACGGTAGTTAAGTTGTAAGACGTTGAAGTCTAGGAAATAGTGGCACGCAAAGGATATAGGCTCGACTCGAATGCAAGCCTCGATACGTAATGTATAGAACTCTCGACAAACTTCTAAGGGCTTGACCGGCACATGAGCCACATTCGCATGATCCAACACCACTAGCTCTCACTTATCCTAGACTTTGTAGAACTCGAGAGCCTCATCCTCCGTAACATCACTCACGAAGCTCCGCTTCTGGTCCACAAGCCCGTACCGACTACCACGAATCCTCCACCACATATCCCTGCGCTCCCCGTTGAGCTTGCCGCCCAGTACGTCTTTCTTCAACTCCCTGATGAAGGTGTTGTAGATCTCGGGCTCTTCCAGCTCCGTGATCTCATCTCTCATGACCCGAATTGCTTCTAGAGCCCGTCCGTATGCACTCTCGCCGACACTGTTGCTAATGAGAGAGCGAACTTCCTTGGCCATACTGTCTGCAGCCTCTTGAATGGCTTCGAGGTCATCCGTTGCGGCGAGCGCTTGTTTGAAGGAGGGTATGAGATTGTTGGATTCAACTTTGACACGCTTAGGGTTTCCAAGCAGCTCATCGACGTCGAGACCTGAGAGAGGTTTCTCGCGGTCGTCACGACGACGCTTACCGCGACCCTTGACCTTTGGTGGGACCTTCTTGACGTCCGCTGCTTTGATCAAGGCGCTCAGCTGCACTTCGAGTTGGGACATCAGCTCGGCTGGGGGCGTGGAGTACTTTGTCAGGATTTCCGGCGGGTTTGGAATCGGAAGTGTGGGGTCGGGATGTGTGGCACGCCATTTGACAATGTGATTGATGCGGTGGACAAGTGGTGCATATGTATCTTCCGGTTTCGCGTATTCACCAGGGTTGCCCTCGTCGTCTTCACCAAGCGAAGAGAGATCCATGGCATCAACGTATGCGCTCATTGCCTCTGTCAAGTCGGCATTTGGCAGGTCTCTGTGCTCAGTAATTATCTTCCCGCTAACAGTGATCTTGCGGTCTAGTGGGGGAAACTTGTAACGTCTCATGTCTTCTTCAAAAGGTAACTCCACGTCCACCAGGCATTCGCGACCGAGCTCAGTCTGTGGAACCAACAGCACTATGATTGGAGGTTTGTTCTCCTTGGTGACCATCCTCGCAACAGCGTAGATGTCAGCTTCGAACAAGGCATGAACAAACGAGGACAGCGCAAGTTGTGACTGCTGATTGGCCCTTTGCGGAACGATGTAGTTTGTTCGACTCATGGGAAGATATCGGTCGAACTTTTCGGCTGGAACAAAGCCAACGAGTTGCAGCGACTGCTCCGTTTCCAATTTCACCACACCTAGATCAGATTCGGAGATGTGGACAGCGGTTCTTCCGTATTCATATCCGCGCTCCAACTCATCCATCTCGACGTTTTTTTTAGTACCTGGCTCTTCTTCATCGTCCACCTGATAAACGCGCTGGTTTCGGACTGCTGACAGATCACCCATCGGGTGGTCCTCGCCGGTTATGGTGGCAGAAGATTGTGTGCTGGGACCCGCTATGCCACCAAGGTCTGTCCGTACCACAAACCTACTCGCTGTTGGGGGTTTGGCGATCATGGTGCACGGATACCGTTCGACGTCAATAGTTAGTGTGGCCTCGAAGTGCTTCGGATCTCCAAGAGTGAGTTGGCCCCTATAACTGGGTACTGGGCGTGTCTCCTTCAGACGTGGGATGTGGAGCTGATCCACAGCTTCAACAAGGGTGCCAAAGCTGCCGTTGCATACGTCCACGAGTTTCTTCAGTACCTCTTCATTCTTAGCCTAGCTGTCGTTAGCAGTGTATAGCACCAAAACATGCTTCATGTACCTTGTGGGGATCCTTGTTCTCCTCTTTGTAGCCATACTCTTCGTCGTCAAAATCTATACCGAGGAGCACGATCTCTACTTTCGCCCTCTCGTCGTTGATCTTGCTGGCAATTTGGTCCAGGTCATCAGTGTCGATGCCCCCACGCCCATCAGTAATGATGATGACACGACGGTCATACTTCAAAGGGCCGGTCTTGCCCTGCGTCGCCGACTCCATCATCTGTAGGGCCACAACAAGAGCAGAGAATACTGGAAACGTTAACTACGATCTGGATCCTAATTTCACGCAACTCACAATCTCCATCGTTCGTCGAGCTGGGGCTTAACTGCTGTTGAAGATTCCGGATGTCGTCCAGAAGATACCTACACCGTCAACTACAGAAGACAAGGCAAAGGTGATAAACTTACTGTTTCAACCCGCTAAACACTTTGAGATTCTCATAACCCTCAATCTCTTCCATGACATTTGCAAGATCCGTATCATCGGTGCGACATCCGATCACGCTCATGAGCGCGGACTTTCTGCCTGTCGCGACCTGCCTGTGATCAGCTCCACGTGCAGGAACAACGTATTGATTTCCAAGCTTAGAACACCTCAAATTAACAGATTTCGAAAAGAATGGCCACCTACAGTCGTAGTAATCTTGTCCCACACATACTCCAGCGCCCAATCAAGGTCTGTCTGGTCGCGTCCATGTCTCTTCTCACCCATCGATCTCCCCAGATCCAGAATATACACCGTTGCCTCTTTCCCCGCCATTTTGCGCTCCGTGATATGTACTTTGCTCTTTCTGCGTGTGTTTTATTGATACGCGGAACCTTTCGCGCTCGATCGACAGTTGATTGAATGAGCAAATCACAATTGTAGCGTCACAGAAGTACTGACTTGAAGAGATGGTGAAGAAACAAACGAAGTGAGATGAAAAACGAGTGTTTGTTAGAATTGGCGAAGGACAGGTGCAGCCTTGAGTTGCGATTAGGCAAACGCGTGCTCGCGTCCGCACGGACTTCGCGACGCGAAAACATGTGACGTGGTCAAAGCCAACCACCCGACGTGTAATCCTGTCTCCTCATCACCTTTATTATAAGTTCCGTGCCATATACCCGTCGAGCGTGGTTTTGGCCTTTTTCGGCTATCAACGCTGTATGGTTGCTCCCTTCCTTGTTTCTGGGTAGACGCAGGGCTGGAGCCCGGCAAGTCGAACGATTGCACACAAGAGAAACAAATGGGATATCTATCTAAGTCAACAGCATGCCGTTTTCTATCAAATTCCTGTCAAACTAGCTAACATCGCAGAAATCGATCACGCTACGCAAGTATTGGAATAAAAGATTTCCTTCCACAATGTGGAGTTGCTCGCTAGTTTTCCAGCATCCGTCAATGTCACGTCCGCCAACGCCCATCCCCAACCGGCTCAGCCTTGAATGTTTCAGACGTTCTCTTCATTCTTAACGGCGTGTGACTCAAGCGAAAGCTTACCTTCTTCTAAAGGCGCACTCTCGAGGGTTCTCATAGGGAAACCTGCAAGGTGTCCAGCGCCAATGAACACCATGCTTCGAAAAGTGTCTCTCGGTTTGAAATGTAGATATTAATTTTACTTGGGTAAGCCAAGGTCCAGAGTAGGGTCCAAGATATCCGCGTTGAACCAGTCCAGGGAAGGCTGTGACTGGAACAGCTGCCACATCATATCATCGTTCCAAGACGAAATCAGAAAGTTGCCGCCGTTGTCGTCAGCACCGGATATGTCAGCTACGTTATGAACAATGCTGCTAGGTAGCAATGGTGTTTCTGTAATATTAGATAGCGTCGCCTCCCGGTTGGGCATGTGAGGGTCGCCACTCGTCACTGCCGGTTGTACAAGAGGCTTGCAAAGACCAAGAAGCGTCGCACACAATCTATGCAGTCGATTTACGTACTTGTTCTCGGTAACAAGCGTGGAGATGCCGTCGGTTACGTCCTGAAGTAGTTGGAAATCTCGTGCGTTTGATGTCCCGACCACGTTGCAAAAGACAACAAAAAACGGGCATAGTGGGTAGGAGAGCATAGTCCTAGATTTAATGAGCATTGGTTCCGGTACTACATTGATCATCAAGGTACTCACCAGGCAAGATAAGGGTCGTAGCCTTCAATGAAATGACCGAGACTCTTTCCAGTCGCCTCGATGACCTTGACGCACTCGAGAGCCTTGCGGGCGCTTTGCAGACATTCTTCTCGTTCTACAGGATTGGTTGTGACCGTGGGGCTGAGTCGATGGACTGATGTCAACGTAGAGAAGTACTTAAACTCCAGACATTTCCAGTGCAGCAGAATATCCATGATTGAGTCAAGAAGATAGGAAGGTCGTTCCTGTGACGATCAGAGGTGTCATCAACGCGGATAGTGTTGAAATCAAGCATACCTTTTCCATGAGTTCGTATATGTCTGACATCTGTTCTCGTAGCCAGACAACCCCCTCTAAAAGAGGAGTGGTCATCTTCTTCCGAGTAGACTCCAGCGTCAACTCCAGTATCTTGTCATGAACAGGTACCATTTCCATAGCGATGATCTCAAAGATACTCATCGGGTTAGAAGGATCAGCCTTGATCAAAGAGGACACTTTGATGTGCAATGGCGGGAGTGACCTCGGTCGCAGCAAGAGCAGACTCATGCAACTATCGAACTGAGCGCACCAAGCAATAACTGCCAGAATCTCTTCGTCGAGCTCGTTCTTCGGCTCAGTTTCACTAATAGTATGATAGCCAAGGGCAACGATAGTACGCGATGCATGGGCGATCAGTTCCCAACAACTTGCAGGATTTCCGACTATTTGCATCATCATTGCCTGTCTCGTCATCAGTGACAAGTTACGCGAAGTATTGGATGCGACTCACCCCCGTAATCAAAGCTTGAACCAAAAGTAACGAAGGTGTCGTCAAAAAACTGATGCTATCGAGAGCAGTGAGAGCTGCGGTAAGATGGTGGTACTCCATCTGTCTGATGTGCTTCTGTACTGCTGAACTTTTCGGTCCCTGCAACTGGCTGGCATAGAGCACAACCGCGGCTTTGAAATGGATGATGACTTTGTACAATGTAAGCGTTTTCTCGTCAGCACTTCCTTCCATCAAAGCAAGAGCAATCCGTTCAACTGCACTCGGTGGGATGTGATCAAGACTATGGAAATGGATAGTAGACGCATCGACTGTCCTGACTTCAGCTTTGATAGGGGTCAGCTTGAGTCAAAATTGAGCACTGAAAGGACACACACTTCCTAGAATGACGTGGAGGATCTCGCCCTGTGATAACTCTGTGGAAGAGTACATTGTCTTGTTGAAAGTACTACGATCCGTAATTGTTGGCACGGGAGCGTGTGACAGGTGATCGACAAAAGATATCGCAGTTTCAAGTACCGAGCGCTGATGAGTGGAAAGGAACCCATTAGTTGATAATTCTTTACTAATCAGACTGCGTGCTTCATTCGCTGGCTGTTGTGTGTTGTCAACATCCGATGTCAGATCAGGTACTCCTTCGTCGAGTGGGGTTTCTGTGCGCTTTCGTTTCAATGGTCGTTTAGACGCAGTAGTATCCTCAATCGCAGCCGAAGGAGTGATGATTTCTTGACTTTCAATCCCTGGCGTTTGCTGTCGAGTAAGAACGGAGTCCTCGAGGCTCGAAAGCCTTTGCACGAGAGCTTGGATCTTGTCATCGCTGCAGTCGAAGTCAGCAACCTGCCCCAGACAGAGAGTGTGAGTATCAAACTCCTACACGAAAGCTACTCACGTTCGAACCTTAGGTCGAGGTGCTCGTTTGTGCCGATTACGTAGGCAATCGGCCTTTGCTAATACACAGTTGGAGCATGGCTCCTGTCGATTGCATTTCACTTTTCGAGAATGGCACAAATCACACTGTTACGGGTTTTAGCTGCTCGTTTGCAAATGCCAGTGTCAGGGGCATAGTACCGCTTGGATGCCGCCATGCGCGGCCCAATTCTCCTCTGGCATTGGCTGTTCGATGGTTGCGGAGCAGAGCGATACAGTGCAACAAGACCTTTGGTCTGGATTGATAATCTGGAAGCCCGTTGCTGCATGCTATGTGAGAGGAGTGTCAGGCCGAATTGAAGTTCGCGACGCCAAGGATGCCGGACGCCGACGAAAATGCACGTCCTTCCCTCGAGCTATGTCCTTTCTCTGTGTCTGATGTCTAGCCAGTGGTTCATGTGCTAGATCATAGTTTTCGAGATGGGAGGGTAACGAACAATCCATACAGCTGGGAGTGTAGGAATACTGACTCGCCCATCTCCAAACGAGCCTCTCGCCGTTTGAATGATCCAGCAGAGACAACAATGAGATAGATCACCTGTTTAACTCTTTCCGCTGAAAGGCGACGAGTTTGGGCTTCATCAAAACATGTCCAAAGTTGACCAAGTTCTTCATATCACGATTACAAAACTACGGGAACAAGGACTGCCGGAATAATGTAAGGACTCGAGCACACAACAGATAAAACCCTAGATACCGCCAAAGATGAGACAAGTCGGATGTAGGTGAGATGGTATGATAATGCTAAGAAATGCCATCATCTTACGAAAGAAGACAATCAAAAACGTAAATTTTGCATCCATGTCCAGCGCCCCATGCTAGTCAAGTCGAAAGCGCGTGGCGAAGAAGATTAAATGTGTGTCAATAGAAGAAACCATATGGCAATCATTACCATATAGATTCCACAGTGGAGTGGCATCATTTGTAGAATCGCACGAGTTCAAAAAGCACGCCACGCTAAGCGGCAGTTCGAAACAACGGCGGAAAGTATCGCTCAAAACTCATGTGTGTAGCTCTGCATGATAGGTGCTGTGTAACAATACACTTTCGATATTTTGCTGGAAAGAAAATATCCTTACGAGTGTGAGGGGTTTCAGTCTCCAAACTCACGTTCCGCGGCGTTTTAATATGGAACATCGTGACTGGCTGAGCACTCAACATCCCTTTCGCCCGGAGTGATGTACTTCCAGTCTCAGAGTTGTTGTGTAGGTGCATATCGTGTCGAGTGCAGCTTTCTAGAGATAGCTAAAGAATAAACAGAAGGGTACAGCATGTATGATCTGACATACCAAAGCACATCCTGAATCGCGTTTGGGAATGTGTTATCATCGTAACACGACGACATAGCGATAGGTATGGGCAATATAATACTGCGGCTGAGGCTGTTGTTCCGTCAATACCGCAGGTGATCGTTGGCAGCTTTCCATGCCTATTCGTGGTTTGCGCAACCTGGACAGGAGACGTTGCGCCAACGTGTATCGTGAGCTTATCAAATGGGCAGTAGGCGCACCTATGGATGGAGGTACAGTACCTAGTTGTCGTGACCGCTTTATCGCCGTCGGCCATGAGCAAGGAGATAGGATGAGTATGGCCGACACGGGATGGAGGCATTTCCGTGATTTGTCCTAGAATGGCAGCATTTGACACACCTTGAACTCTCCACCAGTAGTTCTGGAACCGTGTTTCTCAGGGTGCTTCGCCAGATGAACGCTCTCATGGACTACTCCATACGGTGAGCAACGATCGGCCAATTAGGCCGATGCGACAACATAACGTGGGGTGTGTCGGAGTGGCGATAAGTTGAGATGCCTCGACGAGTCTAGAAGAGGATAAAGGTCCTATCTATCGCGGTGCGCAACATACGAGAGCTTCCTCCAAGAACGTGCTGGCGTTTGAACGATGTTCATCTGACAGGTCGCGCGTCGAGGGCTGTGAATGCTTTTGCATGGGCTCTGACGAAGGGATGTGAATAATGCCCTAAAGCTCGGGACACGTGGGGTTCTCGTACGGTCCGAACGGCGTTGGAATTACAGAATCGCATTTGATGCTGGCCGCGTCGTCCCCGGACTGCCTATATCTAGACGTTGGATAGAGCAGTGACCCTCCATCTCGCGCTGCTCACAGCGGCGACTAGAAGCCTGCAGGAAGCATGCGGCTGCTTGCAGTGGGCTTCTACATGTGTACAATCAGCCCTCGACAGGCACGCAATAGGAAGGGGGGTTGGCCTGCGGCGCATGATGAATGGTCGTGGTAATCCCACGCGCCCCTTGCCATCCGCGCCTTTTCTGACGAATGCGTCTTATCTTTTGCTCTTGGCAAGGCGGCCACGACACGGCAACACACACCACACCCCATCTCCAGCTTTCAGCAGAGCCCACCAGCGACCCTGCGCCTAGCATGACAGGGCTGACCTCTCCGGGCGCGGGAGCTAGTCCGCTGCTAAAAAGAAAGAGTACCTGCACATTCCACGGCCCGCTCTGCTGATGAATATCACGCTCCTTACTGCTTCCAAAGTCCCTTTTCGCCCACGGGTACACACGCCCTGACCCCTTGTGTTCTGGTCGCTTCGGTTGTACGGCCGCCGTCTCGGATGCTCCCGTCGCTGTGGTTCTGATTGTGAGTTTGTGATTGCTTATCTATGTACGCCAGCCCCAGCACTCTAGTCGACGTTTATTGTTGCTTCTTCGCGTCGACCGTAAAAGGCCGGACCCCCCAAGCTAACACTTCTCCTTCAGGCTCTTGGCTGGGCGCTCGTTGCTCTCCAGAATCCACTCCTTCTGCTGCTGTTCACGCGTGTCGACTGCAACTTTCCATGAGCTGTCCATTATTCAACAAGGCTTCCAACGACCATCGCCCTGGGTCGACTCCTAATGTTCCATAGCTACGCGCAGGGCCTCGTCGACTTGCCTCAAAAGTCCGCAAGTAGCGATGGGGCGCAGCTACCCCGCGGCGAATGCGGCTTCATCGCGCCGGAGCCCGAGGCAGGCCATGGCTCTCGTCAGCGCTGTGCCTGCCGCAGTTTCTACCCAGATCCGGTAGTGCGTTCTCGTTGCGGGTGCGGGCACCAGGCATGGCATCATGAAGCACAACCAGTGTCCACAGTCTCAGTGGAAGAATACATTCGGGTCGTAGAGCAGATGAAGCAACTGAAGCATGAGGTCAGGCGATACGAGAGCCTGGAGCAAGAGCTGAAGCAGGAGCTACTCAGGGAGAGGATGGCTCGAGAAGAGCATTTTCGAACATACAAAGCACTGGAGGCACGCATGTACGGCAACATGCAGCTGTTGAAAATATCTATGGACGATAGAGTCGAGGCTGTCGTCGACAGGACGACAGAGTTCAGCAATCAGATCAAGGCGGTACAGGAGCGCCTGACGATGGTGGATGAGGTCACCATGGAGCTCGAGAACCGGATCGACCGGGTCGAACACAGCAGTGGGCCATCGAGGAACGTGACACCCGTTGCCTCACCACCCAGAGCACGCCTATCAACGCCCCGCGCACCACCTACTCCACAGCTCCCACTCCTGATGCAACCACCAAGCACACTTGGTCAGCTTCCAATCCGCACCGACAAGAAGTACCCCCTCTCGTGGAACGTTCGCATCATCTTCGTGCCACAGAAATCGCAGAGATATGCCTTCAACCCAGATTCTACCGGTTACAAACGATGTGCGTCCCGCAAGCTACACCAGAACCTCGATTTCCCAGATCAGGACAGCGCCTGCTTTTCCCACCGTATCGAGGCCATGTTCAAAGATGTCATTCGTGGCAGACCATGGATGCCGATGACCGGCCATCGTCCAACTGACGAGCCCTTTGGTCGTATGACTCTCACGCTTCTTCCGCCAGACTTGATTCACCGCGATTTGTGGAACTACCCCTTTCTTGAGGATCACTGCATTGCACATGACAAAATGCAAGGAGACATTCTCTATATTGCCCTGCAATACGAGGATGTGACCTGGCATGAAATCCGGCTTCTGCCTCCTGCGAATGGCTTCGACGAATCCTGTTGGAACCCCGATGATGAGCTGGACGGCATGGCCAAATATAAGAGCTTGGATTCGGAGATCATGTATGACTACCAGGATCCTCCTCCTACGTATTCGTCTCGAACTCACTCGGTGGTGGATAGGGCGCTCTCAAAACTAGATGTCCTCGCCGATTCAGCCGCCATGCTAAGCCCAATCGAACGTGCACAAACGCAATCATCAAACCGCTCTATGATGCGGACCCCAATCGACCGCATACTCGAGCGCGTACCGACGCAGTCATCGTCTCATTCCAGCAGTTCTCGATTCTCACTGGAAAGGAGTAGCTTGCGGAGCTTCGAGACAGACATTACAGACGATGAGCACCGCGACAAAAAACCGAAGCTCAGAGCCAAGCAAAGTATGCCCAGTGTCAATGCCAGTGGTCATGCACAGCAGCCCATGTATGTCTCAGGGCGCTCGAAGCGAAAGATGCCTATGAGGGAGAAGGGGCCTAAGGAGCCGCTGCACTTCAATGTCACGAATGTGACCAAATGGCGCCCCACTGTCAATCTCTTACATCCCCATTCATCTAAAGGCAAGGAGGTAGCGCACAATCAGTGAAGGGTGTTTTTAGCTTTCGCACGTTATGTCTACTTTTTAGGCTTCTAATCTGCAATTCAGTTTGGCGTTCTAGAGGAAAAGCCTCGCACGGATACCCCATGGCGTTTTGTCGGCGACTGCGTGCTGCACTTGGAGCGCACTACGTGTTGTTTTTTGTTTTTTGTTTTTTGGGTCCTTGGATTTTATTCGTGTGAGCCTCCATGGCTAGAACAACGAGTGAGATTCTTACAGGAGGCAATATTTTACTTACATAGACAGCCTTAAAGATATCGATTTCTCTTGTAGGTCGCGAGCGCGACATGTAGCAGAATGGCAATAACAATACATAACATTGACTTTTCTTCATCCTACACGTTCCACCTTCCACTGCGATATTTCAGCATAATTATCCCGTGAATTCATCCACCACAGCGTTGCGATAAGAGTGGCACCACAATTTTGCGAACGCTTACACTCGCATACAAGCGAAGACGTTTTCACATGCCGACGAACCTGGGGTAATCCTTGTTTGTCCACACGCACATAATCAGCTGTGGGGACGCCGAAGCTGGGGCTCCGATACCGTATCAGCTCCCCGATAACCCCCATACGTGCCAAGTCGGCTTCCCGGACTGGTGTCAAATGCAGGGTGTTCGGCCGCCAGGCACAGTGCACACTCTGGCGAGCACCAGTTAAAAAGGCTGGTAACTCTTTAAGGGATCGATTTGTTGAGAGACAGTTCGAAATTCACATCACCACTAAACATAGAGTTGTGTTTTGGAGCTGCTATTGCGCAAGCAAGAGTTTCTTATCTAATTTCTGGTGCAGCGTAGATGACTTGTAATGGTTGGCATGTCGAACATGAGGTCACAAACAACCTGGTTGCTGCAGACAGGGAGTCTGGACTCAAGCCAGCAGTGATTTACCTCCTGCAGCTCGTTATCTCGCGTTACATCGACCTACTCTCAACTTATCGATGGCTTCCAACATCTTAATTATCAGCCATACAACAATGCCAGGATTTCAGCACATAGCGCTGACTTTGAGACTCTCAAGCTTTGTTAAGATAGGTTCTTGTAATTTGTTTCGCATGTTGTCGAATGTCGTTTTTGAGGTTGATGAGAACCGGGCGCGCTGAATTGTTCGGCTCTAATGCGGGGAATGAGGTGGAGCGATCCTACCCCACTACCGAGTTGACCTTGTTTCCTGTCCGTATCTTGACATCGCGAATACATTCATGAGAACGCTCTGTTTTCTGATGTTACACGAGAAATCGCATGCCCGAGGCCGTTATGTGGCGCCTTTCGAAGCTTATTTTTTCACGACATTCCGACACAAACCGACGGACCGTGTCTTATCAAGTCTTGACATGTCGATCTTGTCTTCTGGAAAGACGCCAGACCGACGATGCGAACCAAACAAGCAAACTCAAAAGCGCCGCACACGCATGTATTATCTGTGGATTGGCTCAATAATCAGATCGGCAAACCGCCCCGATGCATACCGTGAAGCAATCCAGCGGAGAAGTGAGAATTTTGCCACTCAACCATTGTCTAGCTTAGGTTCTGCACGCAGATAAGGCAATTTTTGCAACGCCATGTCACCCAACGGCCACGTCCGTGAGCCTACTTTTCCGGCCTCATGGTTTAACGCGACTGTACAAAAGCTTTGAATAGAACTGATCGTCCTCATCTCACATTCGATCGTGCCTTCATCTAAAGACAACTTCCCTTGCATAATAGCGAAGCTACAAGCACATCGCAGTGTGTCTTGATACTCGGCAATTCGTCATCCTCGTTGTCTACCCTGTCGTCAGCTGCCATAATCGCCGTTCGCCAACATGTCCAAGGACCCTGAGCTCGCAAAGGACGACCTTGAAGTCACTAGTTCCCTTTCATCATCCAGGAACTATGCCGCTCCTATCCAAGGTTCGAACCATGAACTGAACTTCGAGCACGAAAAAGCACTATGCTGGAAATTCGACTTGCGGATTCTACCCATGCTGGCCCTCATGTACCTCTTCAACGCGCTCGACAAGGGTAATCTAGGCAACGCGAAAACAGATGGCATGGACAAAGATCTTGGGTTCAAGGGGAATCAGTACAACACCATGCTGTCCATCTTCTACGTTCCCTACGTCATTTTTGCGCCGCCGATTGGCATGCTGGGAAAGAAATATGGACCGAATCGCGTGTTGCCCATCATGATGTTCTGTTTTGGGAGTTTTACACTGTTGGCATCGTGTGTGCACAACTGGAGTGGAATGATGGCGCTGAGATGGTTTTTAGGTAAGTCAATCGTTGGTATTGAGATCAGTTGGTATCGCCAAGCTGGCTATTTTCAAGCTTGCGTTGTATGCCAACAAAGCTTGAAAAGCTTGCTTCACGTACTTGAGAGATCTAAGATAGTAACTTCAGACTAACACCATACAGGCATGGCCGAATCTGCCTTCTTCCCACTGGTCATTTACTACTTGACCACATTCTACCGACGTGGTGAACTCGCTCGGCGCCTCGCCATCTTCTATGCAGCGTCGAACATTGCCAACGCATTCTCTGGCCTGCTCGCTTTCGGTGTTTTCCAAATCAAGTCAAGCCTCGACTCATGGCGATTCCTGTTCATCATTGAGGGATCTCTCACCGTTTGCTGTAAGTGAATCTTGATGTTTCGCATCTTGCGCTACCTCGTGAGCAATACTGACCAAAATAGTCTCCTTCTTCGCCTACTGGTATCTCCCCAAAAACTCATACGAAGCCAGTTTCCTCACCGAGGCTGAGAAGAAGCTTGCCTACGCCCGTATCCAGGTCGATAGTTCCGCAGTCGTCAATGAGAAGTTCAACCTCAGGGATTCCCTCGCCATCTTCAAGATGCCTGCCACATACGGTTTCCTCGCCATCGAAGTCTGCCTCGGAGTCCCCCTGCAGTCCGTCTCGCTCTTCCTTCCGCAAATTGTCCAGCGCCTCGGATACAACAAAGTCAAGACGAACCTCTACACGGTTGCGCCTAACGTCGTGGGTGCTGTTGTACTGCTCATTCTGGCTTTTGCGTCCGATTATACCAGACTTCGATTTCCGTTCATCGCGCTCGGTTTCCTTCTGACGTTCGTCGGGTTCGTTATTTACGCTACAATCGACGTAGCAAACTCTCTCACCGTTGCGTATTTCGCCTGCTTCATGATGACTTGGGGCACATCCGCACCGTCTGTTCTTCTCTCTACATGGTATAACAACAACGTCGCGGATGAGAATCGCCGTGTCACGCTTACTTCCATCGGAGTGCCTCTCGCAAATTTGATGGGCGTGGTCAGTTCGAACATCTTCCGTACGCAAGATGCGCCAAAATACATTCCCGCGTTGGCTACTACGGCGGCGTTTGGTGCGATGGGTAGTTTGTGTGCGTTGCTGTTGGGTGTCTATATGACGATTGACAACAAGAGGAGGAACAAGAAGCAGGGCGTCAACCTGACTGCAAGAGATGTCAGTACGGAGAAGTTGAGGGATGGGCCGAAGAACCCTGACTTTAGGTGGTTTTTGTAGAGATGCGATGGTCGTGTTTTTGTTCAGAGTCGCACACTTCTTGGGACATGATGAGCCTGAGGCTCGAAATGAGAGAGCAATCGTTCGATGTTCTAAGTACGGCGTGCAAACAACACTAGTCTCAGTTATTTGATACCCAAATTTACAGCCTTGATACTCGTCATTTCACGGACATAGCGGCAGTGCACCATACGCACGTGAGGCTGCCTGGCCGCACTGATCACGCGTGTGGGTCATCCGAATGAGGACCAGACTGGGGTTGAAAAAGCATTTCAGTGGCAACTACGAAGGGGGTTGTAGTTCGTAGTGTCACGAATTGTATGTAACGTTATCCTGAACAAAGAGAACTGATCGTGAAATGCAACTTCAATAGCGACATCTGGCGTGAATGGCAAATCCGGGGTGTGGGGGTTTGGCGCGTGAGTACCCACCTGACGCGCTAGACCGGCACGAGATGGTCCTATCTTATCGGACCGCGACATCACCCAGCCTCACGCGCCTCACTCAAGTCACCCGTCACGGGAGCAGCTCGAAGCTGTCTAGTAGAACCCTCCGCAGCTCTGAAAGCTCCATCTGACTTCCACCATCCTCCAAACAACATCAACCTCCTCTTCGCTCAGCATCGCGAAGCTCGATAAGCCTGCGCGAGTCACACCGGCAGAGCGCGACTCACCCATCATGGCGGTCAAAGCTATGGTTCCGGTCCTTGTGGGCATGATGTTGTTGACGGGTTGCTGCAACACTCTGTTGACCAAATACCAAGTACGCGCCTAACATGATGGTCCTCTCAAGCTTCCCTGCTAATGACTGTAATCAGGACATGCAATGCGTAGGGAACTGCGACTCGCCGACGCCCAAATACCGTAAACACTTCGAGCAACCCGTGCTTCAAACCCTGCAGATGTTCATAGGTGAAATGGGCTGCTGGCTTGTCATCGGCGCGTTCACACTGTGGCAACGCTATGCCAGCCACAGGGCAGGCTATGAAACTATCCCCAACAACCCCAGTGGAGGTGACTCTGCTACACTGGGTTCGGATGGTAGTGATACGGCAGAGGTCGCGAACCCGTTGAAGCCTGCGCATGCCGACGATGAGGGTAGGATACCACTGGAGGGCAAAAACATCTTCTTGTTGGCATTGCCAGCGTGTTGTGATATCGCGGGTACAACGCTTATGAATGTCGGACTGTTATTTGTGGCAGCCAGTATCTACCAGATGACGAGAGGCGCGTTGGTTCTGTTCGTTGGACTCTTCAGTGTCTGGTTCTTGAAGCGCCATCTTGGACTGTACAAGTGGTTCTCCCTCTTCGTTGTTGTATTCGGTGTCGCAATTGTCGGACTGGCAGGCGCAACCACCAAGGACGACAAGGCGACACCATCACATCAGTCTCTTCACGAGATGACTGCGGACCCCATCAAGTCGCAAGCCGTTATGACTGTCATCGGCATTGCTCTCATTGCAGGCGCGCAGATCTTCACCGCAACACAGTTCGTGCTCGAGGAGAAGATCATGGCAAAGTACGCTATGGAGCCCATCAAGGTCGTTGGTTGGGAGGGCGTGTTCGGGTTCCTGGTAACGGCCATAGGTATGGTCATCCTGCACTTGACCATTGGCACCGGATACTTCAACGCGAAGGAAGGTTTCTACCAGATGACGCACTCCCGCGCCATTGCCGTATCTTCCATCTTGATTATGATAAGCATCGGGTATGTCTATTTCCCTCCCCATCTATACTTTTCACTAACATAACCCAGTGGCTTTAACTTCTTCGGTCTTTCTGTGACACGCACCGTTTCCGCTACCTCGCGCTCGACGATCGATACTTGCCGTACACTTTTTATCTGGGTTTTCAGTCTGGGCCTTGGCTGGGAAACGTTCAAGTGGCTGCAGGTTGTGGGCTTTGCAGCACTGGTGTATGGCACGTTTTTGTTCAATGATCTCATTCAGCCGCCGCTTAAGGCGTGTGTGGAGAGGAAGCCTGAGCCGCTCTTGGTGGAGGACCCAATCGAGCATCACTGATGAGATCGACTAGATGAGGACGGGAGGACGTTCATATACTGAGAGAGGTGTTCGTAATTGGGGTTGCGAGTTGTGGCGTTTGGCGACGGTTATGCATCTACTGTGATATTACTGTATATGTTAATGAGGATTTGTCAAAACCTCTGCCTCTCAAAGAACTTGTTAATATTCTATTCACAACATGGAGCTCTTCTAGAAGCGGGTACAGGGCCGGTATGAGTTCCCGAATACACAATAGCATGTCCGACTTTGAGTAGGTTTGATGTTGGTGTTTCGACCGATCGAGAAGCAGACTCAGAAAGCTAGAGTTTCCTTTACAGCTTCTACACAAATCTTGCGCAAGCAACTACAGCGGTGAGAAATAGGAGGGTACTAGAGAAGTTAATTCAGTTGTATCCTTCTGTGCTGATTCAATGTTCACTTCATGAATCTCTTCTGAAGGTGGGGTTGTGCCAGTATCTAGCTCATGGTCCGTGCATATCTCACACTCGCTTAACACTTCACAAATTGCTCTATCATTGCGATTTCACGACCACGACAACACGGCTTTCCTGATTTCTGAATTCTACCCGGAACCTCAGATACACTAACCGACAGTCCGACAAAATGGCCACTACCCAGGGAGCAATGTAAGTGTTATCGCAATGCTGTATGCTCCAGAGCAACCGACTGACAATATGCAGTTCCAAGAGGAGAAAGTTCGTCGCTGGTATGATACACCCTTTTCTTCACCGAGAGAGCTGGAACGAGCATTGGAGCGTGGAAAACGAGAAACATGTGTTGCTGCAGAATTGGCAAGGGATTTGGAGAGAGCGGGCGCGAGAGACGATAGGCACACGGCGCACACAGGACATTAGCTAACATTGCTCCCACAGACGGTGTTTTCTATGCCGAGCTGAACGAGTTCTTCCAGCGCGAGCTGGCTGAGGAGGGCTACTCGGGCGTCGAGGTCCGCGTCACCCCCACCGTCACCGACATCATCATCCGCGCCACCCACACACAAGAGGTTCTCGGAGAGCAGGGCCGCCGCATCCGTGAGCTCACCTCGCTCATCCAGAAGCGCTTCAAGTTCCCCGAGAACTCCGTCTCCCTCTACGCCGCCAAGGTCCAGAACCGTGGTCTCTCCGCCGTCGCCCAGTGCGAGTCCCTCCGATACAAGCTGCTCAACGGCTTGGCCGTACGAAGGGCCTGCTATGGTGTGCTGAGGTTCATCATGGAGTCTGGTGCTAAGGGTTGCGAGGTCGTCGTTTCCGGAAAGCTGAGGGCCGCCCGTGCCAAGAGCATGAAGTTCACCGTACGCATATACACATTGGTCGCACTTTGAGTCGCGAACTAACAACGCAACAGGACGGTTTCATGATCCACTCCGGTCAGCCTGCCAAGGACTTCATCGATGATGCCACCCGCCACGTCCTGCTCCGCCAGGGTGTGCTCGGTATCAAGGTCAAGATCATGCGTGGCTCTGACCCCGAGGGCAAGTCCGGCCCCTCCAAGACCCTCCCTGACTCCGTTACCATCATCGAGCCCAAGGAGGAGCAGCCCGTTGTCCAGCCCATGTCCCAGGACTACGGCGCCAAGGCCATCGCTGCCCAACAGGCAGCGGACCAGGCCAGGCAGGCGGAGCAACAGGAGGGTGAGGCCCAGCCAGCGGCTGAGGGCGAGGGGTTCACTGAGGAGCAGTAAACAAAAGCTGCAATGCGGGGCGCATAAGGTTACGAAAAGGCATTTAGCGGAAGGCTGCGATGCCATTATGAAACCTGACACACATCTTCCTTTGCACATTCGGACTGGACTGGGCTGCTTTTGACATGGGAGGTTATGGAGTCTTAGTGCTATGTACTCTTTCTGACAACCCGAACATCAAAAGATGCTTCAACCAACAATGCTGTCCCCTCATTATCTGTGAAGACGCGATGTCTATTGTACTAATTTGAGACTTCTGATAGATAATAGCGATCTGATAGTACGCAGATTCACATAATTTATTCGTGAAACTTGGCTAAAGATGAAAGTTGTATTTATTGATTACAGGTTCTCAAACTGAAACACGTGGAGTCACGATTCGAAGGCATAAGCTGATTGTCTCGCATAGACACACATTCACTCAGGTAAAGTACTCTCACCTCCGGTCGGGTGGGTTATCGCATGAGTTCTATCTCCGGTGGTTGCAACATAGTGTAAGCACGGAAGTCAGACTTGGAGGCGAATACTCCAGACCTGTTCGGTTGACCCAGTAATACAAGACTCACCCCTGGTTACAAAAGAGAACGAGTCGGAAATTCGATGCATCAGGAAAACGACAGCAACACCAACAGTATCTGTCAGTAACAGCAGAGAACGACAAATAGAGCTCTCACGTAAAGTTTTGGAGCGTCTTGTATTAGAAGAAATGAATAATTATATACAAATTCCCCGTTGTAGCACTACTATGTACTACTATACAGGGTGAGTTGCCGACCTAACAAAAACAGCGGTCAGATCCTCTCAAATGGTTTTGTACGCAGCCATGCCCTCCATGACCGTTCCGTCGTTCGCAAACATCAAATTCCAGTCACAGCTGCTTCCAAGCCCTGGGTTTTCGATCCAAGAAGGCTCCCAGTAGAAGAGACCTGTTGCCTTTCCTCCCGGCACTGCAGCGACACGCTTGCCCAACTCCTTAATCCACTGTGCCTGACCATATGCGCTGATGTCAACCCACTTGGTGTCCTCAGGGAACGCGTACTTCGGGTTGGGGCAGGACGACGGCCAGTTGGTCTCGACAATCATAACCTCCTTGTTGAACGTCTTGGCCAAGTTGGCCATTGAGGTTGAGATGGCTGCGAGGGTAGCGGAAGGGTTGTAGAACGGGTAGTACGAAAGGCCCTGGATGTCGTAGTCTGACGTCGAGAGGCCGCCGGCTTGGACAGTGTTGTACCACCACTTTTGCGTCTCCCAGTTCCAGCCGCTGTCGAGGTGGATCATGATCTTGGGCGTGGGTCGGATGCGGCTCTCCTTGACGGCTTTGCTAGCACTCTTGAGCAGGGCGGCGACATTTGCCGGGCCGTTGCTGGCGCTTAGTTGGCCGGTGGGAAAGAGTAGACCTGGTGTGATTTCGTTGCCGATGCTGACAATGCTCAGGGGGATACCTTCGGTTTGGAAGGTGTCCAGGACGCTCTTGGTGTAGTCATAGATCTTCGTGACCAGGGCGTCTTTGGCTAGCCCTTTCCACGCTGCAGGCGTGGCTTGGTTGCCTGGGTCCGCCCAGTTGTCACTGTAGTGGAAGTCTAGGTAGATCTGTAGGCCTGCGGCTTTGGCTCGCTTTGCCAGTTTGATATTGTAGTCGAGGTTGTAGTTTCCATCAGAAGGATTGACCCATAGGCGCTGGCGGACGGTGTTGACGCCCGTGTTCTTCAAGATGGTCTCGAGGGGTTGGGTTTGTCCTGCGGCATTCTTGTAGACCTTGCCGGCTTTTTCTTCGATAAGCAGGGACGACCAGTCTATGCCCTTGTAAGGGAGGGCGGCCAGCGCCGTGGTGGCATAAAGCAGAGAAAGAAGAGAAGGAAGACGCATGGTGAGTGCCCGAGATGCTGGGTTGTTGGGAAGGGGATGCTTGCTGATATCTTCTCGGAGAATTCAATGCCCACCCCTACTCTTATACGCTGGGAAATACTCCGACATGAGTAGTAACGCTTCCGTCTCTACTCATGGCATAGATGACAGGTAGGGATCTTCAAGGGTATCTAGATACCCGTTTCTCTGAAACATGTAGCCTTGTTCTAATGTAGCAGCTCTTCCGCCTCCAGCACACCTTCTCTTCCCGACATAGAGTCATGTGTAGTGCTTCCTCCAATGGGAGCATGAGATTGACTCCGAAGTCCGAGGAATAGTCTGGATCCTATGTACGGAGCTTTGTGGGGAAATTGCCCTGCCGGTAATTCGACGTTGTGGAGTAGGACCATCGATGTGGATTGGACAAGATGACGGGATATGACCTAGTGTCGGTGCGCGAAGAGTGTGCGTGACCATTAGAAATAGAGTAAACTAGCTTACCGAGGCATGGCAAAGGTATAGGAGAAGCGGTAGACGTACTGGTTTGAGAAGAATGACGGGTTGGACGGGAGTCTAAAACTAGTCTCAATGCGAGCATGACTAGAGTTTGTTTGAAGTATACAGCAACACAACGTAGCCAGTAAAATATCATCCCAAAATGACCACAATACAAAAATAATGGGTTGTTGGAAGGGAAGAAATATCGGAAACACACGCGACCCACTTATTCGTGCCAAATAAATTACGTAGCCAAAAGCTTAGGCGCAAGTGGAATCAGCTTCTTATACAGAACATTCTACATAACTTACAGACACCGGTCGAGCATAGTGGAACGAGCCTCTAAGCCTGATCGAAGTTCCGAATAGGAGGCATCATTCCCAACCCCTTACCTTCTGTTTCGGCCTTCGTCGCCCCCTCGCCTTCCATAACACCGCCCGCACTCCTTTCCTTAACATGACGCCTCAGCAACGATAAGATCTCACTGCCCTTCCACCGACTTGGCACAGGTCGGTATGCTGGCTTGAACGTGCCCACAGTCTGCGCCCATTCCCCAGTAGCAGGTTCCCGCTTCCACTCGTCCTTCGTCTGAATATCTTTGCCCTGCGCCGCCGCAGTAGCAAGGTCGCCGCCTGCGCCCTCCGCCGTCTCAAGAGAGGTCTGAGAAGGCACTTGCGTCGCCCAGTAGTATATGTCCCAGTCGTTTTCGTCGAGGAAGATGTCGTATTGCTTCATGAGGGAGGTAGACATAGTGGCAAGTTTGGCGTCAGCGAAGGTGCTGAGAAGGAGATCACTTTCTAGGGTGCCCCGTTTGCGGCTCTGATCTGCTTAACGTTAGCAATTGTGTTCGGCAACATTATCTATGAATATAAAGAATATAGGAAGATATAAGGCAAGCTGGGGGCAAGGAACGGACATAATAACCTCGCTCTCATCGTGTTTGCGTCCTCGCCTGTGCGTCTCAGTGGCTCGACCTTGAACTTCGCGCCCTCCAATTCGCCAACACCGAGCTCCGTGTTGCTTGCGCTGGTCTCACCAACATCAAGCTTTGTGTTGCTTCCACTGACTTCGCCACCTTTGCTACTCTGCGCACCTCCCGTCATCCTGTGCGTATTCTCTGGCACAGAATCCTTGGGCGTGAATTTGGGATCGACGTTTGTGATGAGCTCAGGCGGTGGCGCATCGTTGCCAACAGATGGCATCGCATTTGCGATAGTGGACGTGGTGTTCGTCAGATGCGGATTCAATGGCTTTTCCTTCTGGAATTTGCGATATGCTTCTGAGGTGTCGTTGGTACGCTTGTTGAGAGCCTCAAACTCATTGTTGCGAGCTGCGGAGACGCTGAGGCAGCGATAAGTTGGGCGTTGGAATGTGAGAAGAGCTCGTGAAGAGCGGGTGATTAGTCGTGAGGATGGCATTGTGTCGTTTTGTCCTGCTTGGGTGTTTGATTGAGGATAAAGTTGATGCGGAACGCTCATATTGCCGAGGGGAAAATGGAAAACGTCATGGCTTCGAATGTTGCTTAGTAATGTCGATGTCTACTCTCCGATCGACTCGACGGGTCTAATCCTCATCATTCTTAACGATCAGATTTTGACAAACTACAGTATACGTGAGCTTAACTCATGCGAGACACGAAATTCACCTTACCCTCCTTGTGCTCAATACCACGCAACCACTTCAAGCTTCCGACAATAAGCTGACACAGTGACCAGTTGTCTAATCCTGTCTTTGTCACATTTAACCGGCGGATCTACCCATGTTCAACTGACCGTAAAGAGAATCCTTGTCGAATCTACCCCGCCTGAACTTTCCTCCCTTCCCCAACGCCGGTAAATGTAAAATTTGAGTGCATCAATTCATGTCGAAATCTCCACCTAAGCAGACGCATCAGGCCAAATACAATCCATACATCCACAACGATCACCATGTCTCCTTGCACTAGGGACAGTCCATCGAGTGCACTTTTCTAACATGGTCCTTCATCTTATCTTTTCTTGGAAATGGACTTTTCCCGTCTGCCTCGCTACGCTCGCACTCAGACACATGGCACCAGTAAATGGTCTTCTCAAGCGCATGCGCCCCGTCATAGTGCCTCTTGAAATCGGGCCACCGACTAAATGTTCGGCCCGCGCATCCAGGGGATTGACAGCTAAATACCGCCGTGCTAGAGCTACCAGGGCTGTAGACAGTGGCGATTTTGACAAAGGCCGACTCTTCTGGACTTGATTGCCGAAACGGTAAGGCATCCGATCCCTGAATTGCCTCTCCAGTACTGGGAGATGACGATTGTTGGGTATCCTTGGTGGTCTGGACTTGGTTCGAAGCGCATTCGGCGTGACTGGTATACTGATTATACTCTGCATCAAGGTGACTTGTTCCTGGCGAAAACGAATCTGAAATCTGTACGTCGGGACTGTAATTCAGAGTCAGTTCGCCAGCACAGTAGCTGATGTTGCCAGACTCACTGAAGGCACCATTGATCCAGAATATCACCCTGGTACAAACTGCTCTGCATGCTGCTAACCTCAGCGTTTACAGGCCAGTGCCGAGTGTTCGCTGAGCTAGGGTATGCTGCAACTGAGTGTATAGTGTTCATACTATATCTGCGTCTCCAGATTTAGTGAGGGCATATCATTGCCATTTAGGGAAGAGAACATACTGTGTAGTCAGAGGCATTGGCCCAGCGGCTGGCGCTACCTGATTGGGAGAATATGTTAACACTCTCGCAAATGCTGGCTGGACGGCGGTCGGAGAACGCAAAAAGCCTGTTTGGACTGTCAATGAACCCATCGACGTTAGCTTTGAAAGTTCTCATACTTGAGTTTCCCGTTGGAAGTGATGGCAATTCATTTTCACTGGCACTGCCGCTTATCAAGGGCTGATGTCTTTGCACATATTGAGTCTCTGTGACAAGACCTGAATGTGCAGGCCCAGGGTTGTTGGGATTACCAAAAGTATTGGAAGACATGGATACAAACGAGGAGAGACTTGGCGGGTCAGTATTCACGTTCAGCTCTATCCAAATAAGTGGATTTCATCCTTTATAAAGTTTATGCGCTCAATTGTCAGCCTCAAGCTCCAGGCCAGCGCGAGGGTAGCACTGCCTGGAGGCGTTGGAGGGCAAAAAAACCAGTGACGATAGATAACTTGGGGCCCCGTCCTTTACAACACGCACTCTTGTGAGTGACGAGAATGTTGGAATGAGGTGGCATAGTGGATGACTTGGAGAACTCCAATTCGCTCGTCTGTTCGAGGTCCCGAACTCCCAAATTTTGCCCAAGCTGACACAACGACGATCCACGATACAACGGTGGCCTGCGTAATCCATCCAATGAACGAGGTAATATGACGTACTGCAGCTATCTTACCAATATTCCAACCCCAAGCTTTTGCGCTCGTATGCTTACTGGTTTCTTTGGATCCTTAGCCTGTAATGCGTCCAGGTTGTGTATTCATTGCTTCAAGCGACAACGCCTGCCGATCCGCCACGTTTCAACGGCATAGGCCAACTGTCCGTTCCTTGCTGCCCGAAGGGCTCTCACGGGATTAAACGTTAATGCGTAGTTAGCATGATTACCCGTTGTTGGGTCCTCTCAGCGTAGGACTACATGCAGCCACGTTGTCAGGTCCACGACTGAAGATCATCTCTACCATGAATCTGCACTCGTTCCACCTCTTCGTCCGTCGGATTGATTCGACTTCACGTTAAGGTCTTCGACTTTTCCTTCGTCTACGACTTCCTGGTCTGCGGTGTCTCTGTGAAACCAGCCTTGTGCTCACATACTTGCTTCAACTGTTTAGTTTCACCTGATCCACTCCCGATACTCTCATGTATGGATGCTTGTAAACAGGCGGACTTTGAGCTATTCCTGTTTGGTCGCAAACAAGATATTTGTGAACTGACGGCGATCTTTGTCGAACTATGCAAAACGTATTTAGTACTTGCCATTGCTGATCCTGAGCCATAGTATCAACCGTGTCAAACTGTCTAGTAAAATGCCAAACCATCCGAATTTCCCTTCATCGCCATCCACTTCTGCATCTCGATCATCGACGCCGTTGAAGTCAGGACATGTCAATAACATGCGTGGACAATACCATCTACACGAATCCACCCTGAATCAAAGAGTGTCTTTGTTTTTGAGCTCCATTGTACCCCCTCTGGATTCGCACATTCCCGGATGCGCCTTATATACATGCGATCGCAATTTCAACATGTCTCGAAATGGTACGTCGGTCCTGTTCGCGCTTCGGCGACAATGTTGTATGGGACACCAATAGATAATGTTCGCGTGTGACCTCTGGTAATGCCTCTCCCATTGCCAATGCCTTTCAAACCGTCGATTGACACATGATGGGAAGTTGCATGCGTAAAGAAATGCTCTGGACCCCTCGCCTCCATAAACAATGGCAATGGGTGCAGAATTGGCTTGCGGTATCGAGGAAACTTGTTCAGCATCTGGAGAGTGCGTCGTCTGAGATGTATACAAATAACGACTCGGATCGTCAGGTGTGTTCTCCACGGAATGGCTTCCAGATGCCAGCGCGTGATGTTCTTCTGCCTCGTGAACGGGGCTACAGTTTAGGAGTCAGCTGGGAAGTGGGTCATTTGATACGGCTTTGCACATACTTGAACTCCTGATGAAATGACAAAATTTCCTCATCTGGGTCGATAGCCAGTAAGTCGGCGAGGAATTGGTCCACATCAAAATCGAACCCCGAGGGTAAATCAACGGCTGCGTTGACCACGGAACTGCTAGGAAGGGTAGTGTCGTTCCTGTGTTTGGAACATCAGCGTCATAAAGTTTCCAAACGTTTTGTATTCGATAGAACATACTGGTTTGCTGACTGCACCAGTTCCGCCCCTCTTGTGCCGATCTGAGAGTATTGCTGTGCTTGTAAAGACGGACGACTGAGTGAAGCATCGTTCGCATTCGAGAAAGCGCCTGAGATGTATGTCAGTATATGAACCGAGTGTGGGCAAGAACAGGGTAAGAGCGCGTACTCTCGTCAACATCGTTAGTTGAATGTTGCTGCGGCTCGTCAAATCCCCACGAATTGAACTCATCTCGATGCTGCGAAGTGTGGTATGGCTGGTAACCAGGTGTCATTTTGGCGGTAAGGAATGGATGATAAGATGTGGTGAAGGGGTGGAGAGTGTCGAAAGTTCAGCGTCATGTCGCCTCCCAGCTAAATAGTACGCGAGGCCGTACTTGCCGTGAAGTAAATCGGGCAACAACAACGAACCATGCACTAACAGATATCAGCATGCATCAAGCATTCACTTCTCCATTTTTTTACCATTCTGATTGGACGTCTCTGCGCGGATCAACTTTTCGAGCCACTGCCTTACTCAAGTCTCTTCTGTGCAGTGTGGCACAAATATCGATATTGATCTGTTACTTCACGGGGAATTGCGGTTGACTGCTTGTTTAGAAAGCAAGTACGCCCTTTTTAGTTTAAGTAGAATCGCTCCTTTCATTGCTTACAAGATAGCTTCGTTCCTCGTGTCTTATAACGTGCCAGCACGTTGGCGGCGGGAGAGGGGGTCATGATAACGAGCGGAGAGCTAGGAAGATGAAGGGAATCGCTTCGGAGTGATGAACGTCTTGGGAAGGCCGTCAAAGGGGATGCACTACTCGAGAGTGTACGACCGTCGATTGCGAGACGAACGAAAGGGGAGGAGAACAACTGAAGATCTTCAAATCTGATACGAATTTGTTCTTCCGAATAGACGTGGGAAAGACTTGGAGAGGCCTGAACAAGCGGACCCACACCCATCACTACACAACCACACAGGCAACTTTGGACATGATCCACTTGTTGGCCATAATGAACACGAGCGAAAGAGAAAGTGACCCTGAAAAAGACAACAAGATGGGAGGCAGATGAGTGAGTGGAATAAAGATCTTTCTTTCAACGCCGTTCGCTAGATGCCTGCCACAAGTCTACAGAGACAATCAACCAATGATGGGAGTAACAAAAAATACATGCCTGTATTAAGCAAAGCAGTATTCACACTGCTTACAGCATCCCCACTTCTTCCTCAATCTATCCAACCTACTTCATTGTCTCATCCAGCTTGTTCAGCATACCCTGCACCTCCTTCACTAACGCCTTTCGCTTCATCCTCGCATCCTGATCGCCCTCCGTCTCCACACCGTCAAATTTCATGAGAATCTGTGTAAGAATCGTCTCGCTCAATTTCTTGTACTCAAAATCCCTCTTGCTCTTATCCTCGGGCGGGTGCGCCATGAACTGTACACACATCGGCACGAACTCGGTATGGAACTTGCTGCCAATAGCGTCGAGCTTGCCCATTGCGGTCTGCGGCGTCGCAGCGCGCGGAGCTGGCGAGGGACTTGGACGCGGCGCTGCGTTGAACTGGGAGGGGAGTGGGAGGTATTCTGGGCCTGCGCCTGCGGCATTCGAGTAACCGGGGGTTGAGGTGCCCGAGGGAGTCGCCGAGGAGCCCTTCTTCTTGTTCTTCTTGCCACCACGCTTGCGGGACTTCTTCCTGCCTGTGGTATTCGCGCCAGAGTCGACGCCACTCTCGTCGTCGTCTTCCTCGTCTTCACCGTCACTCCAGGCACGTTGCGAAACATCTTCAGAGCCCGGCGCAAGACCTCCAGCTGGCATCTCGCCGATTGTGATCAGGATTTCGCTGCCTGTGCCGTCGCCGCGGAGGCCTTCTTCCCGTGCAGTCCGCTCGTCGTGCTTCAGGTTGCGCCCCTTGTAGAACATGCGTATCCGCCGCGGGTCGCTGACGCCCAGCTTCTTCGCCGCCGCCTGGCGCACTGTGCTGATCTTCAAATCTCCATCGCGTATGCTGTGTGCGGCGAAATGCGTGGGGTAGTTTGTCCTCTTCTCTTTGAAGATCAGTACATCTGTCTCACGGTCGGGGTTTTTGTCGTCCCACTCGACGATCTCGGGCCCCTGCGAGCCATTGTTCCGCCGTAGGTCGTCGTTTGTGATGTAGGAAAAGTCCGAGTCATTGACCACGCCTGCATTGGGTGGCTGACGGCCAAATGGCGAGAAACGGCCGCCCCAGCTCCCGCCGGTGCGAGAGAACCACGACATGGTGACGAACGCGGCAGCTAGTACGATGGCAAGGGTAGTGAGGTAGGCCGGGTCGTCGAGTCGAGGATTCGTGACAAAGGAAGCGACGTCGCCGAGTCCGCGCTGCTGGAGGAAATTGGCGATTTTGGAAAGGACGTCTGTGGGTAGTTCGTCTTCGGTTAGGGGAGGATGCGAGTCTGTGCCAAGGAGAGGATGGTTCTTGAAGAAGCTGAAGGACCTCTTCACGTCGTCGATCAGGGTATTGAAGGACGCCACGGTGTACTGTCGTGTTCAGCCGCCCCGCCAAACGAAGCAGGCTGCTGGCGATCTGCTATCTGCACGTTACGGCAATGACGTAGTAAATAAGGTGACAGAAGGTGCTGGTCACCGGGGAATGCTAGTCTGAAAGTCACTGGTGGGGGCATAAGCTGTGGATTGCTTCTTGTTGGTTGGGTTAGCAAAAATGTTAGTCAGCACTACCTCATAGGGCTGAACAAGCTCACGTCTATCGTGGCACAAGATGCGTCCGTAATTTATGGTTGATGTATACAGATCTAAGTCTTGGTAATCGAACATGCACACAGTTTCAATCAACCCTAATAACAACAAGATAACCTAACACACAACCCACCGTACCCCCACCACTACACTCAAGGATTGTCCGACATCAGCTCATATGGATCCCAAAACCAATTCTCCGACAACTCAGACACGTTCGTATTCAACCACGTCTGCCACCCAGGTGCCCCGCCATCGTCGAACCACTTGTACGTCCTCCCCGCCTTATTGAGATGAACCCTCACCCTACGTTCTCTCTCAATGAGATTTCTGATAACCATCCTTGTATGCCTCGAATCCCACGCCCACCTCCTCCCAAAGCCAGCAGGTAGCGCAATATCCGTGACAACTGCTCCATCCTCACGACAATCCACAATAAATTGCAGAATCTCTTTAGTGATAGCCCATACAAAGGGGCCACACGCAGCACCTCCGTCAGCGGCGCCGCTCACGTTATCTCGGCCTTGATGCGGAGTTTTCTTATCAACGACGAGTTCAATATCCCGACCATCTTGACCTTCAGGCTGGACGTGAGCCTCCAGCGCCCTCAAGCCCTTGAGGACGGTGTACGCCGCAGTGGCATTATGGCTTGTAACCTCAGTGCAGAAGGAGTCGAAATACCTTCCCTTGAAAGTTTTACCCCGAACATCGACAACCATGACAGACCAGTGTCGGCCCTTACTCTGTAATCCTGATGTCTTGCCGTATAATTTATCAATTTCCGTATCTTTCATGCCACGCTTCGATCTAAGTACTTGCTTTTTCTCATGTTCTTGACCTATTTCGACCCAGTCGGCCCAGCCGTCGCTGATTGGGACCACAACAAAATCCTTGTTGCTGACCTTTGCAACCAGAGGCGCGTTACTGATATCTGGGTTGGATTCGCGACCGATTTGCCAGATTGAGTACGCGTGATAAGTGTTACAGAGTGCGATTCTATGAGATTCGCAGCCCAGAACACCTTCGAGGAGGCCCAATGATGTATCGATACTCTCCCCTTGGAACCAAACACCAGGGGTGTCTACTTCGCAGAACTGCTTCTCTGTTATGACAGAGGTTGGTGTTTCAAGCCAGAAAGAGTCGCTTCGAGCATCAGGTTTACTGGAACCAAGCAGTGGTTCTTTGATCTCGATGTCTTCTTTGGCCTTCCTGTCGAATAACAATGCATCTTGTTTCGACTGTGCATATCGGTCTACAATGTGCACACTGACAGAATGCCTTCGCGTCTTACCGTTATGTGAGAGCCTCCACATGCAATCCCCAGCGTCGTCGATGGTTCGACGTATTGTACACGCACTTTTTGGTCGGATGTGATGGGTGTTCATCGATCTTTTTTCTCCCCAGCGTGCGTCGAAGTTCAGGCTATTCTGTTCTATCATTTCTTCGTACCGTGTAGAATACAATGAAGTAGTCATATTGGAAAATACGCAATTTCGACTCTTGATCTCTGTTTAAAACTCTGTGTACAAAAACATGATGAACGATGGGAGACTGGCCTATAAGTCGTTTGTGAAGTTGCTTTGTCTGTTCGATATTCCTTTGTCTGCAAGCCGATCATTGTGAACAATCCTGCTCTTAACTTTAGCATTGCGGACAATGTTCAGCTTTAGTGTATGCTTGCCTGTAGAGTTTTAACGTTTTGATTCAGCCCTGGAGTTGTGAGAGAATGTATTCGCTTTCTGGTCAATCGAGAGAAGAAGGGATGGAGACTTGGCGTTGAGCCCATATTGACATTTCACTAGAAATCCCGTTACTCGTTCTGTAAGAGCTATATGATGAGTTTATGTGATAAGATGAACTTTGCGATGACGACGATCTGTGACGTGATGGTTAGCAACATAAATATGTAGATGGTGCTTCATTGATGATATTTGATTGTTTGTTCTTTTTACTTTAGAGACCAAACACCATTCTCCTCGATGATTTCAATAGGCCGGTTCTCGTCCAGCGATCTTCGGCCTCCTTCAAGAATAGCCGTTGTTGCGATGGTGTTCTTGAGCGTTGGCAGTGGCCTAGCATCGAGCTGTTCGAGTGTGACCTTGCCGTCATTCAAAGCATTGACAGCGTCAATAAACTTCTCGAAGGAAATGTATCCGTAACCGATCTGACCTGCAAAGTTACCCTCCTCGTCAGGGGCGTACTTCATGTAGAATCTAGAAAATTATGTTAGCAAACATCAAAAGTCAAGATTAAGAGCTGAACATACGGGTTGTACCAAAGCAGACCACCCTCGTCGTCAGTGACGTCGTAACCTCGCTTAGCCTGGTTGACACGAATTTCTCCTGTGGCAGCCATGTAGTGGAAGTACTGGTTCGAATGGACACCAGCTTTCTGTGGCGCTGCCCAGCCAGCTGTGTAAACACCAGTCGCCCGCCTGCTTGGGTCGCTCTTCTTTACCCAATCGACGAGTAGGGTAATTGTGTCTTCGGTCGCAGGATCACATCCAAGATCGGTCGCAATGCCCTTCGCAGCACTTCCCATGACACGCACTGGTTTGTAGTCGGGAACCATGGACTCGTTGACGTCGATGTGATGGGAATTGAGATAGTACGAGATATCGCTGTCCTTGCCAGCCCAGGCCTTGAAAGTCTCCAGCTGGCTCCTGTTTTTGTAGTCAGTCGATGTCCAGCACCCAAGCCGAGTATGATATCTTACTTTGGCTGACTCATGTAGGAGTAGAAGTAGTTAAAATCTCCCAACTTCTGGGCCCTGAACCTCGCATCTGCGTATGCAGGATCATATCGCTTGTGATGCTCTATGTAAACGAACACGTTATACTTCTTTGCAGCTGCAAGAAGCTCCTGATGGTGTTCGAGCAGCTTGACTGCTGGCTTTGTGATGAGCACGTGAATTCCTCGCTCAACTGCATACATGGCAATTGGGTAGTGAGTGGTGTCGGGCGTGAAAATGGTGACTGTGTAAACGTTAGCAAAAGCAGTCCAGTTTTTATCCATTCTGTTTGAGAACTTACTTGCACTGCCTTTAGGAAGAGCGTCAATGGCTGTCTTGTACGCATCTGGGTCAGTCTTTCCCTCCTTGGGAAATTCGTCGAAAGACACATCCAGTCCGTTGTACGCTTCCGAGATGTTCTTCTGGAGGTGTTCACCTGTTCAAAATCAGCACTTTGCATGCAGTACAATGAGCGCTGCGCAACTCACGAATCGCTGGAAATTTCCCTCCAGATACACCGACCATGGACAGCTTGCCAACCTTCCCGCGTCTGCGCAGATCGAAGAGGGTCAGGCCCACGACTCCCACCTTCTTATCCGACTTGGACGCGCCGCCTCCAACGAAGCCTGTCGTGTACTCTCCAGTCCCCACCTGCACCACTGTCAGCTCTCAACCCGCACACAAGTAGGTATGGAAGTAAGCGGAAAGGATACGTTTAGATGGAGCCACTACATACCATCAAAACCTCTGCTGGTGCCATGATGTTGCTTTTCTTGCCGCTCTTACGATTCAACAGTATTGCTCAACTCAAAATCTAGTCACTGTGTGGATTCAAAGGAAAGAGGGTGCTAGGAGAGCAGAGTACACGTTGTTATCTCGGCAACTGAACATGGCAGCGGCATCTGAACGGAGAAACTTAATGCTCTCAACGCGATGAGGGGTAGTTCGACGCGCTGCATTTGTTGGGTCCCCGCGGCCGGATGACGTTTAAGCTTCTTCGAGATCGCATGTCTCGATCTGGCGGCTTCCGAAGACTTGACCAACGTAGACCGAGTTTCCGAGTTGTTTCCTGACGCGCTTTTGGCGTATCTTAAGGAACCGAACACAGCCGGGACGAGTTGTTGAGATGTGTGATTGTAGGAAATTCGTCGCGTTCTACCGCGCCCGAAGCCAAGAAACGCGCCTGATGCAACCCCACGCGCCTTCCTTTGCTGTCATTGGTGGAGAAACCCCTTCGACCCTCTCCGGTCGTTAACATCTACGTGATGAGCCACAATGTCCGACATCGAACCCTGCCTCCGACGGCACCTTTTCCCATGACTTTAGTGAATGTCCCGTATTTCGCGCAGTTGTGTGCCGAAATCCTCAAAGCCATGCACACAGTGTTGACTCTAGCGTTCGCGGCGGCGAATATTTGGCCTTCGTGACGAATGAACGACGCGCATTTGACGAGGTCTCGACGTCTGAAGAATCATGGACACACGACGTAAGGTGGGATGTGTGTGGGCTCTGCGGGGCTCGCTATGCTTTACTTTGCCCATCTCGCTGGTAGATTAATACTGGCCGAGCCTATATCAGGGCCATTGTCCCTGGTTGCTTCCAATCCTCTTTTCTCTCTTCTCATTTCAACTTTCAGCCTCCAATCCTCCAATCCACTATACCTCTACCTAACACACTTTCACCATGACTTCAAACGGTGCCGCGAATGGCCATGCGAAGGGGCGCACACCTCTCCGACCGGGTATCTACTCGCCAACCATGACCTTCTTTGTCCCAGAGACCGAAGAGCTTGATATCCCCGCGATCAAGAAACATGCGGTTCGCCTTGCTGAAGCTGGGCTTGTTGGGCTCGTGACTATGGGATCAAACGGAGAAGCTGTCCACCTTTCGAGGGCCGAGAAGACTGCTGTTACGCGGGCAACTCGTGAAGCTCTTGACGAGGCTGGGTACAAAGATGTGCCGGTTATTGTAGGCGCCTCAGAAAATGGCATCAAGCTTACGATCGAGCTGTGCAAAGAGGCCGAGGCCGCTGGCGGTGAATACGTTCTCACAGTGCCTCCGAGCTACTACCGCTACGCGATCGATGAAGACGCCATTGTCGAATACTTTACCAAGGTCGCAGACGGCTCGCCACTTCCAATCATCATATACAACTACCCTGGAGCCGTTGCAGGGATTGATATGGACAGCGATCTTCTCATCAAGCTTGCAAAGCACCCCAACATCGTCGGTACCAAGTTCACATGTGGTAACACTGGCAAACTCACTCGTGTTGCTCTTGCCACCAACGCATGCACAGCCAAGAGCAACGGGAGCGGTTATATGGCATTCGGCGGTATCGCCGACTTCACAGCACAGACTGCTGCCAGCGGCGGGTCAGGCATCATCGCTGGCGGAGCCAATGTCATCCCCAAGACCTGCGTCAAGGTATGGAACCTGTGGAATGAGGGCAAATTCGAGGAAGCATTCGAGCTTCAAAAGATTCTTAGCAAGGGCGACTGGGTACTCACAAAGGCGGCGATCCCAGGCACAAAGTCGGCGATCGAGTCTTACTACGGTTATGGTGGATACCCTCGCCGACCACTCAAGAGGTTACCGCAGGACAAGGTGGATGCTGTCGCAGAGGCCATCAAGGAGGTTATGGATATTGAGAAGAGTTTATAAGAATGCCACAAGACTGGTGTGTCAAATTACAATACTCTCGTCATTTCAATTCTTGTGCTCTCATGATTACCTACTTCGAGTTCAGGCATACATCGTTAATAGTTCCAAAGTTATTCCGTTCTACAGCCACAGCACAGGTAAAGGGTTGAATGTTCTTAAAATCTTCTTCGTTGTCGTGTGATGTGTCCTAAAGCAGTTTGAAGATGACTATATCTACGACCATGTTCGTTTCCAAACGCGCAAGGTGGACAGACAAGGTAAGTGACAAAGCCCGCTGTACGACGCATCCATCAGAAAATTACAGCAATTTATTGGTCAAGCGCGGTTGACATGTGTATTCCTATCTGACATTTTCATCTCGATGGTGTTTGTTCAGCCAGTGAATCGCGGACTCGTCGACTACCTTTGAAAACCTGTCCGGATCGCCGTACAACCAATTGCTATCCTACAAATTCAGGAGCCGCTCAGCGTTCTTGGAACATCAAAAGCCATATTTCTGCCATACATGAACGCCTTCAAACCTAGACGAGACACTCAAACCACCTCTCTTCCCATAGTCTCCTTCATATGGCTCTATCATTGCCCATGTTGGCCTACTGATACGACGAAAGTATTTCTGGTCTCCTTCTGAGTGTTGTTTCTTGAGTATGTGTGATGCTTTTTATATGTGCCAAGATTGAAACCTTGATCCTGCAGAAGTTTCTCTGATAATGGATGCTAATTGTGGCGACTGCATATTCATGAGCACATATACTCTGACGACTGCCTCGTGTCTTTCAATTGATAATCTACTCACGAATTACAGAAGCATGAGGCAGCTTTGTAAAAGATCCCAAATACTAGTCAGTTACCCTATTCCTTTAGGATGCGTAGAAATTCTCCATGTCAAAGATGTGTAAGCAGCAACAAGGTCTTTTGAAGTGTACTACCGTCATGATGTCTCCACGACGTCATCATGAATATCGTACTGAGGTAGTATCAAACGCTTTCGTGGGCGAATCCATGGACATATTTTTCCGTGGGTATTGTTGAAGAGCTTTCGAAGTGATGTTCAAGAAGAGCACATGCTTTGGGAACACTCACAACTGAACTCAGGTGAATGATGCGGAACCACCATGGATTATCTGCACGATGTAAAACTACCGTTGTATACTGATTCAACATTGAGACCAGAATACGGTGGCCCATTATCTACATATCCGTGGTTGGTCGGCGATGATCGTCTAATTGCGCTGAACTGCATAGGAAATCCCGTATTCGTGTATACCGATGCGATAGAACCTGGCATCATGCGCATCCCTGGAATGGCGTGTATTACCTCTTCCGTTCGTGGAGTGTGTATCGGCGGATAGATGATACCGGGAGCCATCATGATAGGGTCTATCATCGTCTGGTGGACTGGTTGGTCAAACATCTGGCCGACTTTGGAACGTCAGTACTTGAGTCACATTTTCAAAGCACTGCCCAAGTCATTGCTCTGCTCTCATCAAGGAACCTCCACTTACCGGGGTGCATAGGTTGCCGCTGTCCAGACAGCATGTTCTGAAAGACGCGTTTGCCGGAAGGATGCTGTTGTACTGCCGAAGTCGGTTCCGAATGCGACCAAACGTCCTCTTCCAATTCGGAGATCATTCGTGGTCTCTCAGAGTAGCTGGTGTGTTGAATCGGTGTATCGTTTGGAGTCTGGAGACTATGCGAAGATGCCGCCGCCGCTTCTGTTCTCTGTCTCTGAATATGTCTCGGTACCTTTCCGCGTCTCTTCTTTTCCCGATCATACTGGCAAACGTACTCGAGTTCTTCAAAGTGTCAGCGAAGCTTACATCAAATGTTGTATCTTGGTGCGGTACCTATACATCGCGAGCAGGGTGCTTGTCCATTGCATCGTGTTCGCATTCGGTGACAATGGTCACAAGCTCGACTCACTCTTCGCTTCACTGGCGCAGACCCTTTTCGTTCGGCTTTTGTACTAACAGCTGTAGGCTCCATCGTATACAAATTCGATTTGAACGGCTGAACGGTTGGTCAGAAAGACGTTGGAATAACTGCTGATAGAAATCGGGTTTCGCACGTTATTTTGGTAGCAAATGGGGGCCAAAGCTGAGCAATGGACTACAGCTAACCTTGGGAACCCTAGTCGACGATGATCCATGCAGATGCCAAAGCATACCAGCGTCGATGTCACGGAGGCTACCTTTCCATGCGGGCTTCGAGAACCAAACTCAATTACGAAATGGAAGACAACAAAGCTGAAGCCAACATTCTTGCTTGGGTCTTGTCGTGGCTTTCGGCTGAACACACGTGGGCCCCCCCTCGTGCGAGACTTGAACGACTTTCCGGAACTAGCGCAAAGTGCCGTGAACTACTCCACCTTCTCACGAGTCGCCAGTTGCGAGTCACAACAGTCCTAAGTGGTTGATTCTAACAATCTCTCACTAGCACTTAAGACGCATGCCGAAGTTCTTTTGTAACACAGGGATCAAAGACCATACCTAGTATGCCATCGGGGTACGTACTGTTCCCTCGTCCTTCTCCAGGCGGCCTGATATGACCCGAAAACCACGCAATTCGCTAATGCAACTTCGTGGAGACAAACTTGTTCTCACCATTCCGCTTTAAGGCGATGGGCGTACACTACCTTGGGACCAATCGCCGCAACGCATGAAGTTACGGACAGTGTGCTGCAGCGATATGGTCGTGAAACGACTACATCCCTACATCTCTATAATTATGCGTAATGCTGCCTCTATGAGTACGTACGTGTGCTCAAAGTGGTTTGTATCACTAGCGGCTTTCCTGATGCAGTAGACGCGACAGATGCTCCGGGTCATCTTTTGAGTGCATCACTTACTGCAAAATCAATTCGTATACCTTCAGGCATGATGCCGGCAGGGGAGAAGTAACCGACGACGTCAAAGTTCTCCTTACACGAAATCAGGGCACTGTTACTTATTGGCCTGTAACTTGTCACATGCCTTCGGTACATACTCCGCGTTGCTGTTGCCAGCACGTACCCTTCGACATATATATAGCCACCAGGTTCTAGGAGATAACTCCGCCAATCGCGTAGAGGGTGCTGTGCTCAATACAAATTACCACCTGCCAGATGTTGAACTGTTTTCCGTAGAGAACGAACTGAAACGTCTCATCCAAGTACGAAGAGACGTTGTTTCCCTCTAAGCCAAGATACATACACCCTCTCGTGAAACATTTCTCACCTGAGAAATATTGGCGCATTTGCACAATACTACCTTCCTCAGAATGGTAAGTGCACAGCGAAGCAGCGATCACCTGTTTTGTTTCACTAGACTTGTCTCATCAGCAATGAACGAGTGTGCTGCACGTGCATTTGGTCCTATGCCATAGTCAAGTCTTACTGTCCAAGTACGTCTACGTTTTCCTTGTAATCTAGACACGGTAAGCTAGCAGCTACGGACTATTGTCTTTTGAAGTGATCAGAACTCTACCCAGCCTCTAAAAAATACTTAGCAAGGATACATCGTCTTTGTATCTCTTCCGGTAGGTCATCCTGTCTACAAGCGCGACCCTAAAACTTTATTTGGTCATACTAAGATCAGATAAGTGTTCTTGGGCCGTGTATTGTGTGACTGCCAAGTTTTGGCCGGTCGTGAATACCTATAGGCTTTGGTATGCCTCCTCTCCTTTCCATTGATCTTTACATTGTTGATTCACCGGTGCAGGGAACATCTCTGGGGTTTCAAAGGTTAAATGAAGAAGACTACAGTAAGCTCATATGCAGCGGTTCCCTGACTTTCCAGACTCCATAATAATAGCAGGCACATCACTCATACACCTTAGCCTATCATGATAGAACGTTGAGTTAGGGTTGATGACATCAAAGACTCACGGAGGAGGCTCTGGGCTGTGGAACGCCTGCGAACAATACAGTTGGAGAGTACAGTTTGGGTGAGCTTTCGATTCGAGTACCAGCACGATATTAACAGAAGATAGGCTGCTTTACTGACACCTAACCTAGTCTTTACAAGTAACAATACGAATTAACTGTAGTTTGAATAGTTCAGAGTTGAACAGCAAACTATCTCTGTGGAGGTTTCAACAACAGTCGCTGTGGAGAGTCACCATGGCTAACAAACTTTTTGGAAAAGACGACCGTAGTATCACCATACACTCGAGCTTTTGCACATGTTAACAAAGTAGATCTTGTGTGTAATGCACAGCAAAGGTCAAAGATTTCCAAATGGCAAATGTGTCCATTTTCTCTACAGCCTGTTCATCGCCTTGGTCAGCTGGGGAGTCCCAACACCTCTAGAACAGCGACGCGTCACACTCTACAAAATGATTCGCTCTTGAGCTCTTTCACCACAAAAATCCTTACTGTTAGGAACACAACATCTTTGGTCTACCACAAAAGTACTCGGGGTACGAAGTATTACTTACTTTCCAGACTTTTCGGCGTCCTGCTTCATGCCAGCTTGTACCCACTCACGAGCCTCAGCTGCTTTTAACTCCATCTTAGCCTTGTCCTTGAGCAACTCTTTGATCGTGTGTGGATCGGGAACATGTCGGCCTTTCTCTACGCCTGGGCGCTCGGTCCTGTTGGTTAGAATCTATTGTCAGAGTATGCTCTTTGATACGTTGAAGTTTGATAGAGTGCACGTACTGTATTGCGTTAGAACTATGTCGTAAGGAGGAGTAGTGGTACGTGTGTAGCCATATCGTTTCAGACGCCGTAGCAGTCCAAGCACCACAATGCATTCTAGTAACTTACCATGCGTTCTTCCCAGGCCTTCAGCGCAGGATAGTCGTCGATCTCGACACCGGCCCAGCCTGCAGCCGCGACCCACCCATAGTGCGCGATGTCTAAAACGGTCAGCAACAAAGACCAAGTAGGCATATGAAAAGGCTGAAAGAAGCGAGGAGTGGCGCCTGACACAAGGCTAGAACTCGCCCTGACAGGCTTCGGGGGAATCATACCGGCAATGGTGCACTTTTGACCAGTCAGGTAGGGTCTGCTGTCAGAAGCCAGGTGCTTTTCAAGGACGGAGTACAGACGGCGTGTTTCGTTCTGGTAGCGGTTTACACCATACTCGATGTGCTCGGGAGCGTAGCGAGTGAAATGGTCTGCAGATGCAAGTTAGCGCGCGTACTAGATACGCCCAGGTTGCACCATGCCCAACTTGATCTATACTCCGGGAGGCGTTTCCCCATAGTGTGGTAACTCGTGGTGCTCTCCGCGGAAGGAACTCCGTTAATAGTCAGATTCCACCGCTACTTCCTTGCATGTTTTGATGCGACATCAGATTGTTGAAGAGGGTGTGAGAGGATCCATGTAAGGCGATCACTACGCCTGGACAACCATCCATGTTGTCTTTCGCCGTGTTCGTTCGTAGCGCTTACTCGCTCTGTCCCTAAAACGTATCTCTCATCCAACGTAGATGAAAGTAAACTTACTGGCTTGTCCTTGCATTGGTCCAACCCCGGCATTTTGATAGAAGAGCCAGTTATTCATCTCGTACCACTCCCTCGTGCCCTTTGGGTAGCTGATCTTGTACTCCGTATCATATCGGTCGACCAGATACTGCATGATGCTCCCAGACTCGAAGAGATTGATTGTCTGTCCATCGGTGAAGGTATCAGTGAGAGCCGGGATACGACCATTGGGGTTGATAGCGAGGAACCAGGGCTCCTTCTGCGTGTTCTTGCTTATGTCGATCTTGTGGGTCTTGTAGGGGACACTGCAACGGCCTTAGTATGCTTGTTTTTTTTACTCTCTACGGAAGCGTAAACCGTTTGCAGGAGGGATGTGATTCGATCAGCGTAGAAAAAGATCAAAAGGTGCTTTTTGTCTCGTAGGATTTGGGAGACTGGAAAAAAGGTGCGCTGTATAAAGTTGAAACTGGACGATGATCCCTCTGTATAAATCTAAAGCCATCTATATCGCGGAGCGTACCATCGAACTGCAAACATTTCAAAGCCCACAATGAATTCTTGCACACATGCTTGAAGAAGAGGACGAGATGGCTCGAATGAGAGTTGAGGTGTTCTAATCTTCACAAGGATCTCGATAGGAAGGATTCCGGGGTGAAGGAGCTTGAGGTGAGGAACATGTTGCGAAGTACGGAGAAGTTTAGGGGTGCAATCAACGACTGAGGGCTGGATGCAGAAAGAATATCGCGTCGACTTTCAACGACGATCGGAATGTGGCAAATAGAGGAGTTATATGAAAGGTGGATATGGCTCAATCGGTACATACCCAAGCTCCTCTAAGGTGATGGAGATTTTGATGCCATTAGGCGTCTGTGTGGTATAAAGGTTGACCGAGGGTTCTTGAGACGTCATATTGCTGAGGATGAATGCCACAGTAGTTGGGGATGTGAAGATACAAAAGAATTTAGGAAAGCGAAGAGTTGAGAAGTGTTACCGAGGGAGAGTCTATATCGAGCCCGACTACGACGTTGATGTGGGGTCAGGGAGGGGCAGGTATGACGAATATGAAGTTTGCTTATAAATGGAACATATCCTAGAGTATAATTGCGATTTGTTTTTTTGGCTCATTTCTGAGTTATGTTCAGAGGTTGGAGTTCTCTTTGAAAAACGAAGAGTCAGACGTCACTATTTACGTCGTATGCTAGCTGGAGTTGTGTCAATGAGGAGTTCTGACCGGCAGACTCAAGCCGCGTGGAGTATAGTTTTGTCGCCTTATGAGGATGAGACGATTACACTAACTAGAAGGTCCACTTGTTCAGTTTCACAATAGGCTAGAAAGAACGACCAGAAGCGGTGCTGACAAGAAAAACTACGATTCATGTCCACAGACATTGTGAAAACAGGGCAAGGAGAGAAGACCGTTATTGAACCAGGTTGATTTCCGCCACTCATAATGCTGATGAATATTGCATTCATGCAATCAAATTTGAACATCAGTCATACAGACAGCCAGCCTAATATCACGTGATTGTTGGAATTGGCTAGGCCTAAATGAAGCTCCGGTTCCCGATTCTCTGGCGGCCGCTCCTTGTCTCTCACTCAACACAACCATCATCGAGCAACCACCATCTTTCACAACAAGATGTCGTGGCGCAACCAGGGTATTACCGGCTCGAACAATATTCCGCTTGGAAGCCGTCGTCGATTTGGCGGCGACGAAGATGACACAGGATACAACCCTTCTGCGCCTGCGGAGGGTTTGTCCGAACTGAAACGCGGTCGCAGTCCAACTCGTGGTAAGTCTTGTCGCGTCGCGTCATCAAGCAAATACTAATCATTTCCACTACAGATCCCGAGGGTCCAAGACAGCGCAAGAAGCGCAACCGATGGGGTGATGCCAGCGAGAACAAGGCGGCCGGTTTGATGGGTTTGCCCACGGCCATCCACTCAGCCATGACTACTGAGCAGCTTGACGCGTACACTTTGCATCTGCGCATTGAAGAGATTACGCAGAAACTGAAGATCAACGATGTCGTTCCAGCCGACGGGGACAGGTACGCGTTCCCCCCCCCCCCTTCCAGAAAATGAAATGTATATTGATTCGTTCAGGTCCCCCTCGCCTCCCCCGCAATACGACAACTTCGGTCGCCGTGTCAACACACGCGAGTTCCGCTACCGAAAGCGACTCGAAGACGAGCGTCACAAGCTTGTAGAGAAGGCGATGAAGACGCTTCCTAACTACCACCCGCCTGCCGATTATAGGCGGCCTACTAAGACACAGGAGAAGGTCTATGTTCCGGTCAATGACTACCCGGAGATTAACTTCAGTACGAAACTAACCCCTCTAACTTTCCTTTCTAACTCCCCCCTCATCCTAGCCTTTGTCTTGACAGCTTGCTCAGCCTGCTCGGTGCTCATACGCATCCGGCAATACCTGCAGTATAGCTATGTCACTAACCCTATCCGTCCTATTGCTCACACAATTTTTTGATCAAAGACTAACCACAGCTTTTTGCACTAACAGTTGGTTTGCTTATTGGCCCTCGTGGAAACACTCTGAAGAAGATGGAGTCTGAGTCCGGCGCGAAGATTGCGATTCGTGGCAAAGGCTCTGTCAAGGAGGGTAAAGGACGCTCTGACGCAGCTCACACCAGCAACCAGGAGGAAGATCTGCACTGCTTGATCATGGCCGACACTGAGGAGAAGGTCAACAAGGCCAAGAAGCTTATTCACAACGTCATTGAAACGGTAGGTTGTGCGATCTTTGGAAAGTGTATCTTTACTCATCACAACCAGGCTGCCTCGATTCCCGAAGGACAGAACGAACTCAAGCGCAACCAGCTTCGTGAGCTTGCCGCCCTCAACGGTACGCTCCGTGACGATGAGAACCAAGCTTGCCAGAACTGTGGTGAGATTGGTCATCGCAAGTACGACTGCCCCCAGAAACAGAACTTCACGGCCAGCATCATCTGCCGTGTTTGTGGTCAAGCTGGTCACATGGCGCGCGATTGTCCTGATCGCAAAGTTGGTCAGCCCTGGCGCAACGGGAACGACAACCGCTTCGGTGGTGAACGCAACCAAGGCCGCATCGGTGGCGCGCCCGAGAACGAACTGGATGCCTTCATGGCTGAAATGGGCGGTGGCGGTCAACCTCGTGGAGCTATCGAGTACAACAACGGCGGTGGCGGTGGCGACAATGGAGGCGAGCGCAATGTCAAGCCTTGGGAACGTGGTCCAACTGGCGGTGCTGCGCCATGGGCACGCAACGACCACGATGACCAAGGCGACAACAACGGCGCTGCTCCCCCGCCTTGGGCTGGTGGTGGCGGTGGTGGTCGAGGAGCATCCTATGGTCAGGACAACTATGGCGGTGGTAATAACGCAGCTCCTTGGGCGTCTGCGGCGCCTCCTGCAGCACCTGCCTCGTACGGATACGGCAACTACGGGTCCGGTTACGATCAGCCTGCGCCTGGAATGGGTGCTCCTGGCATGGGCTACGGTGCTCCTGGATATGGCGCTCCCGCTCCTCCCGCTGGGCCTCCTCCTGGCCTAGGCCCCCTCTTCAACACCTATGGCTCTGTTGATGGTCTTCCTCCGCCTCCCCCACCACCATCCGGATCCGTGCCCCCGCCGCCTCCTCCTGGTGATATCCCTCCCCCACCTCCTCCCAGCGATATTCCGCCACCACCTCCGCCCCCGGCTTAGTCGAAACATGGCAGCATTGTATAAGTCCGATTCTGGACAGTGCCAGTTTTCGAGTTCTCTTCTCCCGGTCTCCAGCAGGAGAGTAGATTTAACAATGCTTCATGCGTGGAGCTCCGTACATGCGGGCAGTATTACTGACAAATTTGGTGGTTAGCTTGTGCTATGAGAGGTAAGTGCTTCATAAATGAATTTATGGTATTCAGTATCTACACCTCTATGACCTAGCTTTGTTGAGGACCGTCTATATTATTCAAAGTTCTGGTTAAGAGGGAGATCATCTATAGTGTAAACGTACTAAAGTTTGTTTTGTCAATTTGACCTACCCTCGTGCTATGTGTCGTGTGATGTAGTTGTGGGACCTCTTTTGCCACACACCATGATTGTTCATGACCAACTGAGGGCTTTTATGCATCTAAATAGCAGAAGACCAAAAATATGTGGGGGGTCTCTTTTGTAAGTGCTATATTTTAATGTCACTAGTAGAAGCAAGATAGGTGTGACGTTGTGCCAAGCCGTGATGCTCGTCCACTTGCTACTAGGTATGTAAGCTGCGGACATCCATTCAACGAGCATGCAAACACAACTGTCGAGAGGGAAAGTAGTAGTCTGATATCTCTCGCTCCTCTCCTTTCCCTTACCAGGGCTGTATAAGATATTATCAATAAACACCCGCGCTTTTCCAGCCCCATCATATAGACAGTCGGCAGCTCCCCGGTACCTACACTCCCCCGCAATGGAGCGGATACGAGTGAGCAAGGTAGATACCCTGGTGTTCACCAGGCACACAACACCATGCTGACCTCTGCAAGGTAGAAGATGTCTACCTCATGCGTAGAGGAACGCGTTTCGAAGGCACACTCCACCTCATGCCCCACCACATCGTCTTCAGCTACCTACCCAGCGCTCCGCCCGACGCTCCGCCCGACGCGAAACCAGCCCGACAGAAAGAAGTATGGATAACGTATCCTCTGATCTCTTACTGCTGTCTCAAGCCGAGTCCACCGGTATTGCGCCAACAACAGCCCTCGATTCGCATACGATGTCGCGACTTCACCTTCTTCGCCTTCTTCTTTCCTGACGAGAAGAAGGCGCGTGATGTGTATGACAGTATCCGTGCACTCTCGTGCAAGATAGGGCGACTAGATAAGCTGCTCGCCTTTAGCTACCAACCAAAGCCTCCTGAAGACCAGTGCAATGGGTGGGATGTATACGATGCACGTCGTGAGTGGAAACGGTTAGGCATCAGTCCCAAGGACACAGACAAGGGCTGGCGGATATCAGAGATCAACGTCGAATACAAGGTACGGAATGTGTGTATACTGGGACGAAGACAGCGTCTTAACGCATGGAACAGTACTCGAAGACATACCCCGCCCTGCTCGTCGTCCCCTCGAATGTCTCAGATAGCGTCCTCAGGTACGCTGGCGAGTACCGTTCGCGCCAACGAATACCAGCGCTTGTCTACCGCCATCCCTTGAATAACTGCTCCATAACGCGAAGTTCGCAGCCAACACCAGGTCTCAGTGGCAAAAGGAACGCCCAAGATGAGAGACTCGTTGCAGCTATCTTTGCTACCAATCGTGGGTGGAGAAATGCACAATCGCTCGGCCCAAACCCTACGGATCCAACTCCTGACTCGAGCGTAGCAAACCTTGAGGAAGCCAGTGCTAATGGATCTTTTGTAGGCGCAGTGGATACCGAGGCCGCTAATTCTGGACGAACTATTGTGGAAGATCTCGCCGAATCTTTTGAGACTGACACTGAGATCCCCAAGGTGTATGGAGCTCAACAGCGCAACCTGATTGTGGATGCCAGACCGACTGTCAATGCATATGCAATGCAGGCAGTTGGACTGGGCTCTGAGAAGATGGACTACTACCCCGGCGCGGAGAAAGCCTACCTAGGAATTGACAACATTCACGTAATGCGGAAGTCTCTTGACACCATAATCGAAGCGTTGAAGGAGTCTGATCTGACATCCTTTCCGCCCAACAAGCAGCTCTTGGCAAAGAGCAACTGGATCAAGCATATAGCCAACATCTTGGATGGCGTTGGGTTGATAGCTCGGACAGTGGGCATCATGCATTCGCACGTACTGATTCATTGCTCAGATGGTTGGGATCGGACGAGTCAACTCAGCGCACTCAGTCAAATCCTACTTGATCCTTACTACCGTACTCTGGAAGGCTTCATAGTCCTCGTCGAGAAGGACTGGTTATCGTTTGGTCATATGTTCCGCCATCGGTCTGGGTTCTTGAGTCACGAGAAGTGGTTCACCATCGAGAACGAGCGGATAGAACGCAAAAACGACGGTCAGGGTGGTGGGAATCCCTTCGAGAATGCGCTTCGTGGCGCTCGGGGGCTCTTTAATCGCCAGAACGAATCTAACGAATCTCTCAATCAAATACCGGGAGAGAATGGCACGGAAAATGTTTCAGATGTCGCTGACACGTCTACTCCTAAACCTGCATCCAAGATTGGTGCAGCAGAGGAACACAGGATTACAAAGGTCAATGAGCTATCACCTGTCTTCCACCAATTCCTCGACTGCGTATATCAACTCCACTACCAGCACCCAACCCGCTTCGAATTCAGCGAGCGTTTCTTGAGACGGCTTCTGTATCATCTCTACTCCTGCCAATACGGCACATTCCTATTTGACAACGAGAAAGAGCGCATAGACACTAGGGCCAAGGAGCGCACAAGAAGCGTGTGGGACTACTTTCTCTGTCGAAAGCAGGAGTTTATGAACCCGAGATACGAGCCAGAGATTGACGACACGGTCAGAGGCAAGGAACGCATGATTTTCCCACATAAGGGCGAGGCAAGGTGGTGGCACGAATGCTTTGGAAGGACTGATGATGAGATGAACGGACCGGGTCCCCAGACACCACATAACCTCACACCGCAAACGAGTCATACTTCGAATGGGAAGAGTGGGTCGACTACACCCGTCCCGTATGAACCGATCGTTACGGGTACGGAGACGGCGGAGGATGCAACGGGTGCGGGGACAACGACACACTTACCACCTACACATGCCGTAGGAGAGCCTGCTGAACAAGTGAGTACAGCGCCAACGCCATTCGATGCCGCAGCGGCACTAGGCCAAGACCTGCGACAAGGGTTTGTCGCGGGGATTGAAAAACTCGGGATTGGGAAGGGAGCAAGTCCAGCTGCGGGAGGTAGTGGGTTGGGTATCGATGTGGGGAGGGCGAGTGCGGATCTTAGTAGCAAGGACGAGCAGGACCGTAGTAGAAGTAGCAGTGTCGATGTCAAGAAGGAAATGGAGGTAGAGATGCAGTAGATGGGGATCGATGGCCGAGACAGAGGGGAGGTCACACGATATCATGATTATGAATACATGGATGATACCCTTGGGGTTGGTGGATCACTGCGTTAGGAGTCATGTGCGTTTGCTATACTATATTACTTTCTGAGTGGAGTGTTCTCAGCAATGTACTACTTGTTTACTGGAAGATTATACCTTTCCTTGAGGATGTTCGTATCGACAACATCGCAGCATTTTGACACCTCGTCCACTCCTCTCCTTGAGCCATGCCAAATTAACATTCGATATAGGTATCCTTCAAGAACCTCAGTATTTTCTGGAGCTATCACGCTGACATATGACGTAGCGTCGCTTCCTAGTAGGGACGAGACATGGTCAGTGCGTTTGTTTATCTTGGCGAGCGCAAGCCGAACTTAGCTCACCCTTTGCCTTTTCCAAACTCACCCCACAGATTGCCCTAACCTAATCTCCTCCTCCGGCTACATTCAAGTCGATATCACATCTAGCTACTGCCAACATGGCGCGACGTTCAGCCCGGCTGCAGAAGGTACGCGCGTGTAGCAATATCTGGTATTGTTTGTTTACATATGCTGATACCTCACCGCCAGCCTGCAGATGTTGCCGCCAAAGCAGACGACAGTTTCACAACAGCGCAAGAAAGCGTGTCGCTAACGGAGCTACCGTCGCTGCCCGAGTTTCCCGAACTCCCTGAGCCTGCCCCCACGAAGACGCCGCGAAAGGTGGTTGCGCAGTCGCAGACAGCTGCTACACCGACAGCGTCCAAGAGCAAGTCACTGCTGCCCGCTGCCAGCCGCACCCCGAAGAATCGCACGCCCATTAAGCCTGCCGGCGAGGAGATGCATCCAGCGCTGCATCACGCTACCACAGCAAAGATTCGGGACGAGGCGCGTTGGTTGGGCTTCCAGTCGCTGGGTTCTCACACGGCACCGCCAAAAGCAGCTGCTGGCATGAGCCACGGAACGCCTTCGAAGACGCCTGTGCCTGCGTCCACCAACAAGATCCTCGGCCCCGACTCGTCGCCCGACTTCCACTTCCGCTTCAAGGCCCCGCTTTCCACCGATTTGAAGGGCGTCAAGCAGGCTGATGCAGGCCTGAGCCCGAGCACGCGCAATCTCTTGCAGAGCACCCCGGTTGGCGGTACTCCAGGTGGCAGCCGTGCGCTGTTTGGGGCGACCGAGTTCTCTACAAAGGCGGATGTGTCCCCAGAGCGCAAGAAGGCGGCGCCCAGCGGCAAGATGGCGCGCTTCAGCGACGTGCACATGGCTCAGTTCAAGAAGATGGACTCAATCGCGAACCATGCGTCGGCTTTCCGCGCAGACCCCAGCCGATTCAAGCCAGTGGGTGGTCCATCGTTGAAGAAGACGCCTTCCAAGCCGGACCTGGCGAAACCGGAGTCGAGCAGGTTGAAGCGTACACAGTCGAAGATGGACCTGGCTGAGTCCGCTGCAAGCAAAACCGCCTCCACGCCGTTGAAGCGCCCGCAATCTACCGTTCGCCCTGGTCCTTCTACACACGACCGCGAAGACAGACCAGGCCCAAGCACAAAGCGTGTCAAGAGAACCGAAGCTGACGATGCTGCTTCCACTCGTCCCGTCTCTCGTGATAGCGAGGCTGAAGCTGCGTCTGTGGCTCCTACTCCCACCCCAGCCCGTAAAATCACTTCCCAGACTGCGCTGCCTCGCCTTGCCGATAGGCTCATGACGCCTACCAAGTCCTCCATGGCACGTTCGCAAAGCGTCAAGGTCGCAAGGTCAACGTCTATGATTCCCTCTGTGCAGCAGGCACCCTCTACAAGCAACATGTTCTCCCCTACCAATGTAGCGAGGGCTATGCGAGACAGCGCCCGTGACAGTATGCGCAAGGTGAGTTGCATCCTTCAGCCATACGCTTTGAACACTGCTGACCCAATCTCTACTAGGCGAGCTTCAACTTGCAGCGCGTCCGCTCAATCCTCCGTACACCCAACCGCAAGTTCTCAAATGATCCTCAGAAGGTCGCAGAAGGCACGCACATGTCTCCCCCACCCGCTTTCACCTTTGAGAGGGCCTTCCCTACTGTACCTGCCACGGCTCCTGCCAAGAAGCATGTCAACTTCTCGAGCAGCACGGTGGAGCGGGCAATCCACGACGAGCTGGGCAAGTCTCCATCGCCTATGAAGTTCAAGGCTGGTGGTGAAGTGCCTGCTGGAGCCGTCATTTATCCTAATGTACAGCCAAGCGTTCAGTATCCAGACCTTCCTCGAGTCGATGAGTCGCCCGTCGCTTCGCCCTCACGGCGTTTGACATTTGGTGATGAGACGGCTACCCACCCACGCCAATTCTCATTTGAGTCTGGCAAGCGTGCAGTTTTTGGTAAGTGGATCTGTCCATCACGATACCCTTCCAGTCTTCCTCATCTGGCCTTGACAACTTGCTGACCTATTTGCTTCTAGGTCCCGCATCAACCGGCACTATTCGGATGGTTCGTCCAAGCGATGCTTCAGCCCCTCTCGACGGAACCAAGCGAAAGCTAGAGAGTGTCCAGGAGGTTTCTGATAAGGAGAATGATGGACCTGATGAAGACGACATGCGTTCCCGGAAGAAGATGAAGCCCACCCCTGCGCCGCCAAAGACACCCGCCAGCACCAGCAAGCTACCTCGTCGTACTCCCGGCCGTACTCCCAGCCGTGGAAGCGCTATCAGCAAGTCCAGACTCGCTTTTCTAGCCACTCCTAAGCGGAGCAAGGCCTGAGTCGAATGGCTTGGAGTGCTCTATGATACTTTTTCGAGAACACATCGCTCTACTCGTCACGCTCTGAGATGGTCTACGGGATCTACTGAAGACGCATGTTGCTCGTTGTATGGTGCACTGAGGCCATGTAGACTCGCTCTTGGATCGGCGTTTTGCTCGTGGTTACGGTTTTCTCATCTTCTCTTTTCTCACTCTCTCAAATCATGACAAACGGGTGGTAACGACTGGCGAAATGGTGTAAAATCAGAATCCTTGTTTTTGTTTAGATTTTCAACTTCTGTCCAATGGGCATTGCATATCACGATGGGAGGGCTTCATATGAGCATACTCCAATGCTTGTAGCACATACATAATTCACGAATCCATGAAGTACACGAATATTGACTTGTCTCTTATCCTTTTTTGAAGACTACACAAGACGACCTTACAACCATCCCAACCCTTCACCTAATTATACACCCACTCCAACCCCTGCCCATCACCCTCCCCATTTCCATCCCCACCCACACTCTTCCCCCCAACCCGCGCAGCCCCAGGCCTCTGCAACCCCGCCTCAACATCCCTCTCCACGCCCCTCCTAACCATCTCCTCCCTCTCCTTCTCCCCGTCGTTCATCTTCTCCCCATGCGCCTCCCCCTTCCACACAAAATTCCCCGCACCCCCCCTCCCGCTGCGCGCAACAGGCAACTCCACCCCCTCGGGATGCCACGGCGCGCTCACAGCCGGCTTCTCGCCCGTCGGCAGCCGCGTCGCGTCGTCCGGCTGCGTGAAGGTGCCCGTTTGCTGCAGCGTCGCGGGCTCGTACCAGTTCCCTGCGCCGCCACGGCCGGTGTGCGCGTACGGTTGTGCGGCTTGGGCGGCGGTAGATGTGGCAGTCGTGGAGGTGGTGGGTTGGGTGCGGTTTTCTTCCAGGTCCTTGAGGGGCGTGTTAGTATTTCGTCGTGCGATTGGGGTGCAGGGAGTGTACCTCGGCGGCTTTCTTGCTCTCTTCCTGCGCCTTGTAGAAGTTTCCCGCGCCGCCGCGACCGTACGGCATGATTACTTTGTGTGTCTGTGGAGTACTTCGTATGTGGTTCTTGGTGTGATTTGCGATCTGCGATCGAGGTGTAGTTGGCAAAAGGTGGTGTTGTGTGGGGAACGGTCAGTCGGGTGTCGGGAATGAGCACTGTGAGGGAGAGAGCTGTGGCTCCATGTCGGACATCATCACTTCCCGTTCCAAGGCTTCAGGTCGGGAGGCTACCATATAAACTTGTTCAATCCGTTTAATGCTGGGGAAGAGTCTTAGCAAAGCAATAATTGACGATTAGACATACAGAGTGGCGGAGAGTGGCTGTGCTTATTCCACCACTCGCAGGTCGACTCGCTTCGCTATCGCCCTCCCCATCCCCACTCCCATCCCCACCAACACTCTTTCCCCCCTTCGCAGCCCCAGGCCTCTGCAACCTAGGCTCAACATCTCTATCCACACCCCTCTTAATCATCTCCTCCTCTCCTTCTCCTCACCACCCACATTCTCCCCTTCTCATCTTCTCCCCATCACTCATCTTCTCGCCATGCACCTCCCCCTTAGCCGAATTTGTTTCTGTTTCTGTTGAAACCGGGATCGTTCAGACCGCCTCCAGGTGTGCCAGAATTGTTTTTCGTATCATCCAGAGCCTGCCAGACGTGAAAGAGGGTGATTAGAGGACTTCCAGCCTTTGCAGCTTCGTGGTTCCTGTACAACGAGAAGTACTGCGGATACGTTGTTAGGTACTGTGCATGGCTGAAGATAGGATGTATGCGTGCGCGCATAGAGTCTTCGAGGAACCGGTGGCGGGTATTTGGCAGTGGCACATCCCACCAGTGACCAAACATGGTTGCTATAGCCTGCGGTGTTCCATCCCGCCGTTGGAAATAAATGAAGTTGAACCTGAGGTCCTGGCCATGAGGATCGGTGAATCGTCGTAGAAATGTATCCAAGCCGTTTATCACAGTAGTGATTCCGTCCCAGCCACGGACAAGCATATCAACAGTAGTCCTTGGTGGAACCCCTGCCAACGAACGGAGTAGATTGCCCCATACAGCATCAGCTGTTGCATGGTGGACGTTCACGTTACTTGGGAGAGGAACGCGCGATGTCCGATTTGCAATGTGTTGGACAATCAGTCTGACGTAGTTTATGTCGGGGTTCGCATGCATCCATCGTAAAGCGTATATGCGGTCTTGCTGAATGATATTTTGTCCTTCGTTTTCATCACGACCACCACCGCTCTGTCTTGAGAAGACAATTAGTAGTCGAGGCTGTTGATCTGGTGCCATGCCCGCATGCGCAAATCGAGTTGGGTGAGTATACTCAGCGAATATCGATGATCCGGTTTGGTTAACGATAGCTGAGCTTACAGTTAGCACGATTGTTACCTGCTTGCACTGAATTTGCGCCTAACTTACGAGCGTTCTTGCAACCAAAAACCTTGGCTGCATCAAAGTGACTTTGCCTTTTGATAAGTGCAGTCTCTGCAGGAGGCAGGTATGTGAGGTCGCTGGTTTTTTGCATTGCCTCGAAGACGTTGGACTGATGTTCTATCTCCCTCGCTGTTTTCTGTTTATGCTCTACCTCTCTTTGCTCTGCCGCTCTTCGATCTGCCAGACGCGCCTGTATATATGGAGGCAATTGCACTGATGGATTCTGCGTGCTTGACTGAGGTATACGCGGCTGTTGCATAGGAGCTTGAGGTGTTGTTCGAGGCGGAGGGTCACGATAAAGCTCATCGTCATCATCTTGCAATGTGGGTGAAAATGACGGCGGAGACGGTGGAGGCTGTGTGGGTGGAGGCGGGGGTCGAGTTTGCGTAGGTGGAGGTGGAGGTCGAGGCTGCGTAGGTGGAGGTGGAGGTCGAGGCTGCGTAGGCGGGAGCGGGGGTCGAGGCTGCGTAGGTGGATGCGGGAATTGAGGCAGCGCAGGTGGAGGCGGGGGTCGAGGCAGCGCAGGTGGAGGTGGAGGTGGGGGTCGAGGCTGCGTAGGTGGAGGCGGAGGCGGAGGCGGAGGCGGAGGCGGAGGCGGAGGTTCTTGTCGGTTGCGGTTGCGGTTGATATTGGCCCATCTCTCGTTGTTCTTGTCGCGAGCAGGACCATCTTTCTTTCGTTGTCCAGACCTCGGCATCGTGATTCACGTACAGTTGAGATAGGTTGGGGTCGGTGGGGTAGAGAGGAGAAAGAAGTTTTGGGAATAGTCAGGTAAGTGAGAGAAAGGTCGTCCTGACACACTGAGAGGGCATTAGTGACAACCATGGGGTAACGCAGTTTTACATACAGCAGAGTAAGGTGAGGTGAGGATGAAAGCAGTGCAGTGTCTGCAGGTTGTAGAGAAACTGGTATAGATCTCGTGTGTTGAGTTGTGTTCTGGAGATTGGCAGTCGAGGAAGTTGATAGTCGAGGAGGTTGAGAGTAGAGGAGGTTGAGAGTTGGGAAGATTTGAGCAGTTAAATAGTCGAGAAGCGGGGTCGAGAAGTCGAAGTGAAGTGGGGTCAGGAAGTCGAAGTGAAGGTAGAAACAGGTGTAATAGCAAACGCGTGAAACCCTGTTTTAGATTCTGTTTGCGTTGGTCAATGCTTTTGCAACGTCTGTAGACCGTACCTTTGTACCGTGTACCTTGGGACACCCTCTATAATGTGTGTGAATGCGAGTGTGAATGCGAATTTGTGAGTGTGTGAGTGTGTGAGTGTGTGTGTGTGTGAGGGTGTAAGCGTGTGAGCGTGTGAGCGTGTGAGCGTGTGAGCGTGTGAGCGTGTGAGCGTGTGAGCGTGTGAGCGTGTGAGCGTGTGAGCGTGTGAGCGTGT